ACGCCTCACACCTTCGGGTCACGTGGCATGCCCCGTTTGTATTTAATCACAGGAAAACTCGCTACTCTTGTTTTCCTTCTTCTTTTCTCCTTAGCTTAGTATTTTCTAATACAAGATACTCTACCCAGTATTCTTGAGTGTGACACCTACCTCTATTACCACTATCCCTATTACCACAATCCTTTCCTAGCCTCCTCTCCCCTTCCCTCTCCTTACCCCATTGCCTCATATCCCCACCTATCGCCACCTATTGCCACCCATCCCCATCTGTTCTCATCTATCCTTCTTCTAAGTTCTAGCCCAATCTTCTCTTCTCCTCCCATTGTCCACTTATATCCCCACCTATTTATCTCCTCGCCCGCCTCTTTATCCCCTCATATTGCCACCTAGTACCTACCGCTCTGCTAAGTCCCTCTCCGAGCTCTCCCTTCTTCATCCCATTCTGTCCCCATTCCATCCCTCTGCTAACCTCACCTTCTTTTCTTCTCGCCTCATCCGCCCCAACCCCATTATACCTCCATTCCCGCATTCCCACATTTCATCATATCCCCACCTATCTATACTAGCACTACTTGCACTGCCACTACTCCGTTGCCACTCGGCACCCTATTACCGCTATTCTCTCATATCCCCATCTAATATCCATCCCTCTCGTAGAGGCTAGCACCATCTCCTGGATCTCCTCTCACCTAGATTTTCTCTCTCCTTATCCCTTGTATCCCCACCTATCCCTCCACTAGCTTCCTCTCCCTTTCCTTTTTTTACTATCCCTACTCCCGCTATTTCTCTCTGCGTCTCTCCATTTCTCCATCTATCCATCTCCTACCACCGCTCCTAGCTCTCTCCTCTCCATCCCCTTATATTCCCACCTATCCCCGTTGCCACCACCACCACCACCACTATCGCTATCTCTATCCCCGCCTATCCCCCCAAGCATCTTCCCTTTCTACCCCGTCCACTATCCCATCTATCCCATCTATTACCGTCCACTATCCCATCTCTTCATCTCTACCCCCGTCCACTATCCCCATCTATCCCTCAAAACGCATACACATCCGCACCAGCATTAACCCGAATAAAAGAAGTGGATACAGTAGTTCTAAAACAAATACATAGCCTTCAAAATGAGGAGCGCTAAGTAAGCGAGTGGAGCACTAGTGGTTTTAGTTTTTAGTTGGTTTTCTGTCATAATTTTACACGTACATTTGGTGATCGTATGAAGATATCATTGGTGATTGATCATATATTATAACTAGACGTATATTGTATATCATTGTAGGGTCTTACATCATAGTATTTACGCCTCTCACAGTCCCCTCATCTCCGCTCTCTTCCCCTTTATAATTTACAATTTACATCATAAAAATCTTATACTCCATTTATTCCATAATCCAAAGAAATAACAGTTCACAATTAATAAATCACAATTCATAAATCATAACTCATAAATCCCAATCCCTCCTCCCTCTGCCCCATACACCTATACCCAAAACTCGAAAACTCAAAAACTCAATCTTTTAATCTTCTACTTTCAAAACCTATTATTATTGGCTTAGGAAATTATAATCAAAAAATGAATAATTTAATATGATTCAATAAGATTAAATAAGGTTAAATAATTGGTATTTTTTATTCTATACAAACACAATCAAGAATATGTTACGAGGGTTGCCGTCTAGATCACTGTAACGATACTGTACTGGAGGCAGCGGCTGCCTAAGGTTTCGTCTGGTTGGTAGTTGTGGGTTAAGGCTTTATCACTGGTCTTCACTTGGAAGTGAAGTCGTTACTAGATCAAGTAGAATGTAGGTAAACTAATTGATAACTAAGTTGAGCACGAAGCTCCTTAACTACGAGACTAAATGAATGTTTATATACCCTATATCATCTTTTGAGGACCTCTGGGACCCTAAGGTCCAAAAGGTCCTCAAGGTCCTCGAGGTCACGTGAATTAATGAATCGTGACAATCACGTGGAAGTGCTCTAGGTGTTACGTTGTAACATTATAAACTTTTATCACGTGTTATAGGATCACATGGATAGTCTTGTGAGGGAGCGAGGGAGCGAAGGAGCGAGATTCGAATCTCGCTCCCCAGCTCCATCGCTCCAATGATTGGAATACGAAGGTCTATATAATCAAGATGGATTCCCTTTGTATAGAGCTTCGTACTCAAGATCAAGATCAATCATTTAGTATACTCTACTATTAGTTACGAATTGCATCATTGTCATTACTTAAGTCCCTGCTTGACGCCTAGTTATAAACCACCTCGAGAGCCTAGAGCACTTCCACATGATCTAGACGGCAACCCTCGTAACATTATACTAGTGTTCTGGAGGGATTTTTTTTTAAACTATTAAATACCAAAAAAAATATCAAGAGATTATGTTGGGTTTCTTGAGACCAGAAAGAGCATCAGATTGAATTGATTGATTCTCTAGCTAAGCAGTTAAGCTGCGAGTATATATTCAAAAATGAAGGAATAAGGTTAGGTATTCAGCCTTCGGAATTAAAGTGCTTTGAAATCAAAATATTGAAAGCAAACAAACAGTATACCAAAAAGGAAAGAATGAATTAAAAGTTGAGTTTTGTTTGCTCCTTATATGCATCATGCAATATATATGCATATGCTGCCAAGATCCCAGGAGGTCAACAGATTATCACCATCACTATCGCTAAGACATCCGAACTTGAGGATTCTTTTATTATCAATTTTAATTAATGGGGATGGATATATGTTGAATTCGGAGTGATGTGGAGATGATGGATATCATGGTACTAGATTGGTTGGTAGCTAAGTAGGTTGGGTGATGTTCGATTTTGAAGAGTTGATTAGATCTACTAGGTACTAAAACTAATACTCTTAAAGCAAAACAACAAAATCGATATTCTACCATTCTCATTAAAGGATTTATCATAATACCTCCATTCGCACAGCAAGCTTATCCCAATACCATGGGAAAAGAACCTCGAGAATTGCAATCTGAATCTATAACCCGTTCTATCGGGAACCATCCCGTCCCAACCCTTTTACCATCCATCACACGCCAACCTGAACCTGATGAAAAAACACGACACCATATACCCTTCTATCCATAAACAACAAATCGTAAAATATATGTCTCCCCCGCCTCCCCCTCTCACCCAAACTCAATGACAAAGAGTATTCCACTGATCCAAAACATCTTCCATATCAAAAGCAATACCCCATTGCGAACACAAACATTTAAAAAGTTTCTGCATAGAATTAAGTTCATAGAGGAGATTTTTCGTTGTGCCCAATCCTCTAGATGACGATGATGATGATGATGATGAAGTAGCACCTCGCAAGAATAATTGCGTCTCCGAATGACCAGAAGAACCCGACTGAATCGAAGAATCCGCCAAATCATTCGTCGCCAAAACAACTTGCCAATCAACTATATTTGGTACATTAACCGCACCCTGACCCGCCAGAGAAAAAACACAATAAACCGTTGCGGATGCGAATAATGAACTAGGGATATGAATAACATGTGCTCTGCCTCTTGGTAATTGTTCTACAATTTCTTGGATAGCAATAGCATGTACGAGGGCTTTTCTTGCTTCTTCTGTACCCGCCCAACTGATCAAATCTTGTTCGGGTTTCATGATATTTTTTCCGCCGCAAACATGCTGTACGATACCGTAACGAGAACAGATGGATCTGCAAAGTAGTGATGAATCTTTGCAAGTATCGAGACAGATAGTATGCCATCTGAGTAAAAGCTCCAGTCGTTCCGAATGTGAAAGATTGGAACTTATGGATATAGCTTCAAAGACGTGACTTAGAGCTTTTCGTGATTCGAGCTTGGTGGGTACACCAACTGTAGAGAGATCATCGGAATCACAATCTGAAACTAAGGATTGAAGACCTTCTAGAATGACACGAAGGGAAAATGCCGAGAAGGCATGGAAACTCGTCAGAGGTTGACTTGTTGGGTCGAATAATGATCGAATGATACTTCGAAAGGAGTATTGAGATGGTTCTTGAGATCTCATATGATTAAGCCATTCATTGGCAGTTCTGGCTTCAAATGCTGTTTCACTACTGGGTAAACCCAATTGATTGGCTGCATGTCGAACTGATGGAGTTTCCCCTGACATTCGAGATATTAAACCATCTAATACGTAATGACCCAATAATGCACGTTGTTGAATCTCTTTCGCTGCCCAAAATTTCCAAGCTCTATCCTTTTCTTCATCGGTTGAATTTTGGCTGGGGAGATTGTTTCTTGAGTATGGTTCACTATCAGAAATTGCGCATTGTCTTGCCCAAAAGAATCCAAGAGCATGAAATGCTTGACTTGTGGTTCGGATGACTCGATTTCTTGAGAGAGCGCCGTATATTTGAGCAAGTAGAGCAGTAACAACTAATTGTACTCCCTGACAACTATCATAGGGACCTTTATGAGTGATTAATGTTTCCCAAGATGTTGCAACTGCTACATGTGCAAGTCTCCATAAAGCTTCACCTTTTGCGACTGAATCTTTAGGTCCAAGATATAAAGAACCGATAGCCATAGCGTTAAGAAGTAAAGGTTGAGTACATTCTCGAAAGACAAATGTTGATCGATGTAATACTGGAAATGTGGGTATGAATCTTACGAAGAACATATGTAAACATTCATCTAAGAAAACCGAGGTGAGAGATGTTGCTTCAACAGCAGCCGTAACAGTTGATGACTATATCTTTCGATCAATAATGGTTTCATTCAAGGCCTTGTTGAACTTACCAAACTAGTAACCATCTCACTAACATTATGCACAGCTTGATGACTTTCCCCTACTGGGATAGAACCAATTGATCCCTTTTGTTGAAACGGACCTGGAATCCCAAAACTTCCATTGTTCACATGTGATTGAGTTGTGATGGGTACGGGTAGTATCCCAATTGGCATTTGCAACGGAATCATTTGATCAGAAGACATCAAAGTTTCAAACAAATCCTCCGAATCTGGCCAGATTAGTTCAAAATCAATATCTTCTGTTGTAGAAGGTGTATTCCCAATTATAGAATGACTGGCCCCACTATTGTTCATAATTCCTTGTTGTGATCTTGGTGTCTCGACTTGAAGATTTGTGTCAACCACAGGTAATATAGATGGGATACTTGATTGGGAAATCATACTCGAAGGTGGTGAGGGATAGTTGATTTCCCTCCGAGTATGTAATCTTTCATGACGAGCAAGTGAATCTTGTCTAGCAAATGGTCTTCTGCAATCTTTACATATGAAAGGTCGAGATCCAGTATCTTTCCATCACTTGATTAGCTTACAATTCTTAAGAATGAAGAATTCGATTTCGAGAGGGCTTTCCTTACGGCTTCTCTCGTGTCTCTGTCATAATGATTAGTGAGTATAAGATGCACATCATGATAATATTGTAATGCTAACCCTCAAATGTTCGCCTTTGGAGAAACTTCTCTGACAAAACCTACAATCCATACCGGTATATTTTCTTGGTGCTGGTTCCGAAGCTGCTGTTGATGGTTTAGGAGACTCCATGATGTCTAATGTGGGACTTTGATTGACGTTTGGCTTTTGAACCGAGTTGGTGAAGTTATCTAGCGGGTCTTTCCGTAGAGATCTAGATAGGAGAGTTAAGATGTGAAAAGGTAGTACGTAGTGTACTCGGCGCTGTACAGAGTATACTTCGCCAGGTATGGGTATGGTAGGTGACACAGGATTAATGAAAACAGGTACTAGCCTCCTCTGAATAGCACCGTGTATCAACGACGTAAGCTTGTGGGGTATTTAGAGTTGTGTCTAAGCCCGAAAAGATCCCCCCCCCACATATTTTCGGCACCGATTCAGCATGTACAGGGGGGATGAAAAGCTTTGCATTAGGCCCTGTGTGGCGTGTATGGTGACCATGCTTGGCCTGTAAGCCATGGCAAAAACTTTATCCACTTTGTCCCGTAATGGCCATTACTCCGGCTATTTGAATATATAACTCAATATTTGATATGAACTTGAAGTTCCAAATAGATTATGTAGATTTAGGTAAGCATCACATATCATAACGTTATCCTTCTTGTCAGACTGTAAACAATTAGAAAATCCTTTTACAACTGTCAATTTGTTGATGAGAAGAGAAAAGTCACATTTCATTCATTCTGTCTACCCTCATTAATTCACATATCCCATAACTCCCAATACCCTGCCTGCATTCAATCCCAATTTTCATCCTTCCCGTTCCTAAAGAAAGCCTTTCTCACCACAATCTCAAAAATCCACTAAAAATCCCAAATCAAATCATTGCTTTTGCTGAGCAATCCACTCTTCTACATCTGCCTCGAAATCCGCATTATACAACCAGCTCAGCTCAAATGGTTCCCTCTTCTGATCTGCTGAATTTCCTGGTAAACGTCTCAAATCAATTTGCTGGTTCAATTCCAAAACCTTTCCGACTCTCTTGTGTCGGTATTCTTGCCAGAAAGAGAGTGCACTTTGAATATCCTCCCTGTTTGACTTTGCAAGTAGCAGTGCAAAGATATAAACATCTTCATATGCTTGGTTGATACCTTGACCTGCGGAAGGAGGAATTGCATGAGCTGCATCACCAAGGATAACCACACGTCGATTTTGAGATACCCAGTTATCGAGCTTGGGCACAATGTAAAATGGCCAAACATTAATCTTGTCATGGGAAATCTTGGATACTGCGTTGTGAACGATTTCTGGGAATAGATCATTGTTGCTTTGCAAGAATTTGACGCTTTCTTCCTTGTTGTTTGACATATCGTTCCAACCAGCTCTGTCCTTCTCTTCGATGCGTAATTGTTTTCCGATCAATACCTCGGATCCATCTTCTTGCTGAGGAGCAATCACAAATGCACCCTTGGGGGACATCAGGGTGACAGGAATATAATATCCTTCCGGAAGTTGTAATTGAGATGTTGGTACAGCAGCTGTGATTCCAACCATTCCAGTGAACTTGGTCTCCAAATCGGGGTAGAGATAACGGCGAACAGTGGAATGAATACCATCAGCTCCAATAAGAAGAGGTGCAGTACCCTTGGTACCATCAGTGAATTCCCATTCAACTTGTTTTTCGGTCTCCGAAGTGACATGTGAAAATTTCTTGCCAAAATCGATGGGAATGTCCTGTTCCTTGAACATTTCAAGCAATTCAGTGATTAGGATATTTCTGTAAATACGAAGGGCCTGGAAACCATATTTCTCCTCAGAACCAAATTCTTGAATTTCCACCAACTTTCCATCCCCAGCAGTTCGATACTCAAGGTTATCAAAGTTGTAACCTTTGTGACAAATTCGATCATAGACGTTGAGAGCTTTCAAGATTTTGAGAGCATTAGGAGAAAGCATGACAGCACCTCCAATGTTCAAAGGCGCTGGACGACTTTCGTAAACTCGACATTTGATGTTGTTTTGATGAAGGGCGAGAGCGAGAGTTAGACCGGATAATCCTGATCCAATGATGGCAACTTCTTTAGAAGATGGTGCAGACATTTTGGCTGGATGAGGGAGATGAAATTTGTGAAATTATTTGAGGTTGTTGGAGTTGTTGGACTTATAAGAGATGTCGAACTTGCAGGAGTTGTAGGAAATGCAGGAGATGCTAAAGTTATCGAAAGTATTGATCTTTGAATGGAGTTATTTGAGAAATAAATATAATACTTTTAGAACGAAGGAGATTCACTTGAATTTATCATCTTCCATTATGTTGTTGATCAGTTGCCTCACATAATGATGGTGTGATGAATAGATCGGATCCGAGCCGGAATAGCGACGGTTTTATATCCGATCGGCCTTTTCACACAGCACAACGGTCGGTCTATTCATTTTCCGCAACCGGATTTTTCTTAACACCGGCTCCTGCTTATGGATTTCCCTTTTCTTTCTAAAAAACAAACAGTTGTAATAATGATAGTCGATATGGTATTTACGTATATTCGGACATATCATGGATGTTTAATTTGATCCTTTGTTAGAAGAATAAAACGTTACATTACCCACGATTGCTCGTCCGAACCACAGTCCGACGATGAGCGATCTTTGATTCATCAAGTCATTCCAAGCTATCGGTAAATAAAGCTCCAGCAGTTCTCAGCTATTGGCACCACCGCTTTATTCGATCGTTTAGAGAACTTTAGATATTGTACAGAGTTGTGATATTGAGTGACTGAAAGGCAGAAAAGAATCGGAGCATCAAGTAGATGGATGTTACCTTCTACCCATTGGAGCATTGCCAGTAAACGGAGTTGAGATTTTTATATAATTACAATGATCTCCTGCGCTCTCATTCTTTAACCAGAGATACCGCCGCTTCCAGTATAAAATCCACCGTCTCTTTCGGTCTACTCAACATTGGCGAATGACTACTCATAACCTGTCGCACCGTAACATCCGCCCCAGCATCCCTCGCCATTTTCACAAACATCTCTTGCACCCCAACTGGAAACGATTTATCATCCATCGTCATCAAGTACCAAACTGGCAAATCCATCCATCCGGCATAAGCCCACTCTCCTCCCTCCTTCAAAACTTTCTGCGATTGCTTCATCAACCTGCTAACCCAAAATTTACCTTCTTCCTCAGAAAGATCGTGGTAAAATATTTCTCTGGCTGGAAGTTCTAACGTCGCAAATCCACTATCGTCCCATCTCCATAGTGGTGGTGGTGTCCCGCCAATAGCATCGATGAAGCTTATTCCCGTTTGCCCAAAACCACAAGCCATCATAACGAGACCGATGACATGGCCAGTCGGTTCGTCGCTTGTAGATTGGATATCATCTGGGTTGTGATGGGTGAGACCTTTAACTGCGCTCTGGCCAACTGCACCACCGTAGGAATGCACCACTATTATCACGTCGCGTCCCTGTTTTGTCTCTGATAATACGATATTTCGGACAACGGCGATATCATCGCCAAAAGCTATTGTGGGATCTCCTGCCGTTGATGGTAGTTCTACTGGAATACATTTATACTGTTGTTCTTCCAGGAGTGAAGTGACTTTCTCCCAAATCTCGGCACGGTGCCATGCTCCCGGGATCAAGACAAATGTTGGTTTGCTAGACATATCGCTGTATTCTGAATTAAAGGTAAGGAGGTGGTAGGTGGTAGGTGAATGTGACCAAAAGTAGATGGAAAGATCGAGAAGTGAGAGATGGTCCAAATATTGAGAAGAAGTCTCTGTTTAAGATAATTCAACTGTGAGAACATCAGAAAGTTTTCCAATCATCTGACCTCATCTCACCATAGAAATCTCACCATCAAGTAATCAGCCATGTAACTTTCTTCCGGGACCTTTTCGCATTCCTCGTAAGATATCGGGTGGATTATTCCAGTTTAGTAGGGAAGTTAACCTCGATATTTTTAAAACAGGAATTTATTGAAAAATTTCTTCCTGCTCATTTCTCCCCTGGTTTCTGTTAAAAACTTTATTGGATATGAGATTGGATTGCAATAGTTTCGTTTTCTATGCCAAGATTATTGTGGCCTACCAAGAGCGCATATTGATAGAGGGGATGGCATCTTATCATTACGTGCAATTATTTCATCAAGTAAATTATCAAAATTACTTCTATGCGAGAGATTTTTCTCCATAGATGCCTCATTTTCACCACATTCATAAGCTCTAGCTTCACGGCGTGGTAGATATAAATTCGGCCTTGGAAATATTGAAGCCATTAGAGGCGTTGAATCTATCTTCAATATCTTATCCATGTAGAATTTGCAGTATTCAGGCCGTTCGTCTGTACTTGGAGATCCGCACAGTTTTGGAGTAGAAAATTTTTGGAACCGATTTGGTCTGCACTTCGGACTCCTGTGCCTGTGTGAGGCGCATAGGCAAGCAAGTAGATCAGGCTATAGTGAAAGTAAACATGCTCGAAAATTTCGGCGGTCATCGCTGCATTGTCATGACTTGCATCCTACATCTGCCCTCTAATCTAACTGACACACTGCATATCCATATGTGATATTACATGTGAGTATCCCCGGTGTTTCGCGGTGATTATCCTGTCTTTTTGCGGCGCATGAATTCCCTAGATAGCACTAGCAAGTTCATGGATATTCATAAAGTGATGGCGCGATATGTAATTATTTTCATGAGACCATAGATTATAAAAGTAATCAAAAGGAAAAAACCAAAGAAAAACAAAGTGATCAATGAAGTGATAGAACCGAAGTTGATTATTTGCGTGAATCAATCCTAAGCTCCCCTTCTAATGACTTACGTGTTTGCGTGAGCTCTAGTGCCTTTGCCGTAGTTGAAGTGTATGAAGGAAACCGAGGAAGGGGAGCAAGCTCTCAAAAGCACTACCTTAAACATTCACATACGTGAAGATGCCTAGAGTCACAATAGAAAAGCTTCTCGATCGCAACAGAGCATTCGTCGGTTCAAGGAACATTACACTGCCATTGAGAGATTAAGCAACCGTCGAAAGTCCTCACACTATCGTCATTAGTTACTTCGATGATCGAGCGGTCTTAGAGCATTTCCTCCAAATCAACACGCTCGATCGAGAAGTGGTGAGCATCGGCAATGCAAGGCGTATACACTCATCACTGAGTTCATGATATCATAGCGTTGGAAAGTCTTCTCCGTATCGATGAACTAATCGTGGTGCATCACAAAAATTTTGATCTTAAATGTATGGCAGTTGAGGGTATCCGGCAGATATTAAGGGGGAGACGGGGTTTGGATGAGGGATGAAGATAATATCAAGGACAGTTAATAGAGATGATATGAGTTTGTGAAAGTATATCTTTGGATGAGAAAGACGCCTTCCTGAGTATCAAGAGTGGCTTGCTGATTGAAGTTTGAGTTTGAGTCAGTGGATGAAAGTCTAGAGGTAGAGGAATGCGTCTGAGTCTTATTATGAGTGACGTCGAGAGTAATCAATCCATTCCGAGCTCAAGACCACTACTAGATAGATCGGTTGAAAAGGCACCGAGGTCCATCAAATTGTGCCGTGTAAGTAAATGAGGAAGTTGGCATCAGACGAAGATTTTGACGGGATGAGAACCACAAGTAAACAAACCGACCTCGAAACCATCAAAAATGCCTTTAGCTCTCCTACCTCAATTATTCTTCGGATTTGAACGCTGATAGTTTTCCTGAAATCGCGCTGTCGAGAGCTTTCTGTATGTACAAAAATATTTTTACTTTGTCAAAAAGCCCCTTTTTTCATATGCCCCTCAGACGTGCAACCAAACTATTTGAATGCGCAAAATCATCACGTGTAAGGTCTGCCATTGGACAGAATGGAACCGGAAATCCTTCACTTTGGTATTATGGAAAATTCGGGCGTCAGAAGTTTTTAAAACTTGGGAGATAGATTGAGAAGATATTATTTAGTATAATAGTAAAGTTTGATAGGTTTCTAAGATCAGATTTTGGAGATATTACGATTTGCATTTGTTTGGCTTGCCGTGCGACGAACGTTTTGGCGATTTTGAACATCGCTGAAAGAGAGAACCACCATTGCAACACCAGCAACGTTTCTGGGAATCTGAAAATCAGTATGCAGATTCAGCTCAACGGCAGCTATACGCGCCAGGTCTGTGAGGATCCTTCGGCTAAAAATTTAATTTGCAGTGAGGTCGTTATGGGTTTTGGTGATTCGGACCTTACCAGCAGACGATGTTTGAAGTTACTGGCGGGCACGAGAGGGGATGAGAACGTGGATTCTGCTTATAGCTACATCGGTATAGACGAATGATACTGGAAGATGTTATTCGCAGAATTCGCATTTCGATGCTGAGAATTATGGTCAACTTCAACGTTCAAAGGCTCGAAACACCCAACGGGCCTGCAAACTTCCTACTTGCTTCACCCATATACGTATCACAGTTGTCGATTTCAACGAGCCTATACAATATGAAAGATCCTGCCGTGAATACCACTACTCTCACTGTACTTGGATTGCGCCGCCAGAGTCAAAATTTGCACACCTGTCTATAATACATGAGCGAGGAAAACTTGGTTGCGGGTCAGTGAATACATGTGGCAATAATGAGCTGCGAGCCATCCTTACGAAGAAAGAAAGAATTGGATTCACTGCGAGCAAAATGAAAGTCTAATATGGTGAGGCCGCGGGCAGCGTTCCTGGGCAAATAGTGAGATTGGGGCGAAAGAAGTGACATTCCCACATTCAGCAGGTTGGCTGATGAGCGTCTACAGGTGCGTAATTACTGGCTAGATAAAGATAATTCCCCTTCTTGCAGCTATGGACCCCCACTAGTTGCCCAAAAGCTGGCAAATACGGACTTCCCTGGATGATCACATTTCCCATTCAAGGTTTACTATATCATCCATTCTTGCTGTTAGACACAACTCTTCGTACCTCAGATTCTAACCTTAATTGCCTAGCACCCCAATCTGCCCAACTCCCTCAAAACAAGCTATTCTTGAAGCTATTGCAAGGCTGGGATGGAATATACTTTTTGGCAGGAATTGGATTGATGGGTAGGATTTCCGGTTCAACAACAGGAAATGAAGACGTGGATTCGGTTCATCACTTGCGCTGCCTAAGCACGGTAAGGGAAGAAGATTTCTTCGAGAAAGCGATAGTTCGCGATCAAATTTCTGGCATAATAGATTGGCTCGACATGTTTTATCATATCTCGATTCTGGGTGTTACATTTCTGCTGAAGACTACAATGAATGATAGCGATGAGGTTATTCAAAATCCTAACATCGATTCCATGCTGCATTACATGTTTCAGGAGCCTTCCCACAGCTAGCCGCATGTCTTGATTCGCCATGGCATATGCTCAAGGTGTATAGAGAGACTAGGGGATATATGCGCTCCCTTTAGAGAAAATTTTCAAACTAAGAGACTGAGTACATATGCAAGTCGCAATTTTCTCAAATGGTCAATCCATCAAAGTGGATATGTTTTACGCCTTTTCCCGTACACGAACGATTACATGACTTCGAAGTGGGAGCATTATCTCATTTCATCCAGGGCGAACTGTAATGCGACCACATTTTGATAACTTGAGTAAATGGATCCTGTGGTCATTTGATACCTCTAAATACCAATTTGGTTGTCATGCCCTAAATCAAATTAGAACTAAAAGCCCATGTACACCTGAGGCTTTGTGATTGTCACCCCCTCGATATAAGGGTGTATTTAGTGAATCAAATGAAGAAGACATCTGTTCTCAGCATTTGCACGTGATGGTCTATTTGCTAAGTCTTGCGCACCAAAATGCACAGGTTTATAAACGGGAATTTTTCCAATAATTTCAATTCCGCATCACTTCGCTTACTTCAAGTACCTTCTCAACATTCATCGACATCTTTCATCAATCCATATATACTTCAATATCTTCGACATTTTCCACCTCTCTACCATTCCACATCTTTCCCATCATGTCTGTAATTACTACACGTGTGATGGTCATTTCTAACACTCACGAGCACTCCCTCAATGGAGCTAATATGCCAGATGTCGACGTCCTCCTCCACACTGGCGATTTAACCAATTTTGGCGAATTAAACGCTTTGAAAGATTCCATCAAAATGATGGGAACGATCACAGCCGAATTAAAATTGGTCATTGCTGGAAACCATGACATATCTCTTGACAAGCAAAACAGGGTGGAGAATATGTCTGATGACGAGTATTTGGAATACCATCATTCTGCCCTCGAAATCATGACGGGTCAATCGGCAAAAGATGCAGGAGTTACCTATCTCAAGGAAGGTACTCATACATTCACACTTAAGAATGGTGCTAAATTCACACTATACGCCTCACCGTACACTTGTGGTTCCATGGGATTCCAATATCAAATAAACGAAGATCGATTCAATTACGCAACTCAAGTCGCCCCAGGCCAAACTTCGATCGCCACCAATCCTATTCCTGAGGGAGTCGACATCGTCATGACCCACGGCCCTCCACATACGATACTTGACCAAGTCGACGGTGAATATAAAGGTTGCCGCAATCTTCTCCGTGCCGTTGGCCATGTTTGACCGCTTATGCACTGCTTTGGACACATTCACGAAGGAAGCGGCGCAAATCTTGTAACTTGGAAACCTGATGGTAGCGTTAAAGATCCATCATCTTCCACGCCTATGGAGACGGAACAAATCAATGAGTATCCGTATACAAACGAGTGGCCTATTCAATCTGGAAAACAAATGCTGATGGTCAACGCGGCAATCATGATGAATACTGCGAAGGGTATGCGTCCAAATTATAAGCCCTTCGTAGTATTACTCGATTTGCCTCGTCATGGTTAGTTAAATTTCTTGCTTTTGTTCTTTTTTTCGGTATACCAGGTATTTTGCCAGCCTTTTAAAACTGGTATTTAGCGGATTTGGTTTTGGTGTTGGTGTTGGTGGATATGCGGTGCGGGATTTTGAACACTTGAAGGCAAAACAAGGACTCCCATTCTAGCGAACTTTATTAGTTTAGAAATAATCAATTGAACTTTTCCAAAAAAAAATAATTAAAAAATTGATACTGTCGTAAAAGTCCAAACTTGAAAAAGAATGTCTCTTGATTACCTTGCCTTCCTCGCTTACCCGTACCGCTTCAGGTGATGTACACACGACACTCACTTGAATCTCAACACCTGGTCGCGATTTCCAAACTGCCTCTTATTCTTCCCTCCATGAGTAAGATTAGCATCACAAACTACAGACTGCTATATATCATTTCAACGTGATAAGAATGCACTCGGCGCGTTATGTCATGGCCTAGTAGACCCTTTGCACGAGTGACTCCGCTATGCGCGTTTGTTAAGCATACAGTAAGCATTATTCGATCTTCTCCAGACGCAGAACTTTTCTATTACCATTGTTTAATTTCCCACTAGTATACGTACGTGAAAGTAAAAGGAATTATGCCTTCCACAGATAATGTTTGAAATAGGGAAGGGACATCTCTCCTTACATCAAACTCCTATTTCGCAAACGCCAAAGTCCAAATCAGATTTGACGATTTGTTGTTGATTATTTATTCATTCAGCGCCCGTCCTTCTTCGTTTGAATTATCGTAGATTACAAGCTGCTCAATGAGAATTTACTTGGGGGTAAGCTCTGCTGAGTGCTGTGGTCCTAGATTATATGATCACAACAATAGCGTAATTAGGAGATGGATACTATATTTCGAGAAATCAGATGCGAAGAAGGTTTTCTTATAATTCAGTTCACAATGGTAGCATTAAGACAGAAGCTTAGAAAGAATAAAATCCATAAAATCTAAAACCTAAACCCTAAACCCTAAACCATAAAATTCCCAAACACCCAAATTACCTACCCAAGAAAACTTCACAAATTTTCCCTCCCCTCTAAATGTTACAAATCATCTAAACCCACCCCTCTAAAACAATTTTTCACCATTTCCAACCGCCAAATCCCCAATCCCCAATCCCTAAATCTACCACCCACTCAAAACCTCCACCCTCTTCCCAAAATAACTCACAGCCCCCGCAGTCGCAGGTCTCCCATCCCTCTCCCTCTCCTTCTCCATCTCCACACTCCTCTTCTTAACCCCCAAATCCCTCTTTACTTCCTCCACATCCAACCCCCCAATCAAACCCCTAATTGCCTCCAAAACCACCGCCTCAAACGCCGCAATCTCACATTTTGCCACACATTTAACATCATACTCCAATCTCAACGCGATCGCCTTATCAGAAAGCACTGAAAACTCCACCAAAAGCGCAAATTTACTACCTTCGGTATAAGTAATCAGCGGATCTACACCCTCAATCATAGTTTTCGGAGCGCGGTTGTCGTGGAAAGTAACCATGACGTCTAGGAGAGGATGATTGGGGAAATGCGACGCGGTGGATGTGGCATTGAGGATTTGATCCCAGGGCATAGCGTGCGCGATGGCTTCTTGACTGGAGGTTTGCACGCTGCGGAGGAAGGAGGTACTACTTGTGGGTTGTGTAGATGGGTGGCGGATGCGGATGGGGAGGGGTTCGAGGAATAATCCGACGGTTTCGAGATCTTTGGCGCCGCGGTTAAAGTAGGGTCCTCCGAGGACGATGTCCATGTCATTTTGGTCGTGTTGGAGGGAAAGTGCTACAGCGCCGAGAGCTAATTGATGGAGTGTTACTTTTTGTTCTTCGGTGAATGTGAGGATTTGTCGCGTGAGATCTTGTGGGAGTTTCGTGAGTCGTGTACGACCTGCGTATGTGGTACGTTGTGGAAGATTAGGAAGGGTATAAGTTTGTGTTGCTCCGTGGAGATATTCTTTCCACCATTTCTGCTCGTCTGGAGTAGCTGTGCTGCTCCATTGTGTGGTATCCATGTAAGTATGCTCGACGGGTTGTAAAGAGCCACCGCTATAAAGAGTAGTGACTTCCTTGAGGAGAACTTCGAGGGTTGTCAAATCTGCAATGATGTGACTCATGGATGCGAGCATTGTGTTTCGGGAAAGGAAAACTCGAATGGGATGTTGACGTTCCAAATCAAAAGGTCGGTTGCATTCTCTCCATAGAGCAAGTTTGTTGACTGTCTTGATCTGAGGCGGGAATCGGTCGTATCCTCTTTTTACCCCTCCTTTTTGTCCAGTTCTGACATATCTGCATCGAAGAATTCGATGACGTGCGAGTACCGTGTTCCATGCTGAGATGAGTTTGTCGGTATCAACCACGTTGCTATCGATTGAGCAGGCATAGGTAACATTGAATGAAGAAGTTCCAACATTCAATCTATACTTCTCCCACCATTCACGCTCGATAGGTGAGACTCTATATTTACCCAGTGGTACCAAACCATCATTTTCATCGGCAGGTTGAGCCTGAGCACGAAGATTATCGATAGTCCTCGCCATTTCAAATAAATTGACCGATTGCATGATATGTGAAACTGTCATCCTCACATGGAATATATCAGAGAGCTTGCTAGCAAGACGAAGCTGCATAACAGAATGACCTCCAAGTGAGACAAATTCCGAGTCTCTAGTAATCTCCACATTAGGCTCGAGTCCCAATAACTCCTTCCATGCTTCAGCGACCTTGGCTTCTGTTGAACTTTCAATCTTCTTTGGTGCGGATTCTTTCTCTACTAGCGTCATGTTGGTAATAGCCTTATAGTCCAATTTTCCAGCCGGTGTCATGGGGAATTTTTCCACAGCCATAAATACCCTAGGAACAGCATGAACAGGCAGAACCTTCGTAACCTTTGCTCTAACCTTCGCAATATCAAGAGTCTCAGGCTGCACCATAGCAACCAGATAATCGCCCTTCTGACAAATAGCAATACCAGAACATTCAGGAATAGCCTCTGCAACACGAATTTCCAAATCATTAAGATCAAGACGGAAACCCCGGAGTTTGATTTGTCGATCATTGCGACCTAGACATTCAACCTCACCAGCTCGATTGAAGTATCCTCGATCACCAGTTCGATACATCATCTCACCTTGACGATTGCAGATGGTGTCTGGAAGGAATCGCTCGGCGGACATTTGCGGCATGCCGATATATCCACGTGCTACTTGCACACCGGCGAGATAGATTTCTCCAATCACACCTGGTGGAAGAAGTTGTTGATTTCGATCGAGGATGTAGACCCGAGTTGTGGGATTTGGAGCTCCGATGTTGACTGGTTTTCCAGGAAGAAGACGTTTGATCGTGGCTCCGCACGTGGCTTCCGTAGGACCATACATGTTGTAGAGATTTTTGACGCTGGACCACACATCATTTACGTGTTGTGGGACAGGTTCGCCGACAAGATATACATTTCGCAACATGGGGAAGTCTTCTGGATCTAAGATGTTGGCGATAGATGGAGTCAAGATCGCTGCGGTGGATTTTTCCAAATGAGAGAATGGATGAATGCCATCAGCTAATACAATAGTAGCACCATAGCTTAGAGCGGAAAAAATCTCGTGGATACTTCCATCAAAAGCTGGAGACATCAATTGAGAAATTCTTTGACCAGGAAGCGCGAAAAGTCGAACAGCAAGATCTTTCTGGAATGCCACAAGTCCTTCATGACTGCACATGACACCCTTAGGTTTACCCGTTGAACCAGATGTAAAGCAGAGATATGCACTATCAGCAGGTCTTGGTGTTTGTCTTGGAGCAACCACCATGGAGCTTGGCACAGGTAATTGAACTAAATCCTCAACCGAAAGACACAGTGTGCACGACTCGGGCGCAATACCCCGTTGAGAAGATGCAGGTGTTAAGAAAAGTTTTCCACCAGCAGTCTGGAAATTAGCTTCACGGATATGACCCGGCAATGCTGCATCTTGTGCTGAGTATACTGCACCAGACTTTAGGATACCGTAGATAGCCACAAGCCAGTTGATACTTCGATCTGCGTGAACACAGACGACATCACCAGGTTGAATGTACTTGGAGAGTTGAGCTGATAATCTGGTGGCTAGGTTATCGAATTCTTGATAAGTCAGGCTTGCTCCTGCTTTCTCTACCGCTAGAATGGATGGATTTTCTGCGGCGGCGCGTTCAAATAGAGTTACCAAGTCATCTTTGATTGAGGCTGGTGATGTTTCATCTGATAAGCAGTTTCCCATCTTCATTAAAGTCTCATGAGATCCAGTAGAGAGAAGACCAGAGAAACATTCACCGATAGTCTTGGTTGGTGACAGAAGAGACAAGATAGCGCTCTGGAAGTTCTCAGATAGTAGTTCGATATCAGACTCTGCAAATTTCTGAGTTTGATATGACATTCTGATAGTACCAGTTGTGGTCATGAAGATGCTGAGCGGAATGTCTGGAACGACTTTAAACCATGATTGACCAATCGGACGAACCTTGTGGTCATCTGTAGGTTGCATATCAAACTCCATTGCCAATGCAGATGCAAATTGCCTACTGTATCCATCTTCAGGAAGCGAATGCTGGAATGTGCTTAGCTCAACCGAGTGTCTAAAGACAGACTGAACATATTCCAAAGTAGTTTGACTGCGGTCTAGCGAGACATGGAATGGCAAGGTGTTGATCAAAGGGCCAATCGTATCATCCATTCCATGAATTGGTAAATTACGACCCGAAAGAACGGTACCAAAAACCACGGTATCGGAATCAGCGTACATGGATAGTACCAAACCCCAAGCTGCTTGAAACCATGATGCCAATGAGATACCAGCTGACTTCGCAGCGGCAGAAATCTCATCAGAGGGTATCGTGAACGAAACATCGGCATTTCGAGATGTTTTGGATGGTGAAGATGGCACTGGAAGAGCCAAATCGCCCACAGGTGCTGGATGTAGTTCCATTTGTTTCCTCCAGAAAGCTCTGCTTACATCTCGGTTCATCTGCTGATATTTTTGAACTTCATGGATAACATTTGAGAATGGTGTGCCAGGAACGATATCCTGACCCATCACAATCTTTCGGACTTTTTCATACAATAGATTGGCCGAGTATCCATCAATAAATGCATGATGAACCCTCCAAATAATCGTGCTAACGCCAACATTTCCAGATCTTTGGGTCCGGGGAGTAAGAACTTTAAAAGAAACCTCCATCTTTTCCGGAACAGTTTCCTTCTCTAGTTCTGAAATATATGTATCTGTATCTTCAACAAAAACCTCATCCCAGATGAATGGTAATGGTTGTTTCGAATATGTGGCAGTAGCTCTTTCGTGATCGAAAATCGTGCGGAAGACTGGTTCCGAATCTATAACCGTCTTCCAAGCCATTTTCATGGTTGGAATATCGGCAGTACTGTATGTCTCGTAGAAACTGATGATGTTGCTACCAGGTTGTCTTTGGTAGCTATGCATAAAGGAATGTTGCATCTCTGTTATTGAAAGAGTGGATGTGGATGTGGATGTTGCATGTTTGTTAAAAGGCATTGTTCTAGAGAGTGACATGCGACGTTCATGTGTCAATCGTGTAGAACTGACAGGTGTATTCAGATCATGTGTGTTCTTTAGAATGGTTGTTGAAGGAGTGGATCTTGTTCCAGTAGCCGATTCGATGAGCTGTGTAAGGGTGGGACTTAAAAGAATGGATGGTATTGATAGGGCGAGACCATCTTTCTTGCATGCTTTGGATAGCTTGATAGCCATCAGTGAATGACCACCAAGGCTAATGAAATTGGAGTCCATGTCAACTTTGGTTGGAAGAATCTCAAGTATCGAGCATAAGTGACTCAGAATAAGGGCTTCTTTCTTTGACGGTATCATGCCGGAAGTCCCTTCGACCATGTTTCGTTTGGTACAGTTGTTGCTACCAATGATATCAATGAATGGAGACATTGTGATAATGATCTATGTTGTCGATGCTGATTTGTGAGATGGAAGTACAAATGCAGGAGGAGAAAACGGCCATACATAAAGGAATCATGGTGATGGATAGAATGAGGCACTTTCTAGATGAAACATAAACTTGCTCTATCCGGCTCCGAAAAGTCGATGATATTCTATCTAAAATCTCTCCTCAGCGCTTCCCGATGATGAGTATTGCAGGAACGAATCTTACATGTCAGGGTTCGCTGAGGCCGAGAGAAAGCATCTTCAGCACATTCTAGATGCATACACCATATCAAACCAGTAACCGAGCTCCCAGTTCTGCAATCCATGGCAATTATGAGCTCTTGGCTACTGTAACATTGCGTGATATACGCGCACACAAGTTTTCGTATCACAGGTGGTGCCCGGTGTCCACAATTTGAGTAAAGTCACTGGATCTACAATCACAAAATTCGCTCATCATGTGTAATGTGAAACTAGAGGGGAAAACTGTGAGCACTAAGATTAGCGCCTGAAGCCTACGGCTACTAACATCAAACGCTTGTCTCATAAAGTACTTTAGTTTGTAATGAAAATATATTTCATTACTGTAAAATGCAAGTAAAACGTGTGAAGAAACCTACGCCAAGCGGTAGGAACAATAAGAAAAGGGGGGCTGTTGTGAGGATCGCTTGATCCCGAGCATCTCCGATCGGAGAAACATATCCGGAAATGATAAAATCTGTTGTCATAACGACGATTCCACATTTCTTACCTGCAAGCTGATATAATAATACTGCCTGAGACTTAGTCATACATACCCTTCAGCTTCTAGTGAAATTCTAGTGGTAGGTAGGATGTGGTTGTGGGGACTATCCACTCGTATATGGTAAGAAGTAAACGTAGTTTTCGGCAAAAGTCTGTTGAATACACAAAATACCGTAGTACCGGATCCGAAAATATCCCCTGTCAGCACGTTCTCACCACGATCTCACCACGATCTGATATTAGACGGGCTTCCTATTGCGTGCTGAAATTATATAATGTCTATCAATGTCGTTCACCATTGATTTCTAGAATTTCAAATCATCAACTTTGAGCTCTAAACTTCTGCCACCTTTCTCTCTCAATATCAAAATTTTCACGACTAAATCTGGTACTTTGTGGTCGAAATGTCTCTTCCAAAAATTGCCGTCATAGGTGGTTAGTCATTTTCTGGATTCCAGTTTAAAATTATGTAAAAGCTAATAAATTATAGCTGGCCCAGCGGGGTTAACTTTTGCTCGTCTCGTTCAATATAATGGTATCCCATGTACCATATTCGAGTTAGACGAAGATCGAAATGCACGTACTCGAGGAGGTACACTCGATATTCATGAGGGATCTGCTCAAGTTGCACTGCGTGAAGCTGGATTGTACGAACAATTCTTGGCAGTTGCACGACCTGAGGGCGAAGTTCTCAAAATCTACGACCCGTCTGGAAATTTGCTTATGGATGAGAGTAAAGAAATTGGTGAAAGCAGACCAGATTCTTTCAAAGGCCGACCTGAAGTCGACCGAGTCCAGCTCCGTAACATGCTTTTGGATTCTCTTGAGCCTGGTAGCATCAAGTGGGGACACAAACTACAACGTGTGGAAACATCCGTTGACGGAACTTCCCTCACATATGATCTACACTTTAAGGATTCTGTTGAGAGAGGGTTTGACTTGGTTGTTGGAGCGGATGGAGCCTGGAGCAAAGTGCGCCACATAATCTCCAACACAAGGCCAAAGTTCGCTGGAATCACTGGAGTAGAAGCCAAGGTTTTGAATATCGATCAGAAGGACCCAGCTCTTGCAAAAAGAGTAGGCCTGGGTATGTGTCTTACTCTCGGCAACCACCAAACCGTATTGTCACAGCGTAATGGAGATGGATCTGTCCAAACATATGGATTCTTCCGAAGACCTGAAGATTGGCAAGAAACCTGCGGTATCGACTGGTCCGCTCCTGGTGTTGGACAGAAGTTTGTGGATAAATATTACGAAGACTGGGACCAAGATGCGAAGGACCTGATAACCAAGAGTGATGAGGAACCAATCCCAAGGCCAATGTATATGCTTCCAATTGGTCATAGATGGCTTCACAGAGCTGGGTAAGATACTTTTCATTCCATTCGCACTTTCTTCCATTGCCCCCTTCACAGTTTGAGAATATCATCTGACCATTTCTTAGTGCAACCCTATTAGGTGATGCGGCTCATCTCATGACTCCATTTGCGGGTGTAGGAGTAAACGTTGCGATGGAGGATGCAATGGAACTTGCAAGGGCTATAATTGCTCGCAAACCAACCTGGGAAGGAAAAGAAAACTTCAATGACGCAGAGGGTTTGTCGGAAGCTGTAAGAAAATATGAGCTGGCCATGTTTGATCGTGCAGAGGGGTATGCGAAGGAAACCTGGATGTACTTGAACCTTTTCTTCAACGAAAGAGGGGGACACGCAATGGTCGAAAGCTTCGCTGAACAAAAAAAGCAGCAGCAAAAGGAAGCCGAGTCGAAGATTTTGGAGAAAGAGACGATCAATACCGAGGTTGTAAGCGCCTAAAGCTTTGACTGTATTCAATTTTCGGAGTTATGGTTGGGGCTATTGTTCGGACAGGTAGATAAAACTATTAATCGTCTTCGATTGTCTCGAAATTAATGTCGATTCCAAAATATTATCGCGAGAATGGTGAAAGTGCTTGTTGGGATAAATAAATTATATGGTGAAGTCATCTGTATTGCAGTTAACGGGCTACTGGTCATGAAGACTTCATAGCGAGCACATGATGTGCATTCTAAATTTGAAAACTAAAAGAATGGTGGAGTTGGTTCGGTGGATATGGTTTCAAATAATTTCAAAACATCCAATGAAATTGTTATATGAATTAGATTCAAGGTTCAATCCTCATTCTGTTGTTGTCAGAACGCATTGAGGACTACTGAACCTGTGAAGCGACCACTTAGTAATCCAATAGCCATCATTCACTGCTCTTCGACATCAGCAGGCTAAATTTTAATGTTCGTGATTAGTTTAAAGATCTATGATGAACATCTCAAAATGAAATTGAGTTATTGTAGAAGTCAACAATAGGTGTAAGAAAGGATGATGATTGGATAACCCGTGAAGGAGCCGGCTCCGATCGGCTCCGATTCTCAAAAGCATAGCCTCCAGGAAGAGAGTAAATATACAGCTCAGGAATCCTTTGGCTTCAAAATAAATTTTGAACAAGCTCAAGAACAACCATAATTGCTTATAAGTAAACGGAAATATCGCCGATCTGCATCTGCCAGCTCTCCTCAACCGTTCGTAGCATGACCTTTACATACATCACACAACCTTTGCATCCCAATTGAACATCCATCATAAGCCTGATAGACGACAGTCAGCTGAAGCTTAGCGTTTCAAAAACTATGCAGCTTTTTGTAATTGGCGGTAGTGGAAGGACGGGTAAGATGGTTATTGAAGAGGCCCTACTCCGAGGTACGTACATACCGTAAGAATGCATTAACAACCCGAGAAATCAGCGATGTCGCCATTTCTGGACTGCGGCATCCGGATGCTGATGTGCAGGTTTAGGTCATGATGTGACAGCACTGGTTCGAGATCCCTCCTCAATAGAGCCCAGGGATGGTCTAAAGCTTGTCAAAGGTAAGAAACATATCCTCAAATACCAAAACTAGTCATAGCATTTAAGCTGGATATCTGCAAGAAGGCCCTTGACGAAGTCTAACCACAACAGGTACCCCCCTCATTAAGGCCGATATCAAAGCAGCATTCGAAGCCAGTCCCGAAATCCCGTCCGTTGTTCTTGTTACATTGAGCGCTCCTCGAGCATCCGATAGCCCTTTCGCTGCCTCGATATCTCCTCCAAGGCTTATGGCCGACTCAAACGCCAATATAATTGCGGTTATGAAGGAATTTAATGTGCGTAAGATTGTGGTAATGCAGGCTTTTGGTGTTGGGGATAGCTGGCCGCACATGCACTTCTTGCTTCGAATGTTGATGAAGAAGTCAAACATGTACCTGCAATACGATGACCACAACTTGGTGGATAAAGAGGTGAAGGCAAGTGGCATTGACTATATTCTCGCTCGACCTGCAAGACTGGAAGAAGGTGAAGTAAGGCCGGTCAAAATACATGGGAACAAGGGACAAGGCATGGCCATGATGGCTAGTATCACTCGAGAAAGTGTAGCCAATTGGCTTGTCGATGCAGCAGAGCAAAAAACATGGGATTCACAAACTCCGGTATTGGCGAATTAGGCACTATCGAGAGTGGAATGGAAAATGGTGATTGGAGTTTTTTGTTGAGGATAAAATGGTGTAATAATTATCTCTATATCCAATGCAGGAACCATTTTTCCAATTGTCTGGGAATCAAGAGTGGCGGTTCCAGTATGCTGACAAGTGTATAGATGGGATTGATAATAGCGGCAGTCCGGTACCGAATACGAAAGTAGGATATTCTCGTTTAGGTCGTCATGATTTGTGGTTGGATGTTGTAAGTTGTAAGTTGTATGTTGTATCGTTGAATGTTGTCCCGTTGAGTTGCGATTGATCGATTGATTGATTGATTGATTGATTGATTGAATTGATTGCACAATGCGACGTAACGGCTATCCGTTCAGGCCACCAGGGCCAGGGCCCACCGATTAACCTTAACCTTATCGGCCAACAGTGGACCATCACCGTATTTCTTCATCACCAACATTCATCCGCAAAACAAGTTAGAGCCAAGCAAAGAAAGCTTTAATAAGCTTTTCTGCCATCCATTCGGATATTTTCTGATCGACGGGATAATCAACTTTTACTGCGTGCTGCGTACTAAGTGAGCCAGCTAGCCTCCTTCCTCATAGGTATGGGTATGGTGGGTATAGGCAATTGAATTGGTGTCTACAGTATTTACGGCGATGTGTGCACTTGTACTCTCGTCGCTCAGCTTGCAATTGCCTCTCTATTGTAGGTAATTTGTGGTATACTCACCAGTAATATCAAAATCCTCGTGGTTCAAAGTCGGCTAATTAGCTGCGTACGTATAGCTGACCATTCGACAGGAAAGAGAAAGAAAAGGCTTTCCCTTCAACTTCTTCGAGCAGTGAGGAGAGAAGATAAATTTTACCATGTAAGACGAGGTGACGAGATACCTCTTTACCCCGTACCTAGTACGTACTGTATTGCTCTGTAGGATCACAATCCTGATTAGCACTTTGAAACTTTCCATCGCATTCGGCAAGTCAGCCATGGGAACATTGGAGCCAGGCACCATTCGCCCGTGAATCTGGAGCATGCATGTACAAATAGCTCAGTACCTACTGGGTAAGTAACGTGCCGTTATGTCTTATATGTCATATGTCTTACATCTTATATGTCTTATTTGTCCCTCTATCTCACTAAACGCTAAACTCACTAATCCTCCTAATTACAATAAATTTATAATTATGGAGTATTAATAACCCCAAGTCGGAAAGGTCTGATTACTCGAGTGCCTTGACTGTACGTACTTTCCAAACGAGCGTAAGCACCATCTTTTAACTGGCTGGTGAAAAGACAGGCCACCATGCAACTTCTCACCGGGCTGACTGTACTATACATATCTTTCTATATTTTATACATACAGCATCTGTGATTATGAGCTACCCACCACCGACCAGCTACCTTCCCAGCACCTAGCTATAGACCATACGCCCTTCGGTGTTCTCATCACGAGAATCTGACATTCTTATGGTTTTTTTCTCGTAGCTTCTTGTGCACCTTGTTCACTTCTGCCCCCCATCTGCAGTGAATCCAAACAATTAAATCCTCCGGACTCCCCTCTTTCGGTCAGACCCTTTCCATATCTAGGTATCACAACTTCCCACGACTTGTACCTACCCAATTCGCAGCATACTCCGTATCTCCACAACCACTCTTTCATATTTTACCTGCGTCTGTTATCACGAGAATCGCCGACCCTTGAAAATATGGAGGACACTCGATTTGATTCATCTCGCAAACGACCACGACCAGTGGTGTCTTGTTTGAGATGTCGTGAAAAGAAATTGAAATGCGATCGACTTTTACCGTGTCAAAATTGTACCAAGATCCCAGGTGGCTCAACAGAATGTACTTACAATCACGACCCTACCAAATCAATCCCGAAATCACGACCTGCAACAAATTCACCAGGAGATCGCACACCTGACCTCAAGAATGCGCCAACATTAGGAAATAGTGTAAATATCATCCAGGTACGTCTTTTATGAGGTGCATGGTTTCTACAATCACGTCCATTGTGGCTAACACGTCTTTCGTTTTCCTAGAGTAATAATGGTGGGGTTGGGGTTGTGGAAGAACTTCAATCTCGTGTCGCAAGACTTGAAGAGCTACTGCAAGTCTCTGGAAAGTTATCAAATATTCAAAGGTCGACATCACAATCATCACCACCTCACAGAATATCAAAGCGTACAAATGTTCCGCCTAGATTGATACCAGGTCTTTGTACCCTGGTTGTGAAAGGATCGAGGAGTAGATATCATGGTCAGAATGATCGAATCACCTTGTTGAACCAGGTATGCGCTCCACTGGCTTTCAGCCCTACCCATTATGTGGATTTTATCCAATACGACACGATACGATACTAACATTATTTTGAAGTTTCCCGAGGCAAAAGATTTCATAAACAAAAGTGCAAACAGTAATACTTCCATCATTAATCTTGCCAAAGATGTTCAATATCTACAGCAAAAGTCCCGGGGTCACCTTACCATGAGAAAGGAGACGTCGAGTCAAGAAAGTGCTGCAATTCTTTCAAAGCTTCGAGAATTTCTTCCCGGAAAACCTGTTTGTGACAGGTTGTTAAAGATCTACACTGAAAATTTTGAGAAGAGTTCAAGGATCCTTCATGTGCCTTCCTTCCTTCGTCTGTACTCGCAATTTTGGACATCCCCCGACGACAAGATATTCCAAAATTCATCATTTTTACCCCAGTTGACAACTATACTGGCGATCTGTTACAAGTTCCTCGATAGTAATTCAGGATTTGATGATGATCAGAAAACATATCTGGAAATGGCATCGCTTGAGCTTGTAGCGGCTTGGATTGACACAATCAGTAGGAAGCAGGCAATTGATATATCAACCCTGCAAACAGAAACACTTCTACTCCTTGCCCGACAGTTACAACTTCTCTCTCCAGATAAGTTATGGTGTGCCACGGGTGCTTTGGTCCGTTCTGCCATGGTTATGGGACTTCACTTAAGACCAGCGGAATTTAAGAAAATCTCACCGTTTCATGCCGAATTAAGGCGAAGAATCTGGGTAACGATTGTTCAAATGGACCTACAAGCATCCATGGCTGCAAGCATGCCAAGTATTGTTCCCGACATAGATTTCAATCAACTGGCTCCAGCAAATCTAAATGATGCCGATTTTGACGAATCTACAACCGAGCTCCCTCCTTCAAAACCTCTCTATGAATGGACCGACTCCCTTGCTCAAGTTACATTAGCTATGTCTCTAGCCCAGCAGCTGAAGGTTGTGTCGCTTATCAGAGACATTAGTCCTGTCATGGATCTTACGGAAGTGGTCAGAGAAGGGAGAAAACTGGAGGAAATCTTGCGACGTGTACCAGCACCACTCAAGCTAGATGGAACACTTCAACGTTCCCCTTCCCATCTATTGGATTGCGTTTTGTTGGATATATATCTCAGGAGACCTTTTCTCAATCTTTATCGATTACTTCTGTGGGAAGAGCGACAAGATGACCCTTCATTCCGAGAGATGCAACAGATTTGTTTGGAATCATCAGTCGCCATTCTTTCTTATCAGGACTATTTTGATCCCTCAGTCGCCGATCTGGATCTACTAAGCACAAACTTGTATTGGACCATGTTCCAAATCTGTTGCAAGAATGATGTTTTGGCTGCTGTCTTGAGTGTCTGTCAATATATCAAAACATCAACTTCCGGGTACCAAAGCAATATGCCAAGTCCAGGATTAACGCCGAATCAATTTCCAACGAGCCTGCCTAGTCCTCCAGCAACAAGTACACAATTTTCAAAAGCCAGACTCACTCGGATAGTCGAAAGCACACTGGAAGGCTTCACCAAAAGAGTTGGGGAGTTCGGTAGTGACCTGAAAGATGTTCTCATTCTTTCCGTAGTGATGCAATCAGTACGAGCGAATGGTACATCTGATCTAAAAGAGAACTTGATGTACGAAGGTGCCAAGAAGGCGTTGTCAACATGCAGGCAGACCTTGCTACAATCTTTCCCCAATGGAGAAGTTAAACTTCCATCTCATAGTCCTGAATTGAACAAGGTAAGGAGTTGCTGTGAACTGTGGAGCGGCACAATTAGACTAATTTTCTCGCAGGACGATAAGAGCACAATTAGGACGGCACCAACAGCAGATGTCTCAATGTCTATCGTAGACCAGGCCATGTATACCAGTCAGCCGGGATATTTGGATCAATTAACCACTTTGACACCTGAAATCAGCCAGGTAAATACCTCTTTCTATTATATTTCTCTTCAATTGGGTGCAACCTCCATAACATCATACTAATATGATTTTTCTCGATTATAGTTCCAAGGTGACATCTTTGATTTTTCAGATGCCGGTATATTTAATGTTGATAATGATTGGAGTTATAGTGAATCTTGGCAATAAAAGTATTCAAAATGATTAGAACAGGAACAAAAAATATACCCACTTGTTACGGATTTGACTCTTGGCTCATAGAAATTTCTTCAGTGTTCATTTCGGTTCATTATGTTTCTATATTTCTCACGGCAGAATACCTTAATATAGATTATACACCAAGGATCAAAATCATCCGAATCCAGGGGCGACAAATGCACACTTACCGACTACTATCTATTACGTTTAGGATGGGGATTTTTTATGTCACGATGAGTTATGTTCATCCAAAGCTCATGATCGCCGTCATGGTCCTTTGAATGTTCATCTTCAGATTGCATATTCAAAGTGGTTTCAAGAGAAATTCAATAGATATTTAACAGACATTTTGATTTGGAAATATACATTGAAATGGCCCTGTAAGATGAAATACGCCATCCCTCCGAATTTTTGCCCAATCACCAAAGCGCTAACATCACACAATTATCCTCTCTTCACACACCTTAACTTCATATCTGGATGATTAATCCAAATCTCAGGGTTTCTCTGCCACTCTTCGGTTTTCAACAATGACAGATCATACTCTCTTACCAAATGTACCAAAATATTCCTTATCAAAATATCCGCCACAAATTTTCCCATACACTGCCTTGGACCGAATCCAAATCTCCAAAAGTTGTATCGTGACTGTGTTGCGGTTCTCTCCATGAAACGACCTGGACGATATATGGCTTTATCTTCGCCCCAGTATGAGTTACGAATATTTAAAGCATATGAGTCAATTACGAAATTTGTTCCGGCTGGAAATTCATAGCCTCCGACAACTCTTGGTGTGGGAATACTTTGTGGCACCGAGAATGCAGCAAGGGGTCGTAGACGAGAAGCTTCCGATACACAAGCGGCTAGAAGTGTTGTGCTACTCGACAAATATTTCTCTAGCGTCAGACCATTTTCGTCGGCTTCTTTCTGGGCGGCTTGGTATTCTGCTCGTAACTCATTCTGCACGGAAATGTCCGATGCAAGAAACACCAGATTCCAGCTCACACCGCCAATTGTGACATCGAGATTGGCGTATAACATTTCATCAAGGGTGTGCAGCATTTCATTCTCGGTTAATTCTCCCATTTCTTTCGCCGCGAATAAGTCCAAGATGGGGGCGTTGAGACCTTGTTCCTTCGCTCTTCGACAAGCAAATTCATTGAACGCAATCCATCGCTCTCGGAATGCTGCAAGGTCTTTATTGGCTTGTGTAGGTAGATAAGCTGACCAGTCGAAACGAGTAAGCCCGCCCGAGATGACGTGCTTGAAGAAGGATTCGCGGATCGGAGCGAGGGCACGGAGCTCGGATTCAACATCGGGAGCTAGCTTCCCGTAAACGACTTCGGCCACAATCAAGAATGGAAGAAGTTTCAGATCGTCTGCTGGGTCGATAAGACCACGTGCCAAGTCTTTACTGTCCCAGAGTTCTTGAAAGAATGAAACTGTTCGTTGTTCTATCATTGGAACGTATCTTGGAGTGACATTTCGGTGGAATGGCTTTTCTACAATGGATCGAACACGTTTCCATTGCTGGCCACTGATTAACCCAACACATTGACCAAGTATTTGGCCCAGCAAATATCCGGAGTTGTTGTTCACAGCTTTAAAGTGTTTATCTGAATCACTGAAAACAGCTTGAATATCGGCGGCTTGAGTGAGAACACTATCATCCATATCAGAATTTGGCTCTTGGTTTTATAGTCCGAATGTATATTGGAAGGTTCACTCACATTTCTGGTTTATGGCCTGACCAAATCTGGTAAATAGAACCATATCTTGATTCCCAAAGTTCACTATTCTCTTTTCCATGAAGAAACTTTGCGCCATCACCCTGGCCATTGGGGAACTCATAATCACAACCCGGGAGTCTATGTCCAAACTCGACATGCTTGACTGGGTATCTATATGACAAATATGCCTGTTTAGAAAGTCAGTCTCATTTAATATGGCTGATGTACAATACTTGGCTGTATGGCGGTGCAGCAACTTACGTTGAGGATTTTGGAAAGAATATTATTACATGTAGCCGTCAAAGGCTTTCTGAAAATAAAAAAGCCGCATATGACTACAGCTATGACAAATTGTCCTGCAATAAAAGTATTTGGAAACATTTTGACTGCTGAATGATCCGTAGGAATGGTGAAAAAGACCAGATTTATATGCCATCTTTCAGTATCTTGTCACTACTAAGCTCTATGAATATTTCAAATCCGACGACACCGGAGCAGGAAAACAGAATTCCACAATTGCTTATGATTTTGAAATACAATCCACCAAATGATTACAATAAGCTGCAGAATAAGATACGAGGGTAAGTTTCCGGTCCGTCAAGTGATATCCGATCACCGGATCCGACTAAATTTTCATCACGCCTTCGCTTACTGTCAGATTCAGGATGGCCACTAGCGAAGTCAGCCCCTGGCAAGACTCATAATCAGACGGCTTAACCCGTGATATTGATAAATCAGTCAGTCAGTAAGATATGAGGCTCAATCCTTCAATATACCAAGAAGCTGCATGTCGGCTAGATTTCCGAGGCAACGCTGCAATGCATCGGAGATCATCATCATCATGCATCTCTACCACGTTTTTTCAGCCTTAGCGCCATATCTATTATAGTAAGTATACGATACCATAACCTTACACAGCACATGGCTTTCAGGGTGGCTCTATTCTTGGTATTCGGGTTTCAGGTTCACATATCCAATCAAGTGTTTGTCATCTGTAAGGTACGATCAGGAACGCAGTCATCCACGTGGAAACCGAGATCTCAATCCATGTATACCTGTAATAAGAGTGGCTTTGATATATCACTCTGATTCATCCAGGACCTAAATGGGATGCTTGACCCACGAATTTGGATTTCGCGTTTCTATTTCCATAGTCTCCGCAGTCACATTGTAGTCATCCACGTGGAAACAAGAGATCGCAATGCCTGTCTACCTGTAATCAGGGGGCTTTGCTTCCATTCAACTTCTAAAGTGGGATATCGAACCAAGGATTTGGAATGTTTTGTTGCTATTTTGATGGGCTCCACATACTCTTATTGCATGTCATCCACGTGGGGAATGTAATTTTGGGTAGCTCGTCGAAGGATTCTGAGTCGTTTGAGCTTTGAGCTTTGAGCTTTGGGAAGGTGTTCTCGGAGCCGCAAGAGGTAATTATTGGGAGGTTTGGTGTTTGAGGGAGGCTGTGATGGGTTTTGTGGCGAGGAGATGCTAGGTGTGAGGATTGTATAAGAGCTTGTTGGTTTCCTGAGATTAGGTTCTTTTTTTTCATCATCATCATCATCATCATCAACAACATCATCTTCATCTTAACGATCATTGACATCAATATCAACTACATCATCAACAGTCTTCAGATCACAATCAGATCTCACTAAAACCAACTATCTCTATCAAAGTCTTACACAAACTTTTCACATAAAACACCCCTTCCACCTTCGAACTACCCAACTTCAGTCAAGTAACAACCACCAAACAATCAAAATGCGTTTCTCAATCTTCGCCATCACTCCGCTCATCGCCTCCGCTCTCGCCTTACCAGCAGCCACAGTCGCAAGCTCCAACTCCAAATCCCGCCCCACCCCCTCCCCACCCAAACTTCCCGCCTGCGGTCCAACCCCGCAACCATGTTCCTGCCCCGCCGGAACCTACTACCAAGTATCCACCTCTGTAGCCATCGTTCCCGCCTCCGCCTCGGACCTCCAATCCGTCATAGGCAATTTCCTACAAACCTCCTGGTTCGGCACCAGTCCCGAATCCATCACTGGCACTGGCACCATCCCCGGCGCCCAACGTCATCTCCTCGGTGAAATCCCCGGTGCAGGTATCTACCCCATCACCGAAGAACTCACACTCTACAAACCCTACCCCAACAATGGGGGTTTCTATCAGAAATTCCAAATGGGCGATGCACCATTCTATTTCAATATGACGACTGGTGCGCCCGGGATTCTGGGGGGTACGTGGGATATTGTTGATGTGCATGCGATTGGGTCGAAGACTTCGAGTTGGTTGTGGAATATTTATGCTTGTTTTAGTGTGGATTTTGATTTTCAGGGTTTTCATGAGAGTGCTATGTTGAATGTTACGAGTATTTTGAAGAGTCAGGGGAAGACTAGTGGGAGTCTTATTGGGCCGTTTTCTTATTAGGTTGGCTTTTAAGATCTTATATGTGGGTGAGGGGGTTTAATTGGGGAGTCTAGGTGGGAGGAAGTAGGAAATTCGGGGAGTGGTTTTTTTCTTTAGAGTGTTTTGTTTTGTTTTTTTTGGCTAGCTGGGTCATTTTGTTCTCATTTTTTCGCTTATTGGATGAAGAGGGGGATTTGGGGGATGTTTGCGCTTGTTCTTTTTTTCTTTTTTCACAAGACTTATATACCTTCTTCAGCTTTGCTTTCTGTACAGATAGCTTAGATATCACTGCTCGCGCAGAAACTGTTTGTTTGGAGTTTTCATTTTTATCAAAGAAGGGGATTTGGGGGATTTTAGAAACGGGGTTTTAGAAAGGGGGTTTTAGGAATGGGGATCTTGGTTGGGGTGGTTTCTTGTATTCTTATATTAGTTTAGTTTATTGGGGAATAAATATCTTTTTTTTAAACATTAGTTTCAACTGTTTAAAGAGTGCTGTGTTGATGTTTTGATTATTGCTTCTGCCGATGTGTTTGGAGAGAATGTGATGAATGGATGGTTTTTGGGGTTTGTAATTTTGATGTTTGCGGATTATGATTTATTTTGCTTGTCTGTTTGGTTTTGTTGCGGTTTTTAGGGGAGGTATAGATATTTACTTTTGGGATATATTTGTGGCTTCTAAGTTTGTTTAGATTGGAGATTGGGAATATGGTGCGGGTATGCAATGTAATGCGATGTAAAATCTGAAATTTTGAGAATCAATGAATAATTATAGATTATAAAGTTATTAATAATTGAAAATCACGATTTTGGGTGTAAAAGATGGCCGAAAAGTGGGGTACTAGACTTAATGAAATGCAGCACTCTGGTAGGCAAATAAAAGCGCTACTTTTGTGTTTAAGTACATAGATACAAAGATACATAGATACTTCTCACTATCTCCCATTACATACTTATTTCAATATCCATGTGACTGTAGTCGGATTATCTAATTATGGGTTAATTACATGATAAGATTATCTTCAAGAAATACTAAAAAGGAAACCCGCTACATTAAACGTATCATAGGTATATAGGTAACCAACCATATTACTCTCTGAAACTAAGATGCCTAATTATGCATATGTAACTTACATAGGTATCCTCCCGCCCTCTTTCTCTCAATTAGCCACATTGCTGACCACCAAAAGAGCCTATGGAACAGGGTGAGAATTCCTGAGATCTTATGTGCAACATATATGCATCATTCCCATACATATCTAACACAATACACACAGGAATAACGGTGGCTAAATCCGCCGAGGAAGTTGCCGAATCCTTATTAGGATTCTAAGATAATTATTTCTGCCTTGAATGCTAAACACCAACATCAATATGCGTGTCTCACCTCCTTTCTGAAGCTCAAACTTGGCTTAAAGCTGATGAGATGATAGTTGAAAACTGTCTTGCATTTATTTTTTCCACCGAGGTGTGGGATTATTTTTATTATGTATCTCTTAATCATGAATAGTGGGTGAGTAATATTGTAACAATATAATGCATTAGGTGACATCGTCTTTCGATCCGAGATCGATATCCTATGCAAGGATGCAGATTTCCAAACTTACAGCTGATGAGCTAATTATCTTATCACAATGAAATTTTCGCCGAGGTAATGGGTTGATATTTATTATATAATTTAGTTTTTATTATGTAATAATTGTAAGTAGTAAAATAGATGACCTAGTTCCTGAAATAAACCCTAGGTTAGATCTCAAAGTTTGTTTAACCAGTCGCTTACAAGGATAAGAAACAAATAAGCAGACAGCATTTCATATTTTCATCCCAAAGTAATCTCACCGAAAAATAGGATGAGACGATGATATCTTAGCATGAACAACAGCCACGCCGTAGCTTAAAATACCAAGACATCCATCTATTATTCAGCCCATTATCACATATTCTCCCTGACGCAACCAATCTGATTCCCGAGAATCTTTTGAGATATGAGTAAGCTGATTTCAGACATGGCTGATTATTAGATGAAAAATATATGAGTATGCATACCGTATCGTTGGTAATACGGCAGAATAGGGTTTTCCGACTAATTTATGCATTGTCACGGAATACTATACGCCTTTTTCGTGTTAGAGAATGGAAATGCGCAGGTTTCAGTATTGTTCTTGGATGATTAGGAGTAGATGCCAAGATTTTAACTATGAATCACCTTTTTCTTCACCAGTGAAATGTCCTCCCTGATCTATTAATAATGATGCGATGCATGTTTCCCGCATATTCCTCACAACACCGGATATGTATATATTCGGAAAATTTCCCACCCACATTTACAAGGGTATGCGAATCATCCTTCTGAATATTTTCCAGGTCACACGACGGACAGCGCCGATTGAATCATACCAATGTCACATCACCTCATCTTGCTTATATTCTAGATCTTTCTGTGGCGGCCTGCTCTTTCGATGTGGCTTGCCTGCATATATCTAATTTGGAAGTTGACATATCGGGATGTGGTGGAACTAGTGCAGGGTGTGGTTGTGCAATTTATGCTGTGTCGGATATCGAAGATGTAACCTTATCCGCTCGGCTAGATCAGGTGCTTTCGGTTATGTTTTGATGGGGGTGTATAAATCGGTAGCGTTAGCTTCCGTAATATCGGTTAATATCCATGGATCCGGATATGTACTCGTCTTTTCTGAAACTGAATGATTGTGCGAGGAAAGTAAAGGATGAAAATTTGGATTTTTTTTATAATAATTAGTAAAAGGGTATGTTCTGAGAATAGTGCTAGTGATGACAAAGAATTAGCTATATGCTTCATTGAATAAGTGTATCTTTTATAGGTATGATTCGAAATGTGCAATTCAATACACATCATTAGTAAGTTTTGGGTAGAGTGCAAACGATCAGATCAAGTATCCGGAAACAAAAACCTCATAATTCAAGTCTGAATTCAACAGAATGAGAGAGTCGTCAGGTTTGAATAGCTCGTATCACTCTTCAAAATTTGAATCGTAATTATGACAATCAAATGTCTTCAGCTTGCCAGGCATCATGATCCCATGGCATTCTTCATTATCTGGTTTAGAATCCAAACAAAAGATCAAAAGTTCATTAAAATTCATGCTATTTAATAATTCTCGATACATAGTCTAGATTTTGATAATTGTCGATGTATTATTATATACAATAGATAGATGAAGCTAGGATTCTACGACTTCGAATTTCCTTTCCCAAATTTCGCTAATTCCTTCCCTCCTTTCTCTTTTCGCTAAGCAAATAGTCTTTCGGCTTAAGGTCTTTTATGATACTTTCAAAGTACATATTTAACCTTAATATTGCTAAGACCAAAAATATGGTGAATACTTGAGAGCATTGTGAAGAGCTATTTAATTACTACTCCACAAAAGACCTAGACATAACCACCTGTTAGTTGGCCTTTCCAAGGCACCATTTCTCCTTAAAGTTAACGAGGAAAGTCAAACTTGAGATCTCATACAGGCCATCGGTGAAAATCACAGCAGGAAGGGATGATGTATACTGTGATTGGCTTTTTTAAAACCTCCTCCTCGCGTTCATTAGGAATTTTTCAATGTCATGATGAATGAGTCTAATCTAGTATCACTATTTTAATGAGCTTGAAGAAACTAGCACCATCGCCAATTCTAAAATTATATGTCATTGCAGATTTTGTTATATACCCGCACAGCACAACCACGATATCCACACTTCCAAAATCTCTAGCGGAAATTTTAGGAATAGCTCTCCCATATATCATCTAACCCTCCATACCTAACCGATTCCGTGGTAAGTGATGCCTTCAATTCCGAGTTTAAATAAGAAACATCGAACAATAGGCATCGAAATATCCTTCCAACAGTGCTGGTGCTCCTGCATAAAAAAAGAGCAAATGCTCCATCTTCATCCAATTCCAGCATTACAAATATTGTCACTCAGTACATCGATCACGGCGATCATCATCATCACAGTCTGTAAATAATAAGATCCTCCTCTAGCAAACTCAACGAGAAAATGAAACATTTTGGAAGAGATACTTGGATATTTGCAGTATTATATTACGATTTATAAGATCTATACTGATTGATTGGCGAAAACGAATGTACTGATACCTCTATCAATTAAGAAGTCATGCATGGTAATAAGTGATACATCCCAAATATCCAATATCAAATGAAGACATCTTATTCATCAGAGAATTATTCCCCCTAATTACATCTTTTATTTTCCATAAGATTACTCCTTTTTCATTATTCCCTCCAACTGACACTATCGCCAATATCTGGGAAAGTATTTCGAACAGTGCTTAATGCAATCAAAAAACAAGAAGTTTTGTATTCCTTAGATCTGGTGGAAAGATTGTTCCGGTTGAAAGACATGAGCATATTCTTAAAACCCTAGTTTTCTTTAGAACACTTAATTTATTCAGATAATCGTATTATTCTAAGAAATGATTCCTTCCCAAATACAAGGAATTATCCAAACAATAAGCATCCAAGCCCATTCTACTAATCCAGATCATCAGACTTCCTGACCTCAATACTCAAAACACTTCAATATTCAAAACCCTCCTTCCTATCACCAAACTACAGTCCAGACTACTGTCAAGAACATACTTCCCCCGAAAAGCAAACCAAATAGCTTAAATAAAATTCCTGAAGGACTCGATGACCTATTTGACTTGAATCCAACGAGATTCCTTCAAAGACTTCGAAAATCTTAAGACCAGGTCATACATATCGATGGAAAGATTCTAAATGACTTACTGGAAAACTGTTGGTACGAGAAGGATACGGAAGACGTAGCACCCACGGATTACGTAGGTCCTGTATGTCTAATTGTATTCTGTCTAAAGAGCTAGCTACATATTGAAAGTAGTAAGTCTTATATAGACTTACTAAAAGAGCTAGTCTCTTTCGCGTTCGCTTAGTTCTTTATTACAGTAGTAATTGAATTGAAGTCATTCACTTCGTTCACACAAAAACCTTCTTTCTTTTCTTTTCTTTTCTTTTCTTTTCTTTTCATCAGGATATCTACCCTTAGCATTGTACTAGACCTATTAGTAGAAATATCAATATCTCAAACCCCGTATCCCACACTAAAAAAAGATCTAATCTATATTATAAAACCAGAATACTGAATCATAAATACCCATCATAAATACAAACAAAAACACCATCTGTTGACCTCCTGGGATCTTGGCAGCATATACATATATATTGCATGATGCATATAAGGAGCAAACAAAACTCAACTTTTAATTCATTCTTTCCTTTTTGGTATACTGTTTGTTTGCTTTCAATATTTTGATTTCAAAGCACTTTAATTCCGAAGGCTGAATACCTAACCTTATTCCTTCATTTTTTTGAATATATACTCGCAGCTTAACTGCTTAGCTAGAGAATCAATCAATTCAATCTGATGCTCTTCCTAGTCTCAAGAATCCCAATACCATCTCATCCAAAAATCTCTTCTAAAACCAGCAATCACAATCACAATCTTCACATCTCTGTATCCAAAATCTTAAATTCAGACAGACTGTTCATCTCCATTAAAAGAATAAAGAAAAAGACAAAGATAGAGATGGAAAAGGAAACGGAGAGGGAGAAAATGCGGATACTTTAAGAAAAAAAGAAAAATAAACACATCAAACTCACCATCACCATCACCATTTACTAATTCTAATTCTACTCAAAACCTACTTCCATATCTTCTACACTTCAGATCCTCCACACCTTCCAAATCTGCAAAGCAAACTACTAGCTAATACCTAGCTATTTCCACAATTACTATCCCATCTTATCCTATCCTATCCTATCCTATCCCATCCCAAAATACCCCTACTTTAAAATCTCAAAATCTTAACTTCTTAAAAGATCTAAAGCTAAAGCTTAACCCCCAAATTATAATAAAAATCAAAACGATAATTTAATCATCAGGAATATTTTCTTCTTCTCTTGCTCTTAATCCTGTTTGTAATTTAAATAAAACAAAGGATTTGTGAATCTATTACTGCTCACCCCCTATCTTGCCGCAAGAAATCAGTAAATCACCACGCCACCAACATAAACTTCCTTCCAGACATCGAGCTCGCTCATCTCATCCCAACCCAACCCAACCCAACTCATTCCCAACTCATTTCAATTCCAATCATCACATTCTCCCTATCCCCATCTCCATCATTATGCCCATCCCTATCCCTATCCCCATCCCCATCCCACTCCAAGTCCAATTTGTGATGGAAAATCCTATACCCATACCCATATACATCCCTCCTTATTACCTACTCAGAGATGCAAAAAGTGCGTACAGTAAATAGTGACTCTATCACCAAAGAACTAAGATTACTAAGTACCCAGGGAATTATTAATGAGAATACTAGCCCCTTTCCATTTCCATTTCCATTTCTCAAAAAAAAAAAAAAAAAAAAAAAAAAAATAAGAAAAGAAAATAAGAGGAGAGGAGAGGAGAGATAAGATAGTCCATCAATACTATTTTCTTATATAACCAATCTTACATCTACAGACAATAGTTACATGAAACTTACTATATCCATATCCAAATACCATACATATATCATTATTCCCAATATAATTCAAATGCATAGTCGAGAAATACAATAAACCCCGCCGCATATATTTATTCGATCATTCATCCATTCATTCATTCGTTCATTCATTGATTTCGTATGTATATATGATATGCATGGTATGGCTCATGGATTCATCCACAACATTCACATCCATCCGTATCCGTCCCGATTTTATTCTCTCACCTCAACCTCAACCAAAGTTAGTCCAACATTGAAGAAGTGAATGACACTTCCCATTTTATCTCCCGTAGCAAGCGTTTCCATTTCGTTTCAACTGACCTGTCCCCCCTTTACACCACACATCCCAAAGATCTAACAACTCCAAATCCCTACCATACCACTCCTTCTTCCCTCCACCATATATCCGTCTTTAACCCTACACTTTTCTATAATATTCCTCTCAACCATCTCTTCACTTGCCTCCCTTTGAGCCCCAATACCACAATCCCAATGTCTTCCATCCGTTTTATCGTACACCTTAACCATATCCTCCCCGGCAGCTGCTACAATACGTCTAGTATCAAACATCATACTTGTAATAGGTGCATCATATGCATATGCATCATAGATTGCCCCTGTTCGGAGATCCCAGATCTGTTTTTTTGTTAGTTATTGATTCCACTATATTCCTTCAATACATCCACTAGAGATGTAGCAAAAAACAAAATAACAAAAAAAGAAAGACCAGAAACATACTCTAATACTCCTATCCAAACTTCCAGTGACCAAATGCACATCATCAAATTGCAAACAAGTAACTGGACCTGTATGTCCTACTAAACTCCTATGCACCTGACCACTTCTCAAATCCCATAAGCGAACCATTCCATCAGCAGTACCACAAGCAAGAGCCGCATCAAAAACTTGTACTGCACCAACAAAATCAGCTGTTGCATCTGGTAAACGTCCAGTTTGTCGCCATGTACCCTCAGTAGAACCCATTGTTGCTGAAGCTTGTGCTGCTGCCCACATAACATCCAATGTTTGTACACATCTTCCCTTTTCTAAATCCCATTGCCTTAATGTCTTATCAGCCGAACCAGATATAAGGGTATCGCCACGGAAATGAAGAGCTGTTACTTCATCAACATGAGCTTCCAGTGTGAATAGTGGACAATCCTGCATTGTTCCTTGCGGAATATGTGTTTGTTGTTCACGTTCCAAAGCTTCACCAAAAGCAAGCTGATCTTCCTCCCCCTCTTCTTGTTCTTCCTTTATTTTATCTTGAGGATCATAACGAGCTTTGCTTAAATCCCATAATCGAATTGTAGCATCCATAGATCCAGTGGCGACGATATTATCTTCAACTTGAAGAGTTCGTACAGATGCAGTATGTCCTTCAAGAAGTCCCATACATCTACCCGCATTCATATCCCATACTCGAACAGTATCATCTAAAGCCGAGGAAACCATTGTACCAAATGGTACATCAAAATCGAGAGCTGTAACCATATCATCATGTGCTTGAATTTCTCGAATTGAAGACCCAGGTTCGAAATGTTCATGTAAAATTGGCATAGATTTCCTTCGAATTGTTTTGTGTCTTCTTGATCCTTTCGAGGAAGATGTACTTGCGCTCGAGGGAAGTTTCTCGTAAATCGATTCCGACATGAATGAAGATTCCATTCCTGAATTCTCGACATCATCTCCTTCCTCAGCCCCAACAATGGATTTCCCTAATGCTTCCGCATCTTCGATTTGTTCTTGAGCCTCCTCTAATCGATTTTCCACATCTAGAACTATTCCGAAGTTAGTTGCCCGGCAATTCATCATTCAAAATTATACTCACTCTCATGTTCCAACATTGACTCTTCCTGTTCCAACCCCGCCAACCTATCCAAGACTATTCTCCTCATAGAATTTAGATTTGCGATTTTATTATCGATTCCATGAATCTCACTACTTGCCATGTTCTTCCTAATACCCATCATCTCCAATCGATGATTGAGAGCCTCCTTTTCTTTTTTCAACTTCGCCACACTAGGTGGTCCATCCCCCTCCGAACCCCCCTCACTAGCATTATCGATGAGTTTTCTTCCCCTCGAGATCCTCCTTCTATGCTTCTTCCCCTTCTCCTCCCCTGCCTCGGGCAAGCTTGCTTGAAATCCTTGAAATAAGGAATAACTATTTTCATTCTCGGGTATATTCCTCAACAACTCATCCGGCAAGAACGTCAGCGCCCTATACTGAATCTCCGATGTCGACAACTTTGAGCGCACCAAATCGGTAGGTGTAGTTTTCGCAAACGAGAAGACGCTCCGTTGAAGATTGGGTCTGCGAAGTTGTTTATGTAGATCGCTCATGGCATTCTGATAGTGGGTGCTAGAGGTGGGATCGATGGGCCCTATTAAATGACCAGCTGTAGTTGTAACTTTCCTACCAAAAGCTTCTAGCCCTCGGGTCTGATTGAGATAGACACCCATTAGCGCAATTATGGTAAACTGGATAAAAATTTCAAGAATATGCAAGATAGGAAAAATGCAGTAGAACTAAGAAAACACCGCATAAACATACAGATATTAGAGCCCCATCTTCATCCTCTTCTGCCCCGAATGAAGAGGCATTGCGGCTACTGGAGCCAGCCATACAAATGTCGATTCAATTCAATGATAAGATAACTTTCTCTCGTGATTGATAATTCAATGCAGCAAAAAATGAAAAACGAGTATTTGGTTGGTTCCCCTTGAATGTGTGTGTTGGCACAAATAGTGTGGTTTGGGTAGAGGATTTTGGAATTTAGAAGTTTTTTAATTTGTTCATATTCTGTTAAGGTTAAGATCTTGAAGATATGATGGATTTGGCGGTTCCGTAATTGATGTTTGGAATGATAGGTGGAAGATATGCATAAAAGTTGTGATGCATATCATAAAATTGGATAAAGGTGTGGAACTATGGTCATACATGGGGACGCAGTAAGCAACATCTCTGCACAACCTTTATACAAGATCTGGCCCTTGCACAAAATCTGGCACAAAATGACAGCACAAGGTTCTTTGCTTGCTCTGCATACAAGGCTAAACTCTGGAGCTCCCATAGTCATTGTTCTACCCCACCATTCTCACCATACTATGACTGCGCTGCTAGGTTATCCATCAAAAATTAAAGTTTCATAGCTTTCAATAGAATACACGAGGTAACCTTAACATAATCAATTTCTCCGGATCCGAGGACATATGAATACCTTCCAACCTTCCTACCTTCCTTTACATTTTCAAGTATAAATTGAGTTTAGTTCTCTCAGATTATTCTTTATTGTAGAGTTCTCGCATTCTTGAATTGTACTCGCAGTTGAACACGCTCACACAAGAACGCTTGAACTTCCAAATCTCATATTTACTTTTTGAGCAACTGAATATTTCCATTGATATATAATATATACAAAAGTTTCATAATGGACGCTGCTATTGATCTTTCTGATGCTTCTAAAGCTCTTGATCTAGCCAATATCCGTTTCCAACTCATGTATTTACCACCCTTTCCCTCTTCCTACCTCCCCATCCATCTCTCCAAACCCCCAGCTAACAACCCTCCAGCCGCCTCGAAGACACCATAACCTTCCATCTAATCGAACGAGTCCAATTCCCCCTCAATCCCACAATCTACATTCCCGGCGCACTCCCCCTTCCAGACAGCACGCTCAGTTTCCTCGACTGGCTCCTCCGCTCCCGCGAAACCCTCGATTCCCTGATCCGCCGTTTCCAATCCCCAGACGAATATCCCTTTTTCCCCGACGCTCTCAAAGAGCCTATTCTCCAACCCCTTCATTATCCCACCATCCTCCACCCAAATGATGTAAACGTCAATACCGAGATTAAAGACCACTACATCAAGACATTCCTCCCCAAAGCCTGTCTCCAAACAGGACGTTCAGACCGCGGCGAAAGAGAAGAAAATTATGGATCAGCTGCTACATGTGATATCAACTGTCTACAAGCATTATCCCGACGCATACATTTTGGCAAATTTGTGGCCGAGAGCAAGTTTCAAGCTGAGGAAGAAGCATTTACGAAAATGATACAAGCGGGCGATCGCGAAGGATTAGGCCGCGCTATCACGAATGAGAAGGTTGAGTTGCAGGTTTTGGAGAGATTGAGATTGAAGGCTAGAACTTATGGAACCGATCCGAGTTTGAATAATGGGAAAGGAAATGGAGAAGAACCGCAGGGCAAGATTAATGTAGAGGCGGTAGAGGGATTGTATAGGGATTTTGTGATTCCATTGACTAAGGTTGTGGAAGTGGAGTATTTGATGCAAAGGTTAGAGAAGGATTAAAGTAGAAGAAAACCTCATAAAAATTGAATAGTTGGAAGTTCATGCAACGGTTCAAGGAGAGGATAAGTAAAATAGATGGACGGGAGGATAATCGAAATAGAAGTATACCCGGATAGATTGCAAAATCTAGAAAATACAAGGTCAGATGGGAAGACTCATTAAAAAGAATATATAAAACACTTCCAAGCTACGTATGATATTATATTAATATTGAATTTATTTCTTTCATTTCTTCTAAGAACTCTCAACTGGCGCACCCAAATATTCCCCCAAAGCTTTAACACATTCCTCCCATTTAGCCTTCTCAATAAGAATAAGTTCTCCCACAGCTCTAATACCCATTTCCTGAAACGCCCTCTTACTATCCGCCATACCCTCCCCCTCATCCTTCTTATACTCAAACTCCTCATAAGCACAACTAAACCTCTTCAGCACCTCATCCTCAGGATGGAAATAAAACAACTCCCCGGACGCCCTCGTCTTTCCCTTACTCTTCTTACTCTTCGGACCCTGCTCCTCCCTATCTAGTCTGGATTCCACCTCTCGATATCCCCTCGATACAACCAAATAATATGCAAAATCATAGGGTTCCCCATCTTCCACCGCTGCCTCCAACTCATCAACCAACATCCCATACATAGGCGGCGCCACCTCCGCAGGAACATTAATCAATCTCTCTGCCAACACCACCCCCACATCCCCACCCAATTTTCCCCCTCCATTAACAACTCTCTGAACCAAACCCCCCTCCTTCGCCTGACTAGCCAAATATCCCCTCAACCCCCTAACCGCCTCTCCCACCTCCATATCCCTCTCCCCTTTATCCCCATCCACCTCCCCATTCCCCCGATGTAAATTAAGCACCGTCATAAAAGCATACGCATCGGTACCCTCCCCATCCACCTTCACCGTACTACCAATCGTACCCTGCTTAACCACTTCATCTGCCAAATCGCTCAGATCCAATAACTGACTATCCACATCGAATAATTGACGAATGAGACTCTTGACGCCGTGGAAATCGATTTCGCGGAAATTGAACCATTCAAAGTCGACGTTGAGGATATCTTCGCCCTGGAGGATTGCATGTGTGTTAGTGTGGGATTTCTTTGACTCGTTGCAACAGTCCGCAATGCTAATCTGCAATCCCTATCCCAATCCCAATCCTTTTTCCCATCCCTCCCTCCAACCCATCTATATTTATCATCCACACTCAAATAAAAGCCAAACTCACATCACTTCCACTATCATTTTCCTCCCCAGCACTATGAACAGGCGCATCAGGAAGTTCTTCCGGATCGCGAACTCTCTTCTTAACCATTTTGAAACTGTGTATGTGATTAAACCTCTGTAATCAATTTTGTGAGTAAATCGGCTTTTTATGAGCGTCCTGTCCCAGTCGAACTCGAAATATCGAATTTGATAATTGACCGCTTTGGCAGAATTATATAAATTTTGGGGAAAAGCGGGACGCTAGTGGCGGGGCATGATTCGATTGATATCAAGATGCGAATCTATTGGCAATGATTACTCGCTACATTCACCAGGGACTTTCATTTGATAAAGCTTCTATGATCTTGAACTTCTTTTATTTTGAGTTTTTATGAGCCTGAAAGCTCATGCAGATACTAGGTAATCATTCCACTTCCTTGCTTCCTCCTATTCTTCTACTTGAAAAGCCTGCCGCATCCCCAAGAAAAGAATTTCTTCAATAGCCATTATTATGCAAATCAAAAAATACCTCCAACCTCCCAAGTTTTGTTTGCATTCTGCTAGCAGTATAAACGAATTTGGGTATATGTAAAAAGAAAAAAATTGTAAACTGAGTAGTATCAATATAATTTAACACGTTTCTCCATAATCAAGCAACAAGACGACGATGCTATCATTATAATTAAAGCTGAATCATGAGCGCATAAGCCCAAGGCCAGGAAACTTGTGGTGTAATGCCGTAAGTAAAATCTAAAACGTAACGGGGCGTGAAATTTAACTCGAATGTATCGCGTTGTGTGTGAAAGTTCCGATGCTGGGCGCGTGAAAAGAATCTTATAGTCCGTAACGCCTATGCCGAATGAAAAACAATAGTCGTAAATCCGTGAGATTATTAATGAAAGGGAAAATATGAAATCTGCCATCATCATGAAAGGCCTGGTGGACCACCGGAGTCCGTTGAACCATCACCGTCGATTGTCCTTCTCCAATGATCCGGAAGACAAACACAGACCAATGGAAAAGCTTTGATCTCACCACTAACGTTTGGAGATTGGTCTTTTCGTCCGGATGTATTTGAAACACCACTGTCGCGTTGCATCTTACGCTTCTCGTCCCATTCATCCGCTCGCTCATTAATCATGACTCCAGTAGCCCATCCATCATCCCAAATACCGACAATCTTGAGCATATCACCACGTTCTAATGAAAACTCATCTCCGGCGCGTGGTTGATAGGCCCATAACGTTGCAACTTTATCACCAGGGTGAATCTCATCTTGAGAATAGTAGTCTTTGAAGAATGGTAGCTGCTCAGATTGATTGCTCGCCAAGGCTTGTGGTGATGACACACTTCCAGGAGTCTGAGGATCGTCAATTCCAAGAACCGAGCCACTGGAAAGTGACGCAGTTCGTCTATTCGGAGGTGGTCGCAAAATTCCACCTTGCATAGCTGAATTTGGACTTTCTCCGAATTCACTCGATGAAGATTGATGCTCATGTCGTCGCCCGGCAGCATAGCCGGCAGCCCCCCCTAATACAGCGCCAGCAGCCGAAGCACCTCTGTCGTGTGGAGATGAAGAATGTGCGGAGTGAGAATGTCCTTCAAGTGCCGACATTCGGGCAATCCGCCCCCCCGGGAGTACTTCGTACCCTTCCGGTGTAGTATTGGAACCTACAGGATTGTATGTCATTCCCTTATTTCTAGGCGGTGTCGGTTGATTGAGAATACTTCCATGCTGACTTCCACGTCGTCTACGCAAGCACAACGCAATGAGAAAGATTAAGGCGACGAGTGCAGCCAAACCAATTAATGATCCAATAACGATACCAGCAATGGCACCACCAGATATTCCCTTCTTTGATGTAGAGCTGGCAGCTCCCGTGGGAGATGAAGTTGGGGTAGATGTTCCGGATCCCGAGGCAGTGCTTGTGGTGAAGTTTATGAATCCTGTGATTGTAGGTAGTACTATACCAGCACAACGAGTCTCTGCTTTTGAATTATAACAGCATGTATCCGTACTATTTTGCCCACCCGTACCACAGTACTGACATAATCCAAACGTACTATTTCCAAATCCACAATTATCCGGTTCATTGGTGGAGCCTTCAACACAAGATCCAGCTAATGAATCTGATGGTAATGCGCAATTTGTGAAATCGGCGCGAATTTGAGAAATAGCATTATCCCCAGGACTTGAACAGAGTTGTCCATCAGAGATTATTATCGACTCGCTCTCCGCAAATTGGGCCTATGTCTGCCTGTTAATTTCAAGTTCATATTTTGATTTGATAGAAACTCACGCAAGAATCTGCACAAACCGGCGGTGCTTGGGTATCCGATAAACTACATGATTTTTTTGAATTCTGGATAATAGAATTACATATAGCTGTGGTTGTGTATCTAGCGTAAAGGTTTGTTGTGTTTGTAAGATTTATATTTCCGCATCCGAGTAGTTGCTGGTACCTGCATGATCGCGTTAGACAAATATCGGTATCGGCAATTTCAGAATAATATATATGCATACTTTAACTGCACATAGCTTGTTTGGACATATGCGCTTAATTGAGTATCGAAAGTAGCGCGATCGGAAACATAGGATAGAAATGGGCTAATGTTACAGTTAGTATGGATGAGCTAACACATGCTAGTAGGATGAAATCAAAACATACAAAAGCCCGGTCAGGCTGGTTTCAACTGAAGCAGAAGTAAATGCAGGACATTGTGTAGAACCGGTAAGAGAGATGCAATCCGCAATTGCAAGAGGTGCAGTCGCGAGAATTGATAATAGAGCTGTCTTGGTATAAAATCCAATCCACCGTTGCTGTCGTTTGCTTGTGCTGAGTTCCTTCCTATCTTTCGATACCACTTTCGACACCACTTTCGCTATTGTTCGGGATGAAGATGGCTTCAATGATTCGTATGCCATGCTGTTGCCGCAATGCTTCTCATTGTTCGATATCGAAGGGTAACTTGCGGTGAAGGTGTAATCGGAGCTCTTTCCCAAGATTTCCTTGCTCATGTTTTCTTTTCCGTAATCGTCCTTGCTCATACACCAAAGCCCAACTCTTTGCAATTACGCCCTTCGCTGTGTTCCCGGACCCTCTCTCTCAATAACCTCAGCTCAATAAACAAAAGTACCACCTAATATCCAAAGAGGTAGTTGTTAATCTAAACAGAATTTGTAGAAAAGAAAAAAGAAGTTCTTCCAAAAACGAATTGCAAATTCAAACGAATGATTCAGTTATTTTGTAACGATTGAAGTTGGTGATGAACAAAACGAGTGAGAAGATTGAAAAGTATTGGCTGCTCTAGAAGAAGAAGGACCAAAAGACGGTTCAAAGTCGATCGATCAGCCTCTTCCTTCCTTTAGTGACCGCCTCGTGTGTTTTGAAGCTTTATGTAGGTAGAATGAATTAGGGTTTAGAAATCTCTACCTAAGGAAAGAAAAGGCCTAGAGGGAAGAAGGCCCTGAAACTCAAGTACAGAGAACGAAAGGAAACTTTTGGCTTGTTGGCGTGGCCGGAATGATGTCTAAAAAAGGTTCAAAGGCCTGCGCTCAAGCCAAAGTGGGAAAAAGATAAGATTCACTAGGCAGGTAAAGTTCTGGTATGCGCACAGTTACCCTTGTAGATGACAGGGAGTCTCTTGCCTTAGCAGACAATATTTAAGATGAGGTGTAGCAAAATGTACCGAGTAGGTGATATCGATGTTAATATCTTTTCAGTTGAGAGTAAAGAATTCATTGGTTGAAAGATTCCGAAGAATTGGTTGGGGCTGTAACTTTTAGAGGGAGAGGGTTATCTGAACTGATGATTCTGTGCATACGCAGTATACCTACTGTTTGTTACCTACCTCCTACCTACCTAGGTATATAATAATCGATAGAAAGATGCGATGCGTGATGCGATGCAAGTCTGAATACTGTGCTTTTGCTTTTGGAAAAGCCTGCAAACCAAATACATCTAGCCGGTGTTGAAGGCCTGAGATTACCTGGGTTGTCATAAAGAAAGAATTCGGAAGAAGATTTACAATCCTGACAGTTGATGACAAGATTGAACTGATATTTACTGGCTGAGAGAGGTTCACGTACTCTGCAGGTTGGGAAAAGATAAAATATGACTTGATCGCTAAAGTTCATCGGATAAAAACCACGTTTCGTCCAATTGTGGTTTGATAACCTTTCCTCCCCCGCTAAGCTCATCGCCAATACGCATTGTAGTCTTACTTATCCCAATCTTCGTTCATTGCCACGTTCCATGCTACGCTGGATCATCTTTACTTACTAGGTAGGTAAGTATGTAAGTAGGCAACTTATTCATTTCCAACATATTTCGGAAGGGCGTCTGGTATAGAAAATATCCGAATATTCTTGCCATGTTCTTACCGTGGCCTGATTGGTTTCAATAGTAAAAGAAATGCTTGTTATGCTAAGTCTGTAAGCTTCCGTCTTTGCGGTTTATGCTTTCAGAGCCGAATTATATGGCCAATACTCCATTTGGCCTAGATGAAGGGGGCTGGGAAATGAGAAAGATGCAACTTTCCATGAAATTGCGGTTACGCTGGGGTACGAGCGAGGTTTATTTTGAAGCAATGCTTACGTCTTTGCAGTCTCTGAGGAGGTCAATGGTTTCGTATTGTCCAATCGATTGGTTAGAATATCGAATACTGAACTATGATAATATTATCGTCGTCGTATCTGGTTGTTCTCAGCCATAGTACGGAGGTACTTGAGTATCGCTAGTGATTGAATATCTGCTGATGAGTGTCACAATAACCTTTCTTTGGGGAATTTCATTTCGCTGCTTGAACTCCGCATGCAAACGATATACTGGTATGCGGGTTAGAGACAAAACTAAAAGAAGAGAAGAGGTTCATGTAAAACAACATCAACCCTGTCATATACTTCTTATCATCCTGCCCATAGCAACGACCTTGGGATGAACGACTTGTGCAATGTAGTTCATCGAATATATGTTCAGCGCTTTACGCTTCTCATGGCAGACATCTTCTCCCCACCAGAGAGTCGATGCATTGATCTGCACTGCTTCAAAAATAGGAGTTCGCCCTTGCTTGTATCCTCGCCGAAGTTTTCGATGTCGTCTTATCGACTATAATAAAGTCTCATAATCCTTGATGATTGTGTTGCTGGTTCTAGGTTTTCGGAAATGAAGTGCTGAGGACGTGCAGGGAGAGATCAGATATTGAGTACATTACTATTCGTTTGATCGTCCGGGAGTTATATTAATAAGCTTAAACTTAAGCTGGCCTTCCTCTTGTGATTTATATCAATTGATCGCAGCTTATCCTGTAACAGAGTGTCCACGAATAGATTGTTCTCTTCCCTCGAATCTTTGAAGCTTGGTGGCGCGACGCCAAGTAGGAAAACGGAAGCAACAATAAGTTAATAACAAACTTATCTAGCTACCCCTATCCTTCATCATTATGGTAAATCTCGAATAGAAAATAATCATTGTACCGGTATGTATCAGGAACAAAACATTTTTTCAAAGCTTCCTGCCCTACGATTGATCGACGATAGGAGGGGCAGAGAAAAGGCCAATCAATTTGATATCTGAATTATGTAAGTGGAGAGAAATACTCAATGCTTTTACAAACTTTACGATTTCTTAGAGTTGGCACGATCTCTTTCTTGATATTTATCAAGAAGAGCGGGTACCTTACATACCAAGTAAATGTCTAGTGACGTCTTTTCTATGATGGTTCCGAAAACATGATGTTCTGATAGCAAGGCAAGTTGATGTTTGGAAAAGCTTTCATTATGACGTATTGTCTGTCGGGTTCATCAACTATTTTATAGTCGAAGCGTATTCCTTCAACAATTCTTCATTTCATACATTCTACAATCCAAAACAATCATTCACATTATATTCTCTTCTATCTACCTGTCCTTTATCTCAATTCACATAAATCTCAAACAAATCAATCAAAATGAGCTCAAACAACGAGACCGGTGACAGATTCCACGAGGGAAAGGAAAACAGCCATCTTGCACTCGATTCCAGTAAGATTTTCCCAATATTCGAATTTCTCCAAAACCCAGTCACTGATTACTTAAATAGAGGACGAGAGAACCATTGCAAACAAGTTGGCTAGAGAAGAGCAACGTGAGAATGAGCCCGAGGAGATGAGCAAGGAGGACAGAGCAGCCAAGAAAGATGCTACCCTCCCAGTAAGTTATTGTCCTACCAACTCCTATCAATGAACATCGCTTCGCTCTATCTTGTTTTATATCGAATCTTGTTTGCGTAATTAAGTCATCATTATGTTAAAAACTGTACTAATATTTATTCTATAGGCTAAGATGCACGGCAACGAGCCCAGCAGAGGTGCCACAATCGACCAACAGCTAAGAGAAGAGGAGGAGGCTGAGCTGAAGAACAAGGGAAAGGCTTAAATGGAACACATACCATATAAATGTGTTGCAAGCAAGTAAATGAATACATACCCACCGGTATATTTCATGGGATTGTATGAATAGGCTCTGGCGACGGAGTCGGGACATAAGTTGAGGAGCCCACTGTATTTTATAAATGCCATTATCGGCGATGAGACATGATACGATAATCAATGACCTTTCATAACTTCACCTATGCATCTCTTTCCAATATAAGAATTCATCATTGTAGCGTGATAGTGAACCTTCAACCCGCAGTAGAGCATTTCTCGAAATACTTTGGTATGCCAGATTTCTTAATAGCATTGGTGTTGAACTCACTTGAGATGGTAAATTCATGTTGAAGGATTTAGCACATTTGAAATATTTAGTCGTGTTTGAAGAGTTCGAGGCTAACAGTTATCAGATATGTATCTTAAATTGCCTACCTAGTAGGGACTTATCTAACCTGCCTTTATCGCTTAGTAATCACATTCGCTCTTGAACCATCGTCATGTCAATTCATTGAAATCGACAACTACAAATCTTTTGCGCCGACTTCAACCATTTTACAACCATTTGATGGATATGATTCACTGTCACATTTAATAATATCATCGTACTATAGCTCCCAGAATCTCCATTCACTTGTCTACATAAAGCAAGCACATCCATGACTTGACACAGATGAACCTCCATTCCCTACAACCATGGGTCAAGGATTCTCCCTCACCACGCTCTCTGCGGGTTCCGCAGGTATTGATGTGCCAGAGCTCTCAGATTTGGTCTATGAGAAGTCCATGGGAACTGCCCGGTTTATGAAAAGCATTCGCGCTCGTAGTCAAGATGGAGTTGTACTCGTCAAGGTTGTCGTCAAACCTTATGCCATGGATCTCAAGAAGTATAGGAAAAAGATAATACGTGAGCAAGGCAAATTGGATCTACCTGACAGAATCTAACATATCCGCGCAGGAGAACGAAAAGCCTTGGCAGATGTCCCAAATGCGCTTGCTTATCAACGAATAGCGGAGACCGAGACAAATGGCTATCTTGTGCGACAATATCTATATAGTTCCCTATATGATCGCATGAGTACAAGACCATTTTTAGAGGATATCGAGAGGAAATGGTTGGCGTTTCAACTCTTATGCGCCGTCCGCGACTGTCATGCTAGGGACGTATTCCATGGAGATATAAAGACGGAGAATGCATTGGTTACTTCATGGAACTGGTTATATCTTTCCGACTTCTCTTCCTCTTTCAAACCAACAACATTACCGGAAGATAATCCGGCAGACTTCTCGTACTATTTCGATACTGCCGGACGGAGGACATGCTATCTAGCACCAGAAAGGTTCTTGACCACAGGAGAAACGCCAGATCCTAAAGCACCAATTACCTGGGCTATGGATGTCTTTAGTGTCGGCTGTGTGATTGCCGAGTTATTCACGGAGACCCCTATTTTCACATTGAGCCAGCTATATCAATATCGAAGGGGAGAGTATGATCCAGTTGCCTCACTGCTCAACCGAATAACAGATAAAGATGTACGAGAAATGGTGTCGCATATGATACAACTGAGTCCGGAATCTAGATATTCAGCAGAAGAATATTTGCAATTTTGGAGAAAGAAGGTCTTCCCAGATTACTTTTACAGCTTTCTACATCAATACATGGGATTAATTACGGACCCATCTTCGGGGAGAACTCCAATATCCGGATCTTCAGCTAACCTGGGCGAAGCTGATGAACGCATTGATCGTATCTATTACGACTTTGATAAGATTTCGTATTTCCTAGGCTATGAAAATGAGAAACCAGTACCAGCTACTAGGAGTCTGTCGACAGGAACAAGCTTACGGCCTATCCCTGTACATCTCAACATACCAAACAATGAGCATGTTGCTTCTGCTCTTGGCAGGCGACCTGTAGATGATGGGACTCTGATTTTTCTAACTTTAGTTGTATCATCAATGCGAAATACTGCTAGAGCCACCGCAAAGATACGAGCTTGTGATATATTACTGGCGTTCGCCGAAAGATTGACCGATGAAGCGAAATTAGATCGGGTTCTTCCATATGTCATGACTTTGCTCACTGATAAATCGGAACTTGTGAAAGTCGCAGCTATCCGTACAGTAACCCAGCTTTTGGCTCTTGTCACAGTGGTCTCGGCAATAAATGCACACGTTTTTCCAGAATACGTCTTACCACGGATGCAAATATTCCTTCCAGGTTCACCAACAGAACCTGGCGCTTTAGTAAGAGCTACCTATGCTGCATGTCTAGGAAGCCTTGCGACTTCCGCCTCCAAGTTCCTCGATATGGTTGCAACTTTGAGATCTGATGGTTCACTTCCTACTTCAGACCCTGATGCCGATGACACCATTAGTGGGGAAGCCCCATTCCAAGGCCTTTTTGATACAGCTCGAGCAGAGCTCATAGAGATTTTCGAAACGCATACCAAGGCCTTAATAACAGATAACGACTCTTCTGTCAAGAGAGCTTTTCTGGGATCTGTACCAGAGCTATGTATGTTCTTTGGTACGGCAGACTCGAATGATATCATCTTGAGTCACCTTAATACTTACTTAAACGATCGAAACTGGATTTTGAAGTGTGCTTTCTTCGAGACGATTGTGGGTGTTGCAACTTTTCTAGGCGGGACCAGTCTTGAAGAGTTCATACTGCCGTTAATGGTTCAGGCCTTGACGGATCCTGAAGAGTTTGTGGTGAGGAGTGTTTTGCACTCGTTTGCCGATATGGCGCAGCTAGGTTTGTTTCAACGCTCAAAGATATGGGAAATGGTAGATGTTGTCAGTCGCTTCACAATGCATCCCAACATCTGGATAAGAGAAGCTGCGGTGAACTTCATTTCGTCGGCAACTATTTTCTTGTCCAGTGCCGACAATCTATGCATTATCTTACCGCTCATTCGACCATATCTCAAGACTGGAGTTAATGACTACTCAGAATTAGCTTTGCTGGACGCACTCAAGAAACCACTATCGAGAGCAGTTCTTGATATGTCTATCAATTGGGCTCTGAAAGTAGATAGAGGCATATTTTGGAAACCTGTCAATCAGTTACGAACGTTTTCTTTCAGCTCGAGCAATTTTGTACCGACTGTTTCATCAAAAGAGTCTGGTCATAACCCTTTACACAGAATACCAAAGAATGAAGAGGATGAACAATGGTTGGCGAAACTCCGAAATATAGGAATGAGCCACGACGATGAAGCAAAGTTACTTGCCTTGAGAGAATATATATGGCGCCTTGCACCTTCAAAGGCTAGAGAAGGCTCAACACATCCATCCTATTTAAATAACGTCATCAACCTTCGGAGCCTCAATATCACGCCACAAACAGTAATGTTTGATGAACAGATTACAGAGGAACCACCACGCAAAATCAGTAATGGGTTAGAGAGCAATGGGGAACAGCACTCCATTACTGATGCTTTACTAGATGCTTCTATGACGATCGATGATCCCATCTCCAAGAGAAAACTCTCTGCGATGAATAGACATAAATCGAAAGCCGGCCTACCAATTACCAGTAACGGAGTGGAGCCACATTCTCCAACGTTATCACCGGCATTTCTATCCCCTTCGGATTCCTCGACACCTAGGTCCTCTTCAACGCCACGAAAAGGATCGTTAGTACGCCCTGGAAGTCCGGACACAACTGGTCAAATGAGTGACGATGGAACAGCGTCATTGTTGGAAGCTACATCTATCAAGTCAGGAGAAACTGTTCGCGATATTCGCCATAAGTCTTCTGCGATGACTCTCATGAATCGTAAAGAATCAGGAAAAAGTGTTCCCGAGACAGGTACTACTTCGACAAATGCGTTCGGTAAGGTTGAAGGACCTTTCTCACAGTTCACATCTCAACCTTTGCCAATAAGTTTAGCAAGAGATCAGGGTAGCTCAGCGAAAAGCGAAATTCGATTCAGAGCAGCTCATACCTATTCAGGTAATGATCCAAACATACTAAAAATGCTGGATGCAATGTATGTGGACAATTACCCCAATGATATTGCGGAATTTGGGCCTATGATCGCCCCTTCGAGTCGGCGCCGAGCTATTAGTAGAAACAATAGTCAAGCTGCGGACAAACCATGGAGGCCTGAAGGTACGCTTGTTGCTACTTTCGCTGAGCATGTCGGACCAATTCATCATATTGCTGTTGCTCCAGATCATGTCTTCTTCCTCACTGGTGGAGATGATGGTTGTGTGAAAATCTGGGATACTGGTAGACTTGAACGGAATATCGCTCATCGATCCAGGCAAACACACAAACATGCAAATGGTGCCAAAGTTACTGCATTGTGTTTTGTGGAGCACACACACTCTTTTGTCAGCTGTGGGAGTGATGGAAGTATCAATGTAGTCAAAGTTGATTGTATCCAAAGTGGTGGAGTAGGAAGATATGGTAAACTTCGCCTTTTGCGTGAATATCAGCTCCCGAAAAACGAATTTGCTCTTTGGGCCGAGCATTTTAAACTCGAAACGAATTCGGTTTTGCTTATTGCTACAAATCGTTCAAGGGTGTTGGCTATCGATTTAAGAGCCATGACAATTCTCTATACTCTAGAGAACCCTGTGCACCATGGCACTCCTACATGTTTCTGTATCGATAAAAAACGTAGCTGGTTACTACTTGGAACTTCCCATGGTATCTTGGATCTATGGGATCTACGGTTCAAGGTTCGTCTGAAGGCTTGGGGTGTACCAGGAGCCACATCTATATACAGAATTCGTATTCATCCTACAAGAGGTCGAGGAAGATGGGTTTGTGTTGCTGGTGGTAGTGGACAGGGAGAAGTCACTGTCTGGGATGTCGAAAAGACGCAATGTCGAGAAGTTTATCGATCTGGGTCAAGTCGAGAGGCACCAAAGAATTATGAACCTTGGCCTGTGGATGAGGACCGTCCAGAAGGTATGCTTGGCCGTTTTGCAGGAGCTCTTGAGCCAACAGGCGCTGCCTCAAATTACGGCATTCGTGCTATGATTACTGGCACTGATGCCAATGACGATAATCGTGATGTCAAATATGGTTTTCTTATCACTGGTGGTTCGGACCGAAAGATCCGTTTCTGGGATCTATCGCGCGTTGAAAGTTCAATGGTTGTGAGTGGTTTAGAGACCGATGAGCTCAAACCGTCTTACGCTAGCTCACATCCTACACCAATACTTACATTGAACAACGAGCGAGTTCCCAGACAAAACCCAACAGCCCCTAATGCTGGAACAAGAGACAGGGGGAGTGATGGAGGTAAAGCAGAGGGGAGTAGTAAAGGAGGTGGAAAGGCACCAAGGAGTACGGTTATCTCATTGCAAGGACAGAAATTATTAAGGGCGCATTTGGATTCAATTTTGGATGTGGCGTTGCTAGAGAGTCCTTACGGGATGATGGTTAGTGTTGATAGAGGGGGCGTTATCTTTGTCTTTCAGTGAATTGAGAAGGATTTTGAGAATATATGAAGGACAGGAGTTATGAAGGGAAGGGACTTGGTGGTAAAACAAATCCTTGAGATTGAGGGTGGGAAATGGGTTTATTGTAATTTTGAGATGAGTGGTATACGTAGATTGAGCGATGAGCTCTTGGATCTATTAGACGATAGTAATGAATCATAATGTAATCCTGGTAAATATTCATGATGTAATTCGGATGAGCATAATTCATGTTGCCAAACTCGAAAAGGCTGACAATCAAAAATGGTTAGCGCGAAATCAAAGCTTAGCTCACCAAAATAATTTCGAGATTGGGAGGATTCAAGATGTCAGCCTTGCGACCTCATCTACCCATTTCATAACATTCACACACACCTTCACCTCTTCGCAACGCCTCCTAATTTCGCAAACAAAGAGCCTCCCAAGTAAACAAATATGCGTCTTACAGCGGACCTAATCCAATCCTCCCTCTCCTACCTCAATCCGCTCAAGGAACGCGAATTAGATCTTCGAGGTGCGTAATTATACATTTCTGTTAAGAACAGAGTCCCAATGCTACACTTTTGAAAAAGAGCTGAGTTGATACTGGTGTTTTTGGGGATATGCAGGTCATAAGATTCCGGCGGTGGAGAATTTGGGGGTTGCGGGGGTAAGTCCTTTTTTTTGGTTTCTTGTTTCTTGGGTTTGGTGGGTTGGTGGTTGATTTTGGAGGGAGAAAGAGACGGAAGGGAAAAGAGGCGATTTCGTGCGACTTCTGGCTCTACTCTGCCTCACAAGCTCGCAATCTCACAATAGAAAACTGACAAAAATAGCCACACGATGCAATTGATTTCACAGACAATGATATCCAAGTTCTGGGCAACTTCCCCCTCAGTCCACGTCTAAGAACTCTTCTCCTAGCTCGCAATCGCGTCTCGAGTATCTCACCTACATTGTCGAAATCATTACCAAATCTGACGACGTTGGTTTTGACAAGTAATAATGTGGCAGAGTTGGCAGATTTGGATGCATTGGCTGGGTGTGCGAGGTTGACGAGTTTGGTTTTGATGGAGAATCCTGTGACTAGGAAGGAGGTGGGTCATTTTTGTTTGTCCTGTGGAATGAAGAGGATTGACTTTGTTTGGTGAAATGAATTGGACTAATTGATGAATTGGGATATAGCATTATAGGGAATGGGTCCTATTTCGATGTCCAAATGTGAGATTTTTGGATTATAAGAAAGTCAAAGCTGCAGAGCGAGAAAGAGCGCAAGAATTATTTGGTACATCTGCAGAACCATCTACTCTTGCATCGAAGGTAAACATCTCTTTATCCTCCTTTCCCCTCGTCATTTTACCAACATGGTTCCTCCAGATTATGGGCATCAAATCTCGCACATTCGATACAACCAGCACGACTAATGGCGCTTCTGCATCCTCAACATCCAAATCCTACCGCGTCAAGCTTACCGATAAAGAACGAAAGAAGGTCGAAGAATTAATCAAGAATGCAAAGAGTTTGCAGGAGATTATCAAACTAGAGAAAGAGTTGAATGAAGGAAGGGTTCCAGCTGCCGCGCAGGGCGATGATCCAATGGAGCAATAAAGAAAAAGAGCGAGGGAAGAAAAAATTTGCAGGTTGGTGCTATCAACCAGGGGCTATAATCGATGCATATTGGAACCACTACAGGTCTGGTTGGGAGGGAAGGATATGAGACGAGATGATTTTATATCATGAAATATTGAACGGGAAGGAAAGAGAGAAAAGTATTCCCATATAGGTTGCATATCACTGGGCGTTTCTGGCGAGATGATGCTGTTTATGTATGTGATGGAATTGAACGGAAGACGTGGTACTGCGCGCAAAAAGAAAGCTAATTGCTATATCCAAATGATCTTTGACCCCTGGTATATTGAGTCTTGATTCAGCTTTTGTGATGCAATGTGATATTTATGATCCATGGATACAGACTCCCAACCACGCGCGGAATCAAGTAACTAACAACTAACACCTCTTTACACAAAACAACTCTCCTTTTTCTTCTTCAATCCGCCCCAAGCATCCTATTTTCCTTACGAAATTAAAATCTTCAATCCAATGCGGATAACACCATCGCTCTAACTCATCTCTACATCTTCTTGCTCATCACTATTAGCTTGACTTTCCATCCTCAATTGCGCATTGGGATCTTCTTCTTCGGCGCTTGCTCCTGTAGTTGTACCGGAACTAGTTCTCCGCTGCTGTTGCTGTTGTTGTTTCCGGGGTTTATTGGCGGGGGTAAACCCGTTGGCGGGAGTGAAACCATTAGTGTGGATTATGGGGATGGTGTTTGGATGGGGTTGGGGTTGTGTCGGGGTCGGGGTCTGGGTTTGAGTTTGAGTTTGAGGTTGGATTTGGTTGAGGGCTGGAGGGGGAGTGGGATTGGAGGGGGATGCAGATGCGGAGTCTAGGAGGCCGGAGACGGAAACGCGGGGTGGAGCGGTGTCGAGGGGTGGGGGAAAAGTGTTTGTGCCTGAGGGGCCGGCGTGGGTGGTTGCGGGCCCGGAGAGGGGATTTGGTGGTGGTGGAGCGGGGTGGGAAGTAGGTGGGTTGGTGGATGGGGGTTGCATGAGGGTGTTGGCTGTGTTGGCGCGGGCTTTTACGACTTTGAGTGGGACGGTGCGTGGGATTATGTCGCTGAGAAATTCGAGGTTGTCAATGTGGGAGACGGCGGAGGCTGAGAAGTGTGTTAGTTGTTGGTGGAGATTGAGAGGTGGAGGGGCAACTTTGTGATGGAAATGAACGTAGTGGTGGAGTTAAAAAGTAGAGCAACTTACAAAGATCGCGGTACTGGATGTTGCGGCGAGGTTTGCGTTCAGACTTGACAACATTGTGACCTGATTCGGCCATGTATTGAATGAACATTTCCTTTTGTATGCTTAGCTTTTGTATGTAGAATATCAGAGAGGTGTTGAAAACATACGGTGGCTAGAGTAATGACAAATGCGGCATTGTTAGAGCACATATTAATGTCTTGATCGGTTCCGATAATCTTCTTGATACGTGATACTGGTAGATGTTAGTTTAGGACGAGGAGGTTTGGGTAGGAATGAACTTACGGGGTAGTTGAGTTGTTCCTGTCGCCTCGTGACGAGGAGGAATTGCGGCATTGTTGTAAGAGCTCCAAACTCGAGAGAGACGCGTCATGGTTAAACGTGGAGAGAACACTTTTGTTGAATTGTTACCGAGAAAGTCTGTTGAATGTTTAGTTGTGAAGGCAATGGATGTGATATGTCAAGGGCTCATATATAGATTACGATGGGAGGATCGAGTATCGCCAAAAGGTAAAGCTCATTACCCCTACTGTCTGTATGTAGAAGCGGTAGAGAGACCAAACACTTGTAGGTTGCAATGCTCGCATGTAGACAAGACATGATCACGTGCCAAAATAGGGGAGAAATCCAAAAGAAGTGATTTTGGTGATCTTCATGAAATGAAGCTGATTCAGCTTGAATCAGATGTGTGAATGCATTTAGTAGTTTGATAGGTTTGAAGCATCTTCGAAGACGCGAGGTTATAGTTTTCCCAAGCTTTCCAAGGGGAGATCCGGAGCGTCAAAACTCTGCATCAAAGATCCCAGCCATCCATCCATTAAGAGTGACATATCGCGTACCTTTAGGCAAAAATATGATGATATAGAGTTTTAATGAAGTTGTCGAGAAGTATACATGCAAGTTGAGTTCACAAAGGTTGAATAAACCAAAAAGAAACCACACTCACGCGTTCGAGGATCGAGTGCGCAAAGGTCGTAATGACTACCCGTAGTCTTTTGTGTTATCACGTGATTATTAACTCGTCCTAGCTTCTCGAAGGAGATCCATCATATCTTTGGTCGACAAACCCATCGTTAAAGATTCAAATATTTCTATATCAGCATCGAATAATTGTGTATCTATGAGTGTATAGTTACACTTTTTACCTAGAAGATGAAAAGCTATGTTCATGACGTTCCTCTCATACTGTCCTCTGTTGATGTCGCCACTACTGAGTAACCATGACGCTTGCATTTTGGAGTAAACAAAGGTTACTTCATATGTCCTGGGACTATCATTAAATTCCGCAATTAGCCCCTCCCAGATCTTGGGAAATGTGATAAGTCTAAGGGCTTTTAAGATAGTAAATGAAGAAGTTGCCAATCAAGATTTGGCTCATAGTAGCTACCTTTCTAGGTTATCTTGGTAGTAAATGGCAATTGGGATCAGTGGGATGAAGTTTCCTCTCCTGTCAGTGCCGTGAAGTTCCCTCTTCCAATCTCGTACTTCGAGTGCTATGTGGAGCAACTCATCTTGAACCCGTTCTGAACTACCACATCGACATTTTTGGGTATCTCATCTTTATTCAAAATGGGTGCTGTTCCTCCTACCGATCTTAATCACTTCATTTGCACTTTGGGTGAAGCTGAAATTCACAACCTAACTCCTTCAATCGATCAATACGACACGATCAACGATTTCCTCGATTACCAAGCTGAACACAATGGAGATCAATTAGCCATAGGAATTCCCAAAATAGCTCCTGATATGGGCGGACCAGGAAAGGGTTCAACTGTGAGGTTAACATCCGATAAAGGGGCAGTATTTAGAGACCGGATGGAACGCTCAGCATCCAGTGATTCTGAACGATTCACGTTTCATTTTTTCAGTTTTACAAAATTGCGGGACTTTTCATTGCAACTCGCGTGGACTATACAGCTTCCTCAGACAACAAAGACAGTTGTGAGCGAAGGTACGACTGACATAGATTCAAGATATCCTAGGTGTGTTGGTCTTATGGGCAGAAGTGATCTGGGATTTCTCTTCATGTGGTTGGCATTGATGAGATTGGGAGTTTCCGTAATGATCATCGCGTAAGTTTGAAATGCCTTCAATCTCGATATTACACTGTCAGTTGATTCAACCATCAAATGGTGATTATTGACACGTTATAGGCCATCGTCTAGCGAGGAAAACATCGAGCATCTGTGCAAACAATGTAACATTGATATCGTGTTTTACGACTTAACCCTCCGAGAGATATCATGTAATCCTCCATTTATGATGCGAGGATACTCGATCTCAAATCTTCTGGATCTTTTTACAGCCCTTGGCAGTACTCCTCGAAATCAACGTATACCAATCCATAAGGTTACGGGGGAAAGCACAGCTTACCATCACCATACGTCTGGCACCTCGGGCCTTCCGAAGCCCGTCCCCTACTCTCACCATGCTGCATGCGGAGCATTGCCAATACTAAACGATCGAAACACATTGACCTTCACCACAACACCTCTCTACACTGGCGGTATCGCGGATTGTTTACGTGCTTGGACTAGTTTATCAACAATCTGCCTTGCTCCTAATGATGGTCATCCACTGACCTCCGAGACAATCATTGAATCTTTCTCACAAGCGCAAAAGGCTTATGAATACTTGATACATAGATTCTGTGGTTTCCCAAAAACCGGTCCAGAACTAATGTACTTTTCTTGTGTTCCAATGATCGCTCAAATGCTTTCTAAATCCGCGAAAGGACTTGCATTTCTTCGAACGATGAAAATTGTGGGTGTAGGCGGAGCCAGCATGCCGAAAGAAGATGGAGACTTTCTCGTCTCCGCGGGAGTCAACCTTACTTCTCGATTTGGTAGTGCCGAGTGTTCATTTCTTCTGTCATCTCACCGCCATTATGAAACGGATCGTGAATGGCAATACTTCAGAGTTCCGGAGGGTCTTCGATATCTTGAATTTGAACCACTGTCTGATGGTTCCGGCAGATTCGAGTTGGTGGTCATGAAGGGCTGGTCACACTTGCCAAAGTGCAATCGACGAAATGGGAGCTTCGCAACGAGTGATTTGTTTGAGCCACATCCTTCAATCAGGAATGCATGGAAACACGTGGGTAGAAAAGATACCCAGATCACTCTTTCAACTGGAAAGAAATTCGATCCTGTTTGCATTGAAGAGGCATTTAAGAGATTTCCCCTCGTGCAGGATGCATTTGTATTCGGTGATGGACAGATGTACCCCGGAGCAATAATTATAAAGTCACATGTAGACCTCGGTATGAGCAATGAGGAAGTCAGGGATACAATTTGGCCTTATATTGAGAGCTTGAACAACATTGGCCCAACTCATGCCAAAATCTTCAAAGACATGCTGGTAATTAAACCGCACGTCGCCTTCTTGGCAAAAACCGCGAAAGGAACGATAAGGAGGCGATTGGTTGAGGTAAATTATGACGCCGATATTAAAAATGCCTACAAAGGTGTTACGGCAGAATATGGCAATGAAGTCTCATTGAAAATCGTAATGGAAATCGTCAAGACAGCTATTGGTGCCACTACAGAGCTGGATTATGACTCAGACTTCCGGGCTCACCATATTGATTCCGTGCAGGCGACACGAATCAGATCGCATCTCAATTCTGTACCAGGCATCTATTCTAGAACGATATATCTTGATGCTGATAAAATTGTAGGCATTCTCCAGCGTATCGGACGCCAAGCCCTTTCCCTGGAACTTGGTATACGAATGTGGAAGTGTCAGAGCGTAAGTACTCCAGCAGCCTTTGCATTATCACTTGGTTCGTCAAATCTCCAAACTACATTGCAGGTGACGGGTAGTACTTGTCTGCATGTCATTCCTCGACATATAAGCATTCAATCAAGCATCCGCCAGATGATGAAACTTGCTAAGAGCAGTAGGAAAAAGGCTAACACAAATGACTAGACTCACCAACTACATCAAAGCTTCTCGAAGTGGACCCATTGTGAATGATGACGAGGACGAAGTTCAACGGATGGACAGCATTGTTAAACAATTTGGCAAGTCGTTGATGGATGAGACTACGGAGGCATGTGTCACATTCACAAAGAACCTCAAAGAAACTATAGTAAGGATCAGCCATTAGACTTAAATCTGCACAAAAAAAAATTACTAACTAAATTCCCAGATCATTACTGGAGTCACTGGTAGCCTTGGCGTGAACATCGTCAGTTTGTTGCGATCTATATTGTCAAGTGACAAGGAACTTCGGGTTGTTTGCCTCGTTCGAGCTAAAAATGACAAAGAAGCAGTCGACAGAGTAGAGGAAGCGCTGCGCTATCACGATATATATCAAAATCTAGTATCCACTACCACAAGCTTTGAATGCAGAGCTGCGAATTTGGATCAAACTGAACTCGGTCTTTCGAGAGATGTATTGTTTGATCTTCGCAAGCATGTAACTACAATTATTCATGTAAAATCCCCTCCCAAGCTAGGCATCCGGTTGACGCAGTTACTAAATCCAACTATAGGCAGCCTGGGAAGTCAATTTCTCCATTCCTCTAAGAGATTTCACAGAGCAATTTCAAGGACTTCGCAGTTTGATAAATTTCTCTCTGTCTGGTGAAAGACCAAAGCACATGGTCTTCTGTTCATCCATAGCAAGCGTAGCCGAAGCCAGCAACAATGGAAACCTTGTCATAGAAACTGTAGACCGGAATCCTTTGCACGCTGGATCTTTGGGATACGCGAAGAGTAAGTGGGTCGCCGAAGCGATCTGCTCTTTGGCATGTCAAAAGACAAGAGCAAATATTAGCATAGTCAGGATTGGTCAATTATGCGGCAATACCGTCAATGGAACCTGGAATGAAAAAGAGGCGTGGCCACTAATGCTAAGTGCTGGAGTCCCTGGATGTCTAAATTCTTTACCAGAACTCCCCATGCGGCTTTCGTGGCTTCCACTTGATATAGCAGCTGCGGCAATTGTTGAAATTGCCTTGCAAAACACTCTTCCATACACTATACAGCCTCAAACAGCACGACACGAAGCAAAAGTATTTCATCTAGTCAACAACTCAAACCTGACATGGACACACTTGTTGAAATGGATTGGCCAAGAGAGGACAGAAGAACTTGGAGAATGGCTGCTACATGCAGAGTTGCCAAGTCCTGAAGGATTACCAGACGATCATCCGGCGAGGTCATTACTCGGCTTTTGGAAGACTATGGGAAGTGAGATCAAGGAGGATATCACAGTGAAACAGGCTCCACAATTTGGGCTTTTGAGAACAAGACAGGTGTCTTCAACCATGAGATCTTTTGTTGATCTTGATGAGGAATCAGTGAAGAAGATGTGGAAATGGGTCCAGACTGTGGCGAAAAGATGGGAGGATGAAAAGGATGGTAGGCTGAAGACGCAAGCATCCCCGAATTCACCTTTGATTTCGGATGATGATGAAGCTGTCAGTGGTATTCTTGAAAAACATTAACGCTGCGCTTCTGAGGCGATAAGCGATGTGGTAAGGAGAGTTGGTTCATGATCTTTCGGAAAGGAATTTGGCTGGATTGTCGGTCATAATGGATGATGGATGATGGATGATGGCTATGATTATTGGCTTGACTTAATGATGTATTATAGAATACCTTCGTTGTACGGTAAGCCCGTATCCATGTATTATTAACAGAGTACTGTTATAGCTAATAAAAACAACATTCATTCGGATTCTTTCATCCAGGTGTTCTCTGAAATGAATGAGGATGTATATGTCAATGACAATATTCGAGGGTGTCCAGGACCTTGCCGTGATACTCTGTACTTGGGAGCAACATGATGATGGATACTCAAGTGAACTGCTTGCTGACATATGGCAGAAATGTATAGTTTCAAAGATTTCATCCGTGAATCTTGTATCAGACCTATTACTATAACTGTGCAATTATTTTCAATTAATACTTCGGAGCCTAAGCTCATCGGGGATGAAATTGGAACTGCTGCCTTAGGCATGACTCTCTGTCGCAAGGCACAAAAAATAAAGTAACCTCAGCTAAGCTCCAAGTCGAAGCTCCCTCAATCCAACAACCTTTTCTCAACCAAGAAAAGAACTCACCACCATGTCTACCACCAATCTACCCAGTGGCTCACCACCACCCAACGCTACGTACGTGTCATTGCACCCCGACACGTCCTAGCCCTCGCATTTCCAAAAAGAAAAAAAGAAACTAACAAATCTAGACTCTACATCAACAACCTCGAAGAAACCGTCAAAATCCCCGCGCTGATCGAAGCGCTCACAGAACTCTTCTCGGAATACGGCACGATTCTCGAAATCATCGCAAAGACGAATTTAAAAGCTAAAGGCCAGGCTTTTATCGTTTTTGAAAATGTAGAAAGTGCTACGAAAGCTATAGAGGATATTCAGGGTTTTGAGCTCTTTGGAAAGGAAATGCGGATTGCCTATGCGAAGACGAGGAGTGATGCTAGTGTGAAGAGGGAGGGGGGCGAGGAGGAATATGAGACTCATAAGAGGAGGAGGTTGGCGGAGAAGGGTGAGTTTATTTTATTACTTATGGGTGATTGTGATGGATCTATGGAAGGGAAGGGAATGTGTTATCAAAAGATGGCAAAACTGATAATATTCTTTTCTCTATCTAGACAAGAAAAAGGCCGCGGAGCTCGCATCAAGCAATACGCTGAAACGACCCAGTGCGGGAGCACCGCTCGCCAACCCTGCAGATCTCGCAGCGAGACCTATCAAAGCTACCAGAGGAGCTGGACTCAAATCTTCCAATCCTGCTGCTGCAGCTGTCGTGCCTGATGAGTACTTACCTCCTAACAAGATTCTTTTCGTGCAAAATCTACCTGAAGAGTATGATGTTGATATGTTGACGAGTATCTTTGGACGATTTGAGGGCTTTAGGGAGGTGCGATTGGTGCCGGGAAGAAAGGGTATTGCGTTCGTTGAGTATGAGACTGAGACGGGAAGTATTGGAGCTAAGGAGAATACGGCGGGCATGACGTTGGGTGATGAGCAGAAGGTTATTAAGGTCACTTATCAAAGACAGTAAGTTATGGACGGATGTTGTTCGCATAAAAATAGGAATATATAGAGCTTCCAGGTGCTTGTTTCATTGTATGAAGTTTGTTGCAGCTATGGATGGATATGCTTTGAGGGTTGCTCTTCGTAGATAAGTATAGCTAAGCTAGAAACAAAAATGCTCAATCTTAATTACGGTATCTGCTAATACGCTAATACTACATGGTATTTATTCGAGTTGGTGAGCCCTCGATTGCTAAAACTAAAAACAATTAAAATGGCTCTCGGGATGCATCAGAAAATAACATCTTCATCTTCCTCATCACCCAGAATGTCTCCAGTATGTGTAGGATTCTCCTTCTCACTACCACCGGCCTTTTCTTTCTCTGCTGCTGCTTCTTTCTTCGCCTTCATTTCTGCATCCTGGGCGGCGGTATCTCTCTGTTTCTTGTTTTGGACTTTCTTTAGTCGGAAGAATTCTTCTCTGTCCAACTCATCGAGCTCAGAGTTGATATATTTGATAGTGTTTTCCGTACGTGGGATGATCACATGTTCACTGTTGCGCAGTTAGTATGGGGTTGGAGGTCCAAAGGTGATGGAAAACTGACATCGCGTTTACTGTATCACATTAGTATATGTCATGTTATATTCTTCGAAGAATGGTTGAAACTTACCTCTCCTGTTCACAACCTTGATAACCTCATCCAGAATAACAAAAGCAGTCTAGCCGCAACTTGTCAGCCCTATTGTACCCAATACTTTTAGAGGACCTCTCCCAAGCATACCTGTAAACTCGCCAATTCCACCAGGGTTTCCACAGCCCTCGCATAGGTCTCCCTACACCTCTGTACCTGTTGACCACCCTTTCCCAAACCCGTCAGACCAAAATCGTTATTGCCTTCCGTCGTATAGCTCTCAAATGCCGGTAGAAATACACCCGATACATTCTCTTGCTTCGTCCGTACACGGAATCGTGCCGATTTTGCGGACTCTTGTACTTGGTAACCAATATCTCCTCCTACTGCGTAGGTTACTTCTGCTAGAGAAAAGGCGGCTATCTGCATTACTCGGCCCATCTTTCGTTTGGCTTCATCGATTCGGCGAGTGATTTCTGGGAATCAGTTAGGGTTGTATGAAAATATCGTCGGCAATCACAGAGTAATTACCTCGGAAACGTCTGCGCAATAAGAGTTAGTATGGGAAAGAGGTTGGATTTGGATTAGACATACTTGGTTAAAGCTTCACTCTTTCTCTTTAATAGATCATGACCGGTTTGTGCTCCCTTCAATTTTGATTTCATCAATCCCAGGGACTGCCGTGTTGGGAAAACAGCTTCTCGATTCTATGATATGGTTGTTGGTTATGAAGATATATAAATCTATGAAATTGGTTGCTTTGTCTTACCGTGGCTCCAGACATTTTGACGGTCTTTCCTCTCGACTAAAGGATTGACGAAGTAGTGTTTTTTTGAACCCAAATCCCTTCAATCGATCTGAAATAAAGTCGAACTCTCAGAGTATGGGACGTTGTCGTAGGAGAAGGCTGATAAGAAGTTGTTGATTGGGCTCTCCCACTTCAAGGTTGCAACTGCCCAAGTCCAAGTCCAAGCTTCTGGGGTGTGAACTTAGCGCTTTTCAGATGCGCGCTGCTTGTTGCATGTTAATTATCTGCCACGTGACTTGAGCAGATTCCTATTTTCAGAGTCTGTTAGGAAGGATATTATTATTCAATACCTAGAGAAACATCTTTACCTTTGAAAACTGTTCATCTGGTCTTTTGGCTTGTTTGTTTATCTGCTTCTCAAGCATGTCATATCTCTTTCAAATCTCTCGTCTCTTTGCTTCACTTGTTCCCTATTCTTATCGGTGGTAAAAGGTTCCGATACCATCGCTTACATAATACATCCTCACATGTAGCCTTCCGTATCTAGTGCCAATAGACCCTGTAGGATCATTAAGATAAAAGTCGGTTGATTGCTGGTAGAAAAAAAGAGGTCGAACGACCGACCAGACAAGAACCCAACATTCTTGACGTCTTTTAAGACGCTTATCCCAATATCTCTTCCTTTCGGGCGGATCGCATTCTCTGTGTCCCAGGCAGAGAATGCCTGGAGAGTTGCTCCCTATCATGGCTGCTCCCAGCGTCCCCGAAGTAAAATCAGCTTTAACCTTATCAATTCGAGGAAAGCCAGATTTATATCTTATTGTACGTGAATACCGTCCAAAAATTACAACCTTCGTTCAATGATCCAGTCGACTAATAAGTTTACAGTCCGAAGAAGACACCATTTATGAACAGGATATCCTACGCGATCCAGGCAGTACGAAACCTTGGTTGGCATACATTGAGTTTAAATTTCAACATGGGACTCAACTTGAGCAAGCTTTCGTTTTGGAACGAGCTTGTTTACAATTACCAAGATCTTATAAGTTGTGGAAAATGGTATACATCTATGCGCGCAGACCCCACTTCAACATCTGCTGACGAGATATAGTACCTTACATTGCGAATGAAGCACTTGGGAAAGCTAAATCCTGCAGTATTTGCCTCCGAATATGCCAAAGTCAACGCGCTATACGAAAGAGCCCTCATTCTTTTGAACAAAATGCCAAAAATCTGGGAAATGTATCTTCAATTTTTGATGCTCCAACCGCTCGTTACTCTCACGCGCCGGACCTTCGATCGAGCGCTTCGAGCTTTACCTATTACGCAACATAATAGAATATGGGCCCTCTACCGTCCTTTTGCAAATTCAGCGTCAGGCTCCACAGCCGTCAAAATATGGCGACGCTACATGCAAATTCATCCAGAGGATGCCGAAGATTTTACTGAATTATTAATAGAGATGAAACTCTACACAGAAGCAGTTAAGAAATATATGGATATCCTTAATAACCCAAAGTTCCGCAGCAAACACGGAAAGGGACATTACCAATTATGGAGTGAGATGGTAGATCTTCTTGTTGAGCATGCCAAGGAAGTCGAAACTGGAGATGAAGTAGGAATTGACGTTGAGAAAATCATTCGAAGCGGCATCGATAGATTTGCTGATCAAAGAGGAAAATTATGGTCTGGTTTAGCGACATACTGGATTACTCGGGGCAGTTTCGAACGAGCACGAGATATCTTCGAAGAAGGCATTACGACAGTCATGACGGTTCGAGATTTTACGTTAATATTCGATTCCTACGCCGAGTTCGAGGAATCAATTACTGGGGTTCTGATGGAAGCTGCTGCAGTTCGATCGGAAAAGGGCATAGTGGATGAAAATGCCGATTTTGATTTGGATATTCGGATGATGAGATTCGAACAACTCATGGATCGCCGACCATTTTTACTGAATGACGTTTTATTACGGCAGAACCCCAGCAATGTCCCCGAATGGATGAAGCGCATTTCTCTGTGGGGGGACAATAAAGTTGAAGTGGTTAAAGCATACACTGATGCCATTGCTGCTATTCAGCCGAAGAAAGCCGTCGGACAGTTCCACGAGTTATGGTCAAATTATGCCAAGTTCTACGAGGAGGGTGGGGATTTACGTAATGCCCGTGTTATTTTCGAGAAAGCCGTGAAAGTACCATTTAAGTCTGTGGCAGAACTTGCGGATACTTGGATTGAGTGGGCGGAAATGGAATTGCGAAACGAGAATTTCGATGAAGCCGTCAAGATTATGGCAAAGGCAGTTCAAGCACCGAAACGATCTAATGTTGACTATTTTGACGAAACCCTTTCACCCCAGCAAAGAGTTCACAAGAGCTGGAAGTTGTGGAGTTTTTACGTAGACTTGGTGGAAAGTGTTAGTACCTTGGAAGAGACCAAGAAGATATACGAACGAATTTTCGAACTTCGAATCGCGACGCCACAAACTGTTGTCAATTACGCCAATTTACTAGAAGAGAATAAGTACTTCGAGGAGTCTTTCAAAATCTACGAGAGAGGGCTTGATTTGTTCAGCTATCCGGTCGCGTTCGAACTTTGGAATTTGTACTTGACCAAGGCAGTTGATCGAAAAATTGGTATTGAACGACTTCGGGATCTATTCGAACAAGCAGTCGAAGGATGTCCACCGAGATTTGCCAAAGTATTGTATCTTATGTATGGAAACCTAGAGGAGGAGCGAGGTTTAGCAAGACATGCGATGAGAATTTACGAGAGAGCAACCCGAGCTGTCTCTGATGAAGATCGTGCAGATATGTTTAACTTCTATATCACCAAGTCAGCGTCGAATTTTGGTCTACCTTCAACGCGACCAATTTACGAAAGAGCTATCGCGGCTTTGCCAGACAAAGATGCCAGAGATATGTGTTTAAAATTTGCCGATATGGAGAAACGATTGGGCGAAATCGATCGTGCAAGGGCTATCTACGGGCATGCATCACAATTCTGCGATCCTAGAACAAGTCCAACGTTCTGGTCCAAATGGGAAGCGTTTGAGGTTCAACATGGAAATGAGGACACATTCAAAGAGATGCTTCGTATCAAAAGAAGTGTGCAAGCACAATACAATACTGATGTTAATTTCATCGCCTCTCAAGCTCTTGCCCGGATTCAGGCGAAGACTGATGAGGATGGAGAAGAGGCTGCCGATGCAATGGCAGCATTAGAGCGTGAGGCAAGAGCTCCTGTCGGATTCGTACCGGCAAGCACAGGTCCTCAAGGTGGGAATATCAAAGAACCAGAAATAATGGTTACTGAGAATCCTGACGCTATTGACATAGATGGAATGGATGATGAATGATAGAGTAGCTAAGCGAGGTTCATTGGAAGGCGAGGTCAAAATACGGGAACATTAACCAAAGGGAGTTTGGACATAAGTGGGAATTGTGAGATTTTACGGGATCTCAATGCATAGGACGGCGTTTTCAACTGGATTCACATATGGTCAAGGCGATTGTTGGCTGCATGTGTATATGTATGTTATTGGTATCATAGTTACAGGCGATGGAAATATCAACAGTTGCTTGGCAGAATGATGGAAATTGTGGTTCCAACTTTTCTTTCTTCCTTGTACAAATTCACCGTCGGGTTCCTTCTTACATAATTCATCAACGCTAGGTATCCGTATATCATCATTGCTTCCGTCTCTTTTCATGTCCTCCGGACCACCCGCCTCGTCACGCATCCCCAACAGATTTTCGGCTATCCTCTTTCCACTCCTACTTTCTCACCCTCTCCTATCCACTCAGTCGCTCTTGCTAACTCTCCTTCCAAGTTGGTTTCCTCCCTCTTTATTGCGACTCCCACCCAAACCAAAGATACTCCCATATCCTTTCTCCGCGTGAGTTGCATGAAATACGGCATCGCGATCAATATGCTTATCGACATGACCATCGCGAGAACTCGGCGTAGCGTAAATCGAACCTTTACGTTTTTGAAAGCGGGATGGAGGTGTTTTGGATGCGTCTGAATAGAAAAGAAGGGTAAGTTGTGTTAGTGTTATTGGCGATGTTGACGGGAAAGGAAGTAGGAAGGAGAGGAGAGGATAGGGAAGATATGGAAGATAAGGGACATTTAGATGTGGGGGGATGTGATGAATGGGGTAAGGTAAAAGGAGAAGGTGATGAAGAGGGAAATGATGGTAATAACAGAGGCGAGGAATTAGGATGCGAGAAACGACGATGCAGAGGGAATATCAACGAACCCCATTCATCGGAACTTAATCTGCGATCTTGATTTGGTGATCCCGAATGCGTGTTTAGTGTTGCGTTTGGAGTGGTGGGAGTGGGTATGTTTATTGGACCTTGAGTTTTCGAGGTAAATGGATTGCTGTTTATGGGATCTTTGCGTTGTGCTGCGAAGGGGTCATTGTGTGTGAGGCCTAGAGGGGAGGTCGGGGAGATGGGAGAGGTAGGAGATGCGGTGTGCGCTGAGGAAAGAGGAGAGGAAATGTTAGTTGAAATTATAAGATCTGAAAAGATTGGGTTAGAACGAACTTTGAGCTTGTGGTGAAGCCATATTTATGTTGACGGGTAAGCTATTTCGCTCGTGGGAAAATATATATATATATGATCGACTTTTCCTGTTATCGTCTGCGCAGCTTCATGTAAGAACTTAATTCGTTTCAGTTCTGCAAATGCAGAAGAAGCTTAATATTTCAAAGATACCAAGCTTGGATCAGATCATCCGAATGAAAAATCGAAAAATGCCAATTGGTAAGTAAGTGGAAATTGGTAAATTAGTAATTCTTGATCTGATTACATCAAAAAAAAAACACAAAGAGTGAGCCACGACAAGCCAAGAGGAAGGACGGGCTCCTCCAACTGTTATTTAAAAGCTTCTGGCTATGGGTATGACGAGCCGGTACGGGAAACTCCATGCTTGCTCATGCATGAGATGGTTTGAATTAGAGGGATTCTCTGAGCTCTATCACAATTACATGTTTTGCCACGATTGTTTTTCTTTGTATTTCTTTGATGGTGGATGGATGGATGGCTTGTCTTGCTAGCTACTTGACTAGTTGGGAAAGAAATAAATCCCCGCATGCTTTGATGCTTTGCTTTTTCCTGCGTTTATGGATGTAGTGTATTGCAGTGTAGTGCAGTGTGTAGTTGTGTAACAATGTGGATGATGATGATGGTTTGAGGGGGTATTTTTATCTAATTAATGCGCATTTTTGTAAGATCTTATGTCATTGGATGATAATTGGGTATAAGTACACAAAAAGGAAAAGGTAACGCAACCTTGGCAAGACGAGAGGAGTGTTTGTGTCACTTGAGGATGGTATGTTATTGGAAGGAGGATAAAGAGCTGGAGGACGACAAGCTCGCTTAAACGAATCGGAGGAGGAGGGATTGGGCGGGGATTTTATGACGTATGGGTTTATGTATGTATCTTTGATTGATTGATTTGATTTGATTTGATTTGATTTGATTTGATTTGATTTGATTTGATTTGATTTGATTTGATTTGATTGATCAAATCATGATAGAATATTGTGGTGTGCGTGTGTGTAAATTAATGCAATAAGTTGACAAATCGACAAGCGAATCTTGGTAGGTTGGATATTTATGGAGTATGTATCATGCTGGGATATTACACTGGAGGGTATGTATGTAGGGTAGATAGCTATACGTAGGCATAAAAAGATAGTATGTAGCAATGCTGTTCACCTCATGATCACTTGGTCTCTTGACGTGAATCCACGAAATTGTGCGCAGCATGGGATAGATAATGGAGAAACAATCAAAGATGAGGGAATGGGAGTTCGCCACCTAGGATATTGAGAAATGCTGTGGAAAGGACAGAGTGGCTGTGTAGCCTGTGTTGTGGTTGGCAGCATGCAGTCATTTAAATACCAATGAAGAGGGGATTCGTGAAGGGATCGACAAATCGTGTGATGATTTGTTTCTTTCGCGGTGAAAGCGTGTGTGCATTTTGTGGTTTTTTTTTCGTGTGAGCTTGGGGTCTGCATGATGTTGTGTGTGTGGGCGGCAATGCGATGGTTGTACTTCTAGTACTATGAACGCAATGCGATGGTTGTGACACTCAGAGTTTTCGTCAGAGGGTTACTCGGGTTTGAAAGTTGGGGATAATTATATCGTCGAGGGACTTCCGATCTTATAGTTTTTTCTTGGGTTTCTTGGATCATCCAACCAAGAATGGAATCTGCTATTAATATTACTGTTGCCCTAAGTAGTCCATCAAAGTCTGTCTCATTTGTTGTTCTAGTTTCAAGTGTCTCTCTTGATTGTTGAAGAGACATCCATTTCTCCTCTTCTCTAACTTAGTCTTGTGGTTGACTTATCTTTATGCTTCTTTTAACCTAAACACATATATATCTTAGAGGTGAGATGTCCATCCAAGTTTAAGTATGAACTGCTTCAGTCGTGGATGGGAAAATTCTCTTACAAGGTAAGACTTGCCTCAACAACCTAATCTCGATAGCTCATCAAGAACTCCAAGCTAAATGTTCTCGGCTCAGAATCTAGAACTTTGAGCTCACAGGAGGTCCTTCAGTCTCTCTCATATTCAAGGGGTTCACATTGAAGGTGTTAGGCGTTCGAATTTCAGTATCATTTGTCTATATATGCAAGTTTAATCTTGTCCTTCACTATCATATATTTCCTATATATTTGCAAGTTGAACGTTAGTAGATACCACTTCTTGAAAACCTGGTTAGTATTTGAGATGGGCCAAAATATCGTAGATCTTCAGGAAAGAGCCTAGTCAGGACTGGAAGATAAGCTTTCCATTTATTATAAGCTCTCATTCTTGCTGCTTGTTATAAAATCACCATAGCTTGGTGACCTTAGCTGGAGACATAAATTGTTGAATGTAATTTTAACAAAGATAGTAGGGGTAAATATTTACGGGCTTGAAGTATAATAAAGGTCATCTCCCTCTTCAAAGGAGAAGCGAAGAGGAGTACTTTCTGCATCTAAATTTGGATCAACTCCTCCAACTGGTCCACGAAACATATTCTCCTGGCCTTGTACTCTGGAAACTAAATCATAAGGTCCATGAGCCACATGGGTTTGATCGAGAGCTCGAAAAGTTTCTTGAATATCTCCCACATCCTTATTGAGATATTTTAAAGGATCGATTCCTTGACGTTCCATTCTCTCGAGTTCCTGTCTGTGAGCGTGGCGGCGGGCCTGAAATTGGATTTCGCGAACGTTTTCATCATGAATTACTGCCTGGGGATAGAGTTCTGTACCACGTTCTTGTCTTTCCGTATGGCGGTGGCACCATTCATTTACTTGTGTGTCTCGGTTCCTGGTAATTGGGTCAAATAGACCCGGAAATTGGATGTCAGACAGCAATTCTCCGGAAAAGCCGCGGTTACCAGGCTCTACGGCTCGATTTCCAGTAGATGGAGGAAATTGGCTTGGAAGTTGATTACCAGAACGCATTTCCTCAGCACAAGCGGAGTTATTGCGCTGTGTAAGAGCATATATAGGAGGAGGGTTCAACAGGTAATGATTCTCGGCTATAGGAAGGAGACCATCCGGGCGTAATGGTTTCTCGGAAGATAGAGGCAACATGTGACCTGACATAATTGAAGCGCGAGTAGGAGTTACAGGAATTGAGCCTCGTTCTAGCGATGACCCCGCATAACTAGCAGTGGGAGTAGTATCTGATGGTAGTAAATTGGATAGTGAGGCAAAGAGAGGACTAAAGGCAGGGCTGCCGATGGGAGAGGTATCGAGCGTAAGAGCTTCATAAGGGTGACGTGCCGGAATTTCTGCCAGAAGTTCAACTGGGCCTTCTGTTGGAAGTTCCACCGGACTTTCGGCACTAATTGCCGTTGGTGGTACCTCATCTGAGTTTATTTCGCTTGCATTATTGTTGTTAGACGTTTCTAGAACATCCGATGTTGCTGAAGGAGGGTTATGAAGCTGTTGAAAGTCAACACTAGCTTCAGACTCAGAAGTAGAATTTTTAGGACTAAGGGAAGGTTTTTTTGGTTTGTAATTTTTGAGACAAGAAAAGTAGAGTGTAGCCAACATAATAGCTAATGCCCCGGCTACACCGAGAACGATGCCAGCGATTTTACCGTTGGACAAGCGAGCTTCCTCGGCCTTCAGTCCGGATGCCACAGTACCAGTTTCCTGTCCCGTGGTAACATCTCCACTTGGTATAGCAACAATGCTCTTGTTATTTAAAGTGTCGGATACATGGACGGCTTGGTGGAGTGAGAATTGGTTCGTCTCGTAGGAGGTAATGATATATGCCTCTTGTAAAAATACTCGACCGATAGTGTATTGGCTAGTATTTTCCGATCTAGCTAAAGGGAAGTAGAACTTCGATGCCTGATCTGCTCCAAATTCAGTATTTGGAATGTATGGGTAGGTCAATCGCAAGTCAAAAGCCGCGTATGGTAATTTAATCTCCACAATATCTGCATCTGTAGATGTGTCTTTAAGTCTAAAAGTAAAGATTGTGGCTGTGGATGAGTCCGAAAGGTTATTATGCTGGTTGGGATTCTCGTCGAAGGTATATAAGTTCAAGGATTCATTATACGTTAGTCCTAGGGCATCTGCGAATCGATCGCAAACGGCTTCTGGGAGCCATAAGTAAGGAGTTGAGCTATCGATTAACGCGCTGATTTTGTCATCGGCAGAAGCAAGCTGTATAGATTTATTTGATCCGTTAGAGGATGACACAAAAATACTTTCGACAAATACTTGAGGAATAGCGGGATCCTGTGTGAGAGTGAACGAAACATTATGAGGTATGAACCGATTTTCATCATATCCACCCAGTGTCAAAGACATTGGTTCTCCTTTTTGCTCTAAATCGGTTTAGTAAACTGTACTAAGAAATATATGAAGAGTTTAAATACGCACGATACACAGCGCCAGCGGTATATCCATAACCTGCCCCTACTATTTCTCCCAGACTTTCTAATTGTGTGTATGTCGAATTTGGAGTAATGTAAGAATAGTTTCCAACGCTGGCACCTAAACCGAAGCTCCCTACCCAATACACTGTGGTATTGATCATGGCAATTGTAGCGTTACGTATGGTTGGACCATCAGGCCCAAATGCAAGATTATCAAGCCCATAATCTCCATAAGCTGGCCAGTATAGCGAATCTCCTGTACCAAGATTCCAAATAGGCGAAGAGTCCAATGTCAGAAGAGAGTTCCATGTAGAAGATTGGGCTGCATTAAAGAGTGAGCCCCTGCTAGTGGAGCACTCGGAAGCTTTGAAGTATAGTTAGCATCTAAGCGAAGCAGGGTATTTGAGCTCGACCTAGTAAAGGGAAAGGAATACGAATTTTGACAATTTTTTGAATCTTTGGAAATGGCATATGATTGAATGAGGTTGAATGCCTTAGATGAATTCAATGTACTGCATTGAATCAATAATCAAGATAATCATCTTTACGGACTGCACCTTGGACACAAGGAATTCTGGCAAGAGATTTGTGGTTGGAGAAGTATCTGGCCCGGTAGAATCCTTTATTGTTACTACAACTCAAAATCTTAAATAATTCAGCCTGGTAAAATCCAAGCCAAAACTACAATATGGCATTGAGAGGATATTGGCCGATGAATATTGTCATAAAGAAAAGTAATTTGTAGATTGCCGTAAAAAAAAAGGGGAAATGGAATCAAGTGACTGGGTGGTTTGAGAACAGTGTTTCAATAATTGTGACCTGATGCTTGAGGTGATTGAAAGAAAATGTTGCTCTAAATATGATTTCAAACTGAAGTTATGTGATCTGTGAAGGATGTAATTGCTTTGACGGTCCACAGATTATCACTAGATATTGAATGGACGATATCTACTTCATGAATTGGCATTGAATGCATGGAGTTCGATAAGATTTGTGATTAAATTAATGATTTAGGTATCATCATCCGGCGACAGGAGTGCAAAGATCTCAAAAGAACAAAGGAATGGTATAGAGAAGTACAACATACCTCCATTCCGACATCCATAAGGTCCGACACCCCAAATTTCAGCGCTGACAGTGTTCGGAAGGAGATTGACCCATTGCTGTGGTGTGCCCAATCTGATAGAAACAGCGGACCACGATCCATCGTCTCCATACCTTTGATTTGTGTCAGCATCTTCATGGAGGAAGGGGCGTGGAGAGTAGTATTTGGCATACCATTCGGTAGAAGGCGTTAGACTTAAAGCTGTGGCAGCAGCCACACTATTAATGATTCTTCCCAAAGGTAAGAGCAAACCCACTTGCAGAAGAGCGCATCTTACCGTATGAGAGATCATTTCATAGTCCAGAATATTTGATAAGCAACAGAAAATACCGTGGTGCGGTGATCACCAGGTCAAGTCCCGCAGGAGTACAAAAAAGGGATATGGTAGCAACCCAGGACCAAAACGAAAGGTGACTTAGAGATGGGAGCTGCGCTGCAAAGATGAGCCCTATCGACGTCTCAATCCAATTCGATATAGTAAATTGAGCGAAATTAAGAATGATAGGCTAAGAAGGAAATGAAACTAATTACTGTTGGTACTATGGTTGTTTGAGCTTGGTCTGTCTGTTAATATGGGATAGAAAGATAGATAAAAGAGTAGACTGACTGGGAGTACGGGAGAGGCAAGAAGAGAAAGCAAGGAAAAGGAGCAATCAAGACTCGACCAAGCAAAAGCATATAAATTTCCAGGGACCCTAACAAATAGAGATTTACCATGTAAGTAGCTGGTGGAGAATATCTCTGCGCTACCTTTTTTCGCATCTATCAACCTACAGAGGTGTGATGGGGACCATCGACCTGGAAGATGTCGGACGATTCCGAACGGTTGCTCTGGAGCTACAGCATTGCCAAGAACACCTTTCGATCCTGGGGCACAAGGATGGACATGAAAATGATTGAGCGTGATCGAGCTGAGAGAGTAGTAAGTCAAAAAGATCGTGACTTGACCGATAAAGCTAAAAGAAGTTTGAAGGTAACGAGCTGCTGCTTTTAACTAATAGAAGCTAGGTCGAAAGGCTAGATTAGGTCAGCACGGTTACTTAGGTAAGATTTCATGTCAATTAAAAGCAGATGTGTAAAAGCTGTCAACCAATTTTCCTAAAGCACCAGCAACAGTTCCCTACCACCAGAGTTATATACATCTCAACATCTCGATCCATGATTATAGAGGCAGCAAAATTCAAACACTCCTATTCTCTTCAAATCTATATTCTTCAAAAGAATGTGATTAAGACGCAGTTTGTTCCAGACCTTGCCCCTAATACCAAGATCTAGGGAACGGAAAAGCATCATAGCGTGGAACGAGGACCCATTGAGCTTGATTCTTGATTAGCGTTATATTGCCATATTGATACTGTGTGGCTTTGATAGATTGCTAGGCTATCAATATGCTTTTCCACCTGAATTATCACCTTATTTTTTGGCACTTGGAAGGTCAGATATCATGAAGCTTTATGAGACTTGACTTGTAGTACATATACTACCATCATCGTACCTAAAATTTGATATATGGCAGGTCATTTGGCTAGCACTGCTTTCATGATGTCTCTTAGGCAAAAGGCATCAGCTCCCTATATTCTTCGCCATAAATATTATATCATTTTAAGATCCAGATCTTTACTTACGAGTTCCGTCATCTTATTCCAAGTGCAAGATCTAATTATCTGAGAGCGTCTTTGCCCGACCTTCTTTGCCATATTTGGGCTAGGTTCGCATTATTGCGCAACTACTGTTCGGATAGTAAGCATTAGTCTAGAGCTTCAACGTATTGAAGGACTCCATACTAAGCTATCATCTTGAGCTATACAACCCTTATAACGTCCGGCAATGATGATCACAAGGTTATCCCGAACCCGGATAGTGTGTACCCTAATTTCGTCTCTAGTTCGTCGAGAACCATTAACTTTTTTAGCTAAGTGTCGCTTGATTCAAGAGCTTGAGGCGGATATAATTAGGCAAGTCATTCACATCGCTAAACAAAACGTGATTCGGATCTACTCTCAGGTAGGATGTGGTCGCTGTTAACCTTTTCATTTTTATTTCTATCAGGCACAGCATTTCCTTTGCCTAGCATTTGACTTCCAGGTGTCGCCACAGGTAGCTTATCTAGACTCGAAGCAGGTTTTATATGGTTTATTAAGGAAATACAGTAGTTTATTGTTGAGCTATTTTATACTTTTAGTCGGGACGCACTTCTTTTACCCTGCCTTATCAGTACAAGTTGTATTAAGTTGAAGAGTAAAACGTCGATTTACTTTCAGCCATTCAGTAAATGAAACTACGATGCAAGACTATGAAGCTCTTGCATACCGCAATGGCTTTTCACTTGTCTTCCCAGCCTCATGCTGTCTCGCATTTCTACCCATCGCATTCGTAATCGCAAACCTCTTTAAACTTGTCTATAAGAGCTGGTACAGGGCCCTGAAATTTTACACCCTTTTCCTCTATATACGGGCCATAAAAACTCCCACACTCTCTCCTACACAATTCATGAAGATATGCCCCTCTCACTTCCTACATTTGATATTGTTAAGGCCAACTATCCCCTGAAGCGATCCGGGACAATACTTTGTCATGGATCAATTTTTGTAGGGGTTTCCCTCCGCCAAAATTTTTAAAGTTCCAGCTGTAGGTAAGTGATTGAATGTTCTTGCTTGGAACTACTCTTGCTGCTACTGCCAAGCACAAGTCCAAGTATTTCCATCTTCCAGCAAAGCTGCTACCTCTTCTACTAAGAAAGAATTTCAAGCTTCTATACTCAATTCCAAGAGTCTATTAATCGATTCATCAACATCTTTCTAGTCACCCTCTACGGTATCGGAAAAACAACTTTCATGTAACCACCATTAACCTTATCTACTACTTCTAATACTAGTATTGGCACTTTCAGAAACATAAGCTCTGCAGTATTCCAGCTATTAATATCAAGCCTCAATGGCCAAGTGACATAAACGGCGTGACTTTTGAATTCGTTTCGACCTTCAACTCCACTTCTCAAATACAAGCCTGATCATCTTGATATTTCCCTGCATAGCAGCAAATTTTGGTCAGCCTACATCAAGTCACCAGTTAGGTGTCAGCTGATATGTAGCCATCCCCAAGTCGAATTTTACCTTGAAAGCAGGTTATCTAAGGAATCAGGAACTTCAGCGACCAATCCAGCGAAAATTGATATTGACACATTAGAAACCTCAACCGTGGTGACTAAAATTTCCGTAAATATTGGACAATACATAGCTGCCATGAGAGGCGCGAGCTATATGATAGGGCAGGGAGTAGTCAACATACTATGAAGATTGGAATAGTGATATTGAATTTGCAAAAACCACACTCGCAGGTGTATTAAAACAGCCCACGGTGCAAGCTACATCTATAGCTAATCTTGCAAGTAAAAGGCCGACATCAATCACAACGACAAGTCTTGATATCTACGTCTAGAGCGATGATAAGCACGAAGCGGAAGAAGAATGATGTAGTGAAAGATGGTTCCTGCATTTGGAATATTCGGAGGCTTGTTCCAATTGATATCACAAAGTAACGACTTTGAGATGAAAAATGGGCTGAGAAAGATAGATATTTCCTCTAAGAATGTAATATTACTTATAATACTTCTAGTAATATAGTGTATTTAGCTGTAATTGACACTAGATACCTACTTAAGAACACCAAAATTGCTCAAATTTCTTATATAATGAGACTTGGAAGGGCGCAGATGAAATGAGGTGCGATGAAGGTGGGGAAACACCTTGATATCGACGGCCCTTCACGCTGTCAAAGTATATGAAAGTCAACCGAAATGACTTATAGATGCTGTTCAAGTTCTAGTTTCCCAATTTAATCATATGGATGATGTTTATTGTCCAATTTATCCATCCCCCTAATACCCGAGGTTGCAGTAGAATGTATGCGTAGGGTGTACATGTATCACAACCTCAGGCATACGTAGTAAAAACGTCACCATGCACAATGGAAATTACATGACTCTTTATAAATTTGTGTCACATAGAAACGAGATATAGAGTAAGATTCCAATATTCACAACCAACAAGAAACAAAAAGACTACAAGTCACACACGAACATCCCGAACGAAAGAACAGGACGCCGCCGACCTCTTTATTTACAACAGACTGACCGGATATCCTGGCTCAGTCAAACTTTTATTCCCCACCTCTTCACGTTCAATTTTATGCAGCCGTCGCCTCCCGATAATTTCGACAGAAATCTTACCTTCGAAAACCCGTCAGACATATCCAATTCTTCCAATCATGGCATTCACTCTCCTCGCCTCCAGTCCAGCCAGCTGGTCAGTCCTCAAAATGGGCTCGCCAGCTCAACGGCAAGCTCAACCCCTTCGCCAGGTTCAGCAGGAGCAGGAGCAGGATCGGGATGGCGATCGCCTCTCAATGGTGTGCAAGAGTCATTGCGTGGATTGAACTTGGAGACTAATTTTGAAAATCGCCCGAGACCATCCTATCAACGAATTGCTGAGTATGAAAATGCACTCGCTCCTAGTCCATCTAAAAGACAGCCTGAGGGACCTGGGTTTATGGTTGTGAAGAAGAAAGGCAGTATGAGAAGTGATGAAGGTCCGCAGCTGGAGAATTTCCCCAATGGTATTTTCGAACCTTTTCCTGGCTTTCAAATGACATTTTTCTAATATGATTTCTTACAGAGGTCTTGACCCATATCCTATCGCATTTGCCCGCATCTTCTTTATCTGCAGTCTCACTTGCATCGCGAAGGCTTTACAATTTGGTCACCACTCCTCACGCATGGCGCGTCGCATTTTCGAGGTTCTTTCCGGGCCAAGATGTTACAGACACGTCACCTATAACTTCGGGTCGTATTTCAGATGATGAGGAACGAGAACAATTTCGCGAGCAACGATTCTTCACGCGATTGACAGGGTTGGCAAGTTGGAGGAGCGAATATGTGCTCCGAACACGCCTCCTAAGAAGTCTTGGAAGAGGAAAACCTGCCCAAGGTGTCGAACAAAGTGGTTCAAGCCGAACAAACGGTGTCGGAAATACAGGTGCTGTCACGACATATACCTCGGGATTGTTCACGTCCGTCAATCACCTTCATGGCGTTTTCGCTCAAGGAAAGAAATATCCGCGTTTCATTCATGGCTCCGATGAAACTGGTTCTGCGGGTAGTAGCGATCCTAAACTTGGAAAAACTGATTCTTGGGGTATGGCCGATCCTCAGGCGCTGCCCCAATTTGAAGACCTCTTTACGGGCGATGTGCCCTATGGTCTTGGAGATGGTCCTGCAGGTCTTCCAAACGTTATGGATGTTAGTCAGCCTTTCGGAATGGTGTATGGAGAAGGTTTTCCAGGAGGCTCGGTCTACTACAGAGCAGCAAATGAGATGCGTGGTGTTTTTCTAGCTCATTCACCACCAAGTTTGGCAGACGCAGAATCTGGGATACCAAATATACCACCCCTCACCGAAGCGATATCCTCACTTTGGATCGCTAAATCTATGTCTGTACCCAACGTCACTAATGGTCTGATTGGCATCATGACTGGCTCGACACTCGGTGTTATCACAGCTTACAGTCTCGGCACAGATTATCTGAAGACCAAGCCTGGGCAGGTGATGGCCCGTTGGATCCCTTGTCCCGGCGTCCCTATCATTGCGATTAGCGTGGATGACTCTTATAGTACGTCACGCAGAGCACTGGGTCGAGCTTGGGCAGTCGCTCTGAACGCTTTAGGCGAGGTTTTCTACCTAAGTGACGTACCTATACACCCTCCATTCAATGCATTATTAGGTGAGGATTACTTGGGTAGGCAGGCCTGGATATGTGGTCGTTCCGTATACTGGCAAGTTGTGGAAGCATCTCGACGTATAGCACGCGATGATCCATGGCAGGAGGCTGAAGTTCATGGCAGCTATTCCCCTAGATCGTCATGTTCTTCTATGAATCTTTCCCGGCAGCAGCTGATAGCGGAAACCCACGAGATTGAAAAATTCATGAGATTTCGTCCCTTACATTTCCGCACTGTCTGTCATGGATGGGATATGCGTCGAAGACTTGAAGTTGACTTCAGTGGCGACGATGGTAACGGAGCTGGTGAGAGCGTGTTTGTAATTGGTTGTGGGATCAATGCTGGAGAGAACGCCGAAATCAAGCGATACACAAGGTGTAAAATCGAACAAGCATCGCTGGACGGATTCACGTTACCAAGAACTGCTCCGGAAACACCTCCAATGTTTTCCAAGCAAACTAAGATACCCTCAATATTTGGCAATGTGTCGAAAATCAAGTCAGAGGATATCACTTCGCCGAATTCACCAATATCGCCCATGACGAAGCTAGACCAGCCTCCCGGAGATGTGGGGTCTCTCATGGATGAAGAATGGCGAATCTCTTTACTATCTTTGAAATCCTATCCCGATGTTGAGATCACCACGTCTGCTATTGACTTATCAACTTATGCCCTGCTCACAATTGATGAAGACCCATTACGTACAGGGAATGGGAAAACAATCTTTACTCCTTTGCCAGGAACACCATCTGATGAGATTTCGTCAACCAGCATTCCCGGATACCGTGCACGCTATTTGGCTGTAGGTACCAAGATAGGCCAAGTTATATTGTGGAATATGCGGGGCCCTCAATCTGCGAATCCTCAAGTGGTTAACGAGTTACATCCCATTCGTACTATCGTCACAGAATCCCCTCAAATATCATGTTTGGCGGTTTCTGCATTGTTTATTGTTCATGGTGGTAATGATGGCCTTGTACAAGCCTGGGATCCTCTGGCATCGTCTGCTCAGCCCGTTCGTACTCTACACTCTCGCTTCTCTTCCCGTGCTCGACGACGATTAATCCAAGCCGAGGCACGAATTCATGGTGTAGGCATCAATCTTTACGCGGCAGGTGCCATTGTTCTTGATCCTGACCCAACTATCTTACGTGGCATGGTATCACTTGGTACTCATCTTCGATACTGGCACTACAGTTCCTCCGCTGCCGATCAATTCCAGACCAAAAAACGAAGGCTTCGCCGGGGTGAGCGTGGTAGTAATGGAGCAAGTGATCGATTCAGCAACACTGGAAGGGGGGCTATATTGAGTCAAATTGCCATTGAACAGCAAGAAGTCGACCAGGAAAAGAAGGAAAAAGCTAAAGAGGCAGCCAGATTTGCTGGTCGATTTGGTGTTGGCTTCGCCGGCCTTAGTGAAGAAGAAGCTTTGCGCTATGCAGAAATGGTGTCAGCTCAAGCTCTCATTGATGATGAAGAACGTCGTATCAGTGAATCTAGGTATTTTGCAGATACTAGCGAGGATTCTCCTGCCAAAGGCGGTAGTAGCGCTAGAACTGTCACACCTGAAGCTAGCACTAGAAGTCAATCTATGGTTCCGACGTCGAGTATAGAGGCTCAACCTGACTACGATCATGATCTTGAGGAGGCTATACGTCTTTCTTTAATGGATGGCCATGCAATCGGCGACAATGGCTATTCTCCAAGCAATGGCGACTATGATGTAAATTTCACCTACAAACAAAAAAAGACAGGCCGTTCAACATCAACCTCGCCATCAACTAGTCAAGCATCCAAGAACAGATTTAGTTCGGAAGGGTCATATCCTATGGACAAGCATGCTCAATTGGCGGATGACCTTGAGTTTGCTTTGCAGCTTAGTTTGGCGGAGGAACGTAGCAAACAAGAGGCTGAAGCTGAAGCTGAGACTGACGAGTTTCCGGGACTGGGGTATGCGGGAACGGGGAAGGGAAAGGGTCGAGCGATTTGACTTTAGAGGTGCTTGGGATAGCCTTCCTCTCTAATGGTTGACTTCTACTTTTGCTTCTTAGGTAGCGTGACTTTTATTCGCAGATATTTCTGATTCTTCACAGTTTTAATGATAGATATTTTATTGCTTTATTCAATTTTCTAGATAATTATTTGATAACCCGTCTTGTCGTCCTACGTGACGCAATTGTAAATCTTGTCATGATCTTGGTGTTGTTTTGTTCGCGCGAGCTATTGCATTATATATTCCTGATTATCCAAGTTGAGTCAAAGACCACCGTGGATTAAAAGGTCTAGGTTGAGGTTTGAACTTATAGATGGTGGTTGCGCTCCTTTCCTGCAACCTGGGCCACTTTCAACTCACCTCTCTCATTCAGCACGACCAAGCCACAAACCTGTGTCTGAAATGACCTACTCTATATCAAAGCATCGATTGCCTCAGAAGAGGAGCAACCTGCTTTCTACTATTCTCAATTCGTTCCTGCCACCAGCAATGTCTAATTTCCCTCTCACCATCTACATTCAACACGCCCTCACCCCAAACCTTCAACCCTAATTTTTCCTCTCCCACCATCTTAAACTTTTCTAAACTCTGCACTCCCTGTTCACCCAGGCCCCATACTAAAAGTTCCCTTCTGAACACTCCTTCATTATTGCTTGTTGTCATCACCGCGCAAATATCCAATTTTCTTTCTTTTCCCCAGTCTCCTAGGATCTCGAGAAAAATTTCCTTGCTCCCGGCTTTCGAGAGCAGGAAGTTGAAATCTTGTACTACTGAACTTATACCTAGATTTGTTCCTCCTTCGTTCCATTCTTTGTAATCTTTGCGTAGTATATCGCGTAAGCTCATGTTTCCTATGTCTTCTTTGGCTGCTGTTATCGAGGAGAAATATTCATCTCGGTTCCAGTGGGAAGTGTTGGGGTCTTTTGCAATTAAGTCCTCTAGGAATTGGACGGCGGCTCTATCGCTGTCTTGGGTTTTGTCGGGGGATTGTAGGTTATTTGTGTCGATTAAGATTGGCCCTAGGGCTAGATAGGCTAGTTCTCCATCCCAGTGACTAGAAAATCGGTCAGTTAGTGACTGATCAAAAGAATCCTTAGAGGAATTATGACGAGAGAATGAGGCACGTAAGACATCTAGAAGGAATTAGACATTAAAAGGTGCAGCTTACCTTACATCCCCTTCACCATCCACCTCCTGCTTTTTCCTCGTCATCTCCGCCCAGTCTCCTCTTCCCCAACCAACAACCAAACTCGCACAACTCCCGCTCTTCTCCACAATCCTCATTTCGCCCTCTCCCTCACAAATTTCCTTTTCAGGAACCTTTCCCTCCTCCTCATGATGATCAATACACCCTCTAACCCTATCCCCATAAACCCGTCCCAATTCTCCCTGCAATGCATTATGATCCACCAATATCCATTTCATATCATCAGGCTTTAACCTAAACTTCGCATCCTGCTGTCTCAAATCATCCAAGCTGATTAGTTCCCCCACCTTCACTTTTGCTTTTTCTAACACAGGATGTAATTCTGGCCGTAATACTAAATCCGCACGAGGCAGATTCGAGAGAGGGATGTAGAGGGCTTTGGTAAGGTTTCGTGGGGAGTAGGTGCGTAGGTAGGCTAGGAGAATGGCACTGCAGAGGGAATCCAGATCTGGTTACTGTCTTTGTTAGCTATGTTAATGTTTGTAGCTATATGTATACTGGAACTTCAAAATATATGAGGGGCACATACCAGCCGATTCATTACCCACGACAAAGTTGAGTTTCCCTTCAGTCTTTATGCCTCCATTTAGTGCATTTTTGGCAGAGGAAAGAAATGATGAGAGGGATACGCGTGGGAGAGGTATCCTATTCATTTTGTGGAACATGAGAGCTGAAAATCGCGTCTCAATGGTGCTTTTTGGAGGAATCACGAGAGGCTGTTTGATGATTGAACACAAGTTACGTCAGTGGTGGGAGCTTAGTCAGCATGTCAACGTCTTTCATAACACTTTTATTGTTTTATTATGTTGTAAATTTAAATTTATAAACTCTTAAAATTATATTTTTGATTATTTTTAATCTTATATTAATTATTGTTTGCGATTTTTGATTTAATCATAACTCGAGTGAAAGTGATATAAAAAGTGTCTGAAAAGTAAGAATATTATATTTATGTACTAGAGTATATATAATATTCCATTTCATTCAGTTTCGTCCTATTCTATCATATGTATATATGTATCACTATTTACCTACTCAACAGTTCCATTAATAGTGAGTACAGAACCCGGGTATAATATAAACATACACATGGAAAACCAGGCACCGAAAATAAAAGGAAACCACTTATAAGATTTTCAATTAATACATTTTCACCCCCACAAATCCCATTAAAGCCAACCTCCTTCCACAGCATTAGGATCTATAACGGGACTTGGCTGTCTTCCAATCCCCACTACTCTCGGCGGTCCAATATGTCCCATATTCAGACCCGCATTCGGATTATACGCAATACGTACTTCCTCGCCCCTCAAATCACCCATCTGGTATCGTTGCGTTGCCGCTTCATTATTACTCAGAAACCTTTGATCTGGCATTCTGTGCGCAGAATGCGGAGATGGACTGTTTCTCGTTCGTAAACCAGAGGGTACCCATCCGGATTGTCGAATATTATTACTCATAGCTCCTACATCTTCAGGTTCGTCGTTTTGGATTTCCTTTCCCTGTTTTTCGGCTCGACCTTTGCGCGAGAAATTTCGACGTACGCCGGGTTTGGTGGCATTGGAGTTTTGGCGCAAGAGGTAAGATTCCTTCGGCGGTGACATGGATTCGACGCCCATAGCACTGGTTATGTCGGCGTAGAGGACGGGCATGGCGGGCACTGGTTCGTGGTGGTAGCTGGGTGAAGTGGAGGGGCCGTCGGCAGGTGCGTAGGTGCGGCGATCGCCTGTTAAGGCAAGGTGCCAGTTTGCTTGGGCGAGTTTGGGGACGATGGGCGTTTGGATGTCTTCCATTATGTCAAGAGGGGGGAGGTCGGCAGCGCGAGGAAGGCAATAGGGGTTTGTTGTAGGTGCCACAGCTGGGGGTGTGATCGTGCGTGGCGGAGAGCGAGACGGACGGGGCCGAAGAGCTTGTGGTTCCGGAGAGGAGGGGTGGTGGTATTGTTGAAGTTCGGGAGACCAATTTTGAGGTTCAGGTGATTGTGATGGGTGGTACGGCTCTGAGGAGGGAGGACCACGTGGTCGAGAAGGATCGTAGGATTCTGGAAGTATTTCGGAATGTGGTGGTTGAAATGAATCAGGCATAGGGGATGAAGAGTGAAAGTTACGGGAGCGGAGGTCAGGCGTTGGTGCTTCTACGGGTTCATGATGTCCGGCAGGAGTAGTGGGTCGATGGTAGGAAGATTGGAAGACGGGTGCATAGCCTATATTATTGATCCCTCCCATTTGAGAGTGATCATGAGGGAGCGGTGAGTGTTCAAAAAATGGTACCAGAGAATGGATCGACTTTGGAGAAGGTGCTGGGTTAGGAACTGATTCAAATGCCGCTTTTGAGGGCCGGTTCCTGGAAAGAATTTTAGTTAACTTTGATAGAGTAGGACATTTGAACGAAAACTTACGGAGAGCTATCTTCGTGAGGCACGTTTGATTCCCATTTGTTTTCTTTCTTACGAATAAGAAAGAAAGTTGCAATACAGGCTCCTATAATAACAACCAAAGCACCAACGATACCACCAATTATCGCGCCCGTATTTGTGCTCCCTTTCGATGTCTCAGCTGCAGAAGTTGGTGATTCAGGTACCGTGGGTGTAAGCGATCCTTTACCAGCAACTTCCGAAGCTGTAGATTGCGTTGGAGTGCCAGTCGTCAAAGTTGGGAATGAAGTAGCGGCTCCAAAATTACTAGGATTTTGTATTGTGATTGTTGGATTGAAGCTCACTCCGGTATACACGATTTGCAGGTTAAGGTCTGTTGCCTGACCGGCAAATGTGGTAGCTGCTGTGATATTTCCTGCCGAGGGGCCACATCCAAATTGAATATAATTTTGTGGGTAAATGATTTTGTAACAGTTTGAACTCCCAGGACTGGTGAATATGTTAGGTAATTTGTTTTTCCTTCTTGAATACATTTCTACTAACCATGATAGCATCCCATTGTTAACCAAGAAAGAATCTGAAGTATATCCAACACTATTATGATCGACACAGGTCGTGTATAACCCATCCGTACAAGGAATGGGGTCTGCTCCAGCTGAGGAGGTTGGACAGCATCCAACAAATCCAAAAGAAGTATCATGAATACATGACGATCCGCTTCCACAACCCACTGGCTGAGCAAAGTTTCCTCCAATCCATCCGCATACATCAACATCGATTGAACCTCTCTTGAACAGGTCCCGTGGCTCTGAGATTATATTAGTTGGTCGGGGTGACCATTCATCTGCTTTATATGTAGCCGTTTGTTTCGCCGCGTGCCATGGTATGGCATTTGTACCTAGGAATAAAGTAGAACATAATATTAATATCAAGGAGGACATGGCAAAGTAATTAGTTTTTGGAGCTTCTCGACTTAACCGTCGAGAGAGCTTAACAAAATGAACGACAGAGAAAAGAAAAAGGAAAAAAACAAGAAAGGTCGAAAAGGTTTCAAAATTACATGAAAAATGGTATTAAAGTCCTTAAATAAAGAGGAAGTGAGCTGTAATGAGTGCTTTGAATCCATTTGATTACGCCGCAATTGGGAGAGAAGAATATTCCGGGGGCCAGAATCCCACGACATGACTTATTTCTACAGTGTCAAACAATTATCTCCTTAAATGCGTACAGACGCAATTGGATCTTGAGCGAAGGATGCGACTAGAGGGTGCATTTAACTACTTACAAAGAGTCGCGGATGGTCTCTCAAAGGGGCTGTGGGATTTGTGAGATGCAACCAAAACCCTCAATTGGGAATCTCGCTTCGCCACTTTTATAATTGGTACAGTATAACCTTACTCGAGTAGCAGCTGGAAAAAGATTTCTGGCAACTGATGAAATCAAAACTTTTCTGTACAAGTTGCTCAGTCGATACTCCTGAAACTTTTCAGAAAATATATGGACAATCATTAGACTTAATAATATTTGGAGGCTTGCATTTGGTTTTCCGTTGATATGTTGCTAGGATGACTTTGTACCTGCATTGCTATGAAGGAGAATTTTTACATGCCTGCAAAATCGGCTACACTTGTGATACCCGAGCTTACTGTACCACGACCAGTACCAATCAACGACCACTGGTGGACCCCTTGCTGGAGAGTATGGTATGGAACATTTACACGTGTGCTTGGCATATACGAGCTTATGTGTCGCTGATTGTCAATATCTATTTTTACCATGTACCCTCGTTCTTTTCTAGAAATGAGGTAGCATCTGTAGAGGCAACATTTGAACTGTGAATTAACGTACTTCTTGGGTCAGGAATCCTATCCTCACAAGTGCTTCTTTCCTCATTATCCTTCTTTTAATTTTTACTTCTAGACGTGTTCCTCTATTCTAGCAGAATCATGGACACATGCTGCGTGGAGAAGCATCAAGGAAGTTGGATTGAGCCGGAATGTGCTGACTCTGTGCATCTTGCAGTCTCGGGGGGTCAAGTGCTATAATTGATTTGATGGAGCACCACCAAGAGACACATTTTCAGGAGCACGGTATCTTGATTATACAAGACCGTTGAGGGAAACGTCCGGAAAGCTTTGTGATAAGACGTTCGAATACTATTGGCTTCAAAAATTCAAGTAAATCCTGAAACCCTTGATGCCTTCTTAGTTTACTTTTCCAATGTTGTCTGCACCGTGACAATTTATTCCCGATAAATATAGAAGACAACTTAGTATCTCACTCACTCGAGTCTAAATTCTTGCTGAAGATTGCGATCGTAATGTTATCCTCCCTTATCGTAACATCTTGCATGTCTCAGCCACTGAAAGAAACCCATATTGCCCAAGCCATTAAGATATCGCAGATCATTGTGACAGAATATCGAATCATTATGTGCGTGATCATAGTTTGTCGTCTCGAAGTGACAGCTATTTGAGTGAATCGATGTCAAGAAGTTTGGCTCCAGCTCTGTCTATCTGGGTATAACTTCGGGTAATCTGGTCTCTCTCGTGCCCCATAAATCCAGCTATTGCTACGCGTATTTCCACCTTGTTAACAACGTTACTAATGGGTCAATAAGCCCCTCAATAACCAGAGGCTGGTCATTATACCGCGAGGAACTACCCCAACATCCCCAACACATCTATTGAAAGACGGATTAAGAAACGCATATCATGATATACCCAAGATTTTGTGGGCTTTGCAATTCACTGCGACAGATTAGCTTGACCAAAAAAGCATTGGATAGCATTATGACCAGATACCAATTCCATGTCACATTTGTAAGATGGCTCCTGATTGACTTCCGGGAGTCGCTATTTTCAAGCAAGACAACGTAAGCTTGCTGTAAGGTAAGAAGAGTATCAGAAAAGCATTGGATTCTTGCATGTGAAAGATGGTGGATGTATGAATATATACATTCGGAAGCTTCCCGATGAATGGGGACGGACTAATACAGTTACGTATAAAGGTGCAACGGCGCAGGTGCATACAAACACAACTACCACTCCAAAAAGCTTGAACCGTTGGAGATTATTCATTCAGTCAAGTAATCCGAAGTGAATCAGGAGATACCTAAAATCGGTGAAGGCTGGCCGTACTCCGTAGAAATTTATGTGTTTTCTAAGACATATTGTGTTGTCATTGGTGGGGAAAGAAACGAAAGCAAGTGCCGCCAATTTTTGCCATGATGAACCTCGGTTCCTTATCATTCCATCCCCATCAATCGTGACGCTTCGGTTTTGAAGAGGCATTCTTGCCACAACCTTAATATTCTCAACTAATAACATCAATTGGCAACGATTTATCTGTACACATAAACTCAAATTCATCAATTTCGACAGTCGGAAAACACCTATTAATCATTTTGTATCATCAACGCGCACAAACAGCAATATGGGTCCTGTAAAGACCGCAAATTTACCCATCATCCCCTTGGCAAAAGGTACCGTCCTACTTCCTGGGATAGTCCTTCGCATACCCGTATCTGGTCAGCGAACAGATATCCCAGCCTTACTGTCAGGTGTTTACAGCAGAGCCGCTTCAACCACACCGAGTCAGCCCATAGACAGTGTCAATATCGCTTGCGTTCCTTTGAACTCGCCATTCCTCACTCAAGATGGACAGAAGATGATCACTGGAGACGAGAAAGCCCCACGACCCAAAGAACGATTAGATATCAAACCATCTGGCGCTACAAAGGATGATCTGTTTGGATATGGGGTGGCTGCCAAAATATCTGGGGTGGAGGGCACAACCGGCCGCTCAGGGGAATTCGCCCTGTTGGTTGAGGGTGTGGCCAGGATCAAAGTGGACAGGATAACACAAGAGAGACCATATCTTGAGGGAGAAGTTACATATCTATATGATGAAGGTGAGGAGATGTTTTCTTGTCTAAACATAGCATGTACTAACTTTGCAGATGTATCTACTGAGGATGACGCCATCCAGGAACTTTTCGCACATCTCAAACAACTATCACGAGAACTTTTGACCCTCTTGCGACTTTCATCCCTCCTACCTCGAACGTCTGGTGGGCTTTCTCCAGTACTTGCTCGCCGTCTCGAACTATTTATAGCAAAGAAGGATATATCAGATGCAGGAACTCTGGCAGATTTCATGACGAATGTGGTTGAGGCATCGTTGGAGGAAAAGCTACTTGTTTTAGCTGCACTCTCAACTAAAGATCGCCTCGAAAAAGCAATTGTTTTACTTCAACGTCAAGTGGCCAGTATCAACAATAATGTGAGAATCACAACCGTCACCACTTCCAACATCCCCGCAAATATAGATATTGAGCAATTCAACAAAGTGAATGGACATCGTGTGCGAAGAATAGGGATGTCTGGTGTGCCATTGCCGCCCAGCATGGCAGGTAATGGGGGATCTCAGGATGATGAACAAGAACCTGATGAGATTGAGGAGCTTAAGAAGAAGATTGATAATGCAAAGATGACACCCGAGGCAGCCAAAGTTGCAGATCGAGAACTGAAAAGATTGAAGAAAATGGCACCAGCTCAGGCTGAATACCAAGTCTGCCGGAGTTATTTGGAGAACTTGATTGAGATACCGTGGTCTGAAATGACCGAAGATCAACTTGGCGTAGATACATTATCGAGGGCTCGCAAACAACTCAATGATGATCATTATGGGTTGGAAAATGTCAAGAAGAGGCTACTTGAGTATTTGGCGGTTCTGAAACTCAAGCAAAGTACTAATAACGAGATTAATTCACAGCTCGCCAAAGCAGAGGAAGAAAATGCAACAGAAAAGGTTGAAATCCTCAAGAACAAGAAGATGTTCGACAAATCGCCGATTCTACTCCTTGTTGGCCCTCCAGGAGTAGGCAAAACTAGTTTAGCAAAGTCAATTGCTACTGCCTTGGGTCGAAAGTTCCACCGAATCTCTCTCGGCGGCGTTAGAGATGAGGCGGAAATACGAGGTCACCGCAGAACATACGTGGCAGCAATGCCCGGGTTGATAGTGAATGGCCTGAAAAAGGTTGGGGTGGCAAATCCTGTCTTCCTGCTTGATGAAATCGACAAGGTTGGGTAAGTAACGTCGGCCGTCTCTGGGAGCTTCTGTAGCTGACACCTCCTTTAGCACGTCCAATTTCCATGGTGACCCCTCGGCTGCCATGCTTGAAGTTCTAGATCCCGAACAAAACCACACATTCACAGATCACTATGTCAATATACCTATCGATCTTAGTAAGGTTCTCTTCATTGCCACAGCGAATAGTTTGGATACCATCCCTCCACCACTACTTGATCGTATGGAGACAATTAGCTTGTCAGGATACACGACACTTGAGAAGAGACATATCGCCTTGCAGCATCTAATCCCAAAACAGCTCCGCACAAGTAAGTCTTCACAATCAGCTGAGAATATTGTATACGGCCACTGACGCTGTGTAGATGGGCTCGGAGAAGGACAGGTCGAGTTCAACCAAGATGTTGTGTCTAAGATCATCGAATCGTACACTCGCGAATCAGGGTAAGCATTGATGGCATAATTTCCTCTCCCCTAAAGACCGAAGCATTCTATACGCTACAAGTTTAAGCTTGCCACTGTCAAGCACCATTATAGTAACGTCACTGACAATCTAAACTTAGTGTCCGTAACCTCGAGCGAGAGATTGGATCCGTATGTCGTGCCAAGGCGGTAGAATATGCGGAAGCAAAGGATTCGGGGCATACGGGTAGAGGCTCCTTCCGCATGATAGTTAGCCAGCGAATACTGATAAGTCTTACAGAGAAGTACAAACCACAGCTGTCCGTGGAAGACATCGAGGAAATTCTAGGCATCGAAAAATTTGACGAAGAAATTGCCGAAAAGACAAGGTCCGCCCCCCATTCACTATCATTAATCTTCAGAAATGAGACTTCCTAGCTTAAGCCTCTGTAAGGATGTAAATACTAACTACAATGCTAGCCGTCCTGGAATTGTCACAGGTCTCGTGGCCTATAGTTCTGGCGGGAACGGCAGTATACTTTTCATAGAAGTGGCCGATATGCCAGGAAGCGGCAGCGTGCAGCTAACAGGGAAATTGGGCGATGTACTAAAAGAGAGTGTGGAGGTAGCACTAACCTGGGTGAAAGCTCATGCGTACGAGCTGGGTTTGACGCATGACCCATCGGAGAACATCATGAAGAATAGAAGTATTCATGTGCACTGCCCTTCAGGGGCTATCCCAAAGGTTTGTTTTCCCATGATGTTGTGTTATAATTCACTAATGGATCAACCAGGATGGCCCATCTGCTGGTATGGCACACACTATTGCACTTATTTCATTGTTTTCCGGCAAGCCTGTGCCCCCAACTATGGCAATGACGGTAAGTCTCACTATGCAATGCTCGTATGTTCATGGTCACTAACATCCTATAGGGTGAGATCTCCTTACGTGGACGTGTTACCGCCGTGGGTGGTATCAAAGAGAAGCTTATTGGAGCTCTTCGTGCCGGTGTTAAGACTGTATTGTTACCCGCAAACAATAGGAAAGAGCAAGTTCTTCCCCTCCCAAAAATAGTCAGCACACTAACAATATCCAGTATCAAGGATGTTCCCCAAGAAGTTAAGGATGGTCTAGAGATCATTCATGTCAGGTATGAGTTTTGACATTTCCCTCATTCCATTCATTTACTAGCTTTCATTGTGGAAACTGACATGCCACTAGACACATCTGGGAAGCGATGCGATACGTCTGGCCTGAAGCACATTGGCCGGGCGAGGAGAATTTTGCGGGTATTGAGAGTCGTTTGTGATTTTGATAATCATATCAGATCCGAGATCTCCCGGCAACACCATGGTTGTGTAATCTTCACGGAAATTATCCGCTAATAAATTGCATATTTCCTCGCTTCTTTTAGATGATACGATCACAGTTGGCGTTTCGAGCGAAAGCATAAAATATAATGAGCAAATATTGCCTGGTGTATGTTTACTTTCTTTTTTTTAGCGCGCGTTTGGGGTACTGAGCTACTTGTTGGATGGGCGTTATTGTATAATCCCGAGGGATACGGAGATGATCATATCTACACAGGCACTCGCTGCTATTTACCAAGTTCAAAAATCAAATGGTGGAATTAAATAAAGAATTTGTAGGACTTTATGTGATTATTATAATCGGTAATACTTGCCTTCCGGAAATTGACTCTAAATTTACGATCAGGCTAGTGAATTTTCCATCTCCCTAGAGAATTAATTGTCTGTACTCGGTAGTGGATTTCGGATTATTCTTAGGTAGTTTAGGATTTATTTGATGAGGATTATTGATGGAGATTGGAGATTAGATATTAGATATCTTATCTCGTTTATTGCTATGGATTCTATGGTTCTAGTGTTCTATGGTTATGTTATGGTGTAGATGAGTGTGGGTTTTGAGAAGATTGTGGTTTGTGGTTTTAGTCGAAGAAATGCCCTTTTGATCTTGAGATACCTAGGTATGTGATAGATTGGCTGGTTGGTTAGGCAATATGGATATCAAATTAAGTAAGACTTACTATTGTTTCTTATGGATTTTCATGGATTTTTATATATATTTTGGGTTTTTTTTTCTTGGTTTTTGATATTCATTGTAAGCTTAAGATTACTAATGCGCTGTGCAGTGTAGTGCGCAGTGTGGTTTTTTTGTGATGTTGTTTTGGTTGTTGTGGGTTGTGGGTTGTGGGTCGTGGGTTGTGGGTTGTGGGTTGTGGGTTGTGGGTTGTGGGTTGTGGGTTGGTGGGTAGGTAGGTATTGACAGTTGGTATATGGTTAGGATGAGGAGGCTGAGAAAGATGAGAAAGATGAAAGGAGGTGATGGGAGGTTGGTTTGGTGTGTTAATGTGTTAGTATGTCGATATGTTAGCATGTTAGCAGTGATTATTCCCTCCCAGGAAAGATATGTATGCGCCAACAACACGGAAGACGCAAAATGGAACTAAGATCTTACAAAAGCTACAGATATGGGAAAGAGAAGGGGTGTAGTTAATTCTAGATGGCTAAGCTATGCTATGCTATACTAACTTTCGGTTTGCTATTCTATACTATTCTATACAATACTATACTCCACTCTATCATGGTACGTACCTCACCTCTCTATATATATGATAATACGATAGTACGGAGAAACATACGTACGTAAGTGCGGTGATACACGGTATGGTATTGTACGATGGGGGAATGCGAATGGATGGTGGGAATAATGGGAAGGGAGGATATGGTGTCTTGTGCATATGTACGCAATGCGATATGCAGTGCGATATGCAGTATGCAGTGTACGGTGCAGTATGCAAGAAGCCGGAATTTATGCTGTGGAGCTGTGCTATTGCTGGATGGTTGGTGGTTCATGGGTGGGTGGAGTTTGTGTTAGGAGTGGGAGGAGTGTGAGGATTGGGTGGGCGGTGCACGGCTTGTATGTGTATATGTATATGTATAGTATGTATATGTACACGAGGAAGGAATGGATGTGAGAGGTTAGCGTCAGCGTTAGGTGAGCAGAGCCAGGAGATCGGTGTCGGGTGTAGGACTGACTCCGAGATCGGTGGGTTAGAGGTTTGTTATGGGTATACAATTACTAGGTGCCTAGCTATTTGGTTGTTGGGGTATGAATGAGAATTAGTTGTGAGTCCTAAGTTTTATAGAACTGATCATAGATGGATAGACCGATCCCTCAGTTCTTGTGAAACTCACGTGCGGTTTTACTTTGATGCTTGTATGGGCATTGGACAGTTGAAACTTGATGGAGATCATTGTGATTGTAATTTGTATCTATTAATGTGTCTAGTGTTTAATAATAGTATCTAGTATCTAGATCTAGTACTTCATTTTCAGACCACCCCTAATTCGGACCACTCTTTTATACCAAAAACCGCTAATCTCCCTTGTTAATAATTTAATAATGAACTAATTAAATCAGTTGAAATATTTTAAAAATTTTCATTGATTTCTTTAATAAAGTATTAAAAGTTATTTTTTTTCAATTTTCAATCTATTTATAATTTATATATAAATTTCTAAAGGATTATTTGAATTTTAAATAACTTTTCAGTAGAAATTATCAAATATAAATTATAAATCTGTATCAAATCTTTAAAATATAATGAATTAATGAAATTATTTCATTTTGTTAAAGTGAATGGGTCCTGCGTAGCACGTGCACAGGACACTAGTCCTATTAGGACTAGATTGAGAAGCTCTCTGTAAGAGAGCTTCGCACTTCCGTAGAACTTAGAAGAGAGATTAACCTACTAGATCAATATTACCTCAGTTCTGCCCTATCAGCTTCCCACTATTCCCTGTGTGAGGTCATTCCTTTTAACACATTTCTAATTATTTTTATCAAAGAATTTATTGAAATATTTATCAAAATTTTAAATTATATAAATTCTATATAAATTCTATATAAATTTTATAAAAATTAAATATTAAATATTTAATTATTAATATCTCAATTAATCAAATTATTAAAAATCAAAAATTTTCAAAAAAAAAACAAATTATAATTATATAATAAATATATAATTCAAATTTCACCAGATTATATTATTTTATTATAAAGTCATCAACAAGTAAAAATATTAATTTTCAATATAAAAAAGTAACTCAAGAAAAGAGTGGCTTGAAAGTAGAACTAGATTTAATCATCACAATATTCTCATTCACACTCATCATATTCATACAAATACAAACAAACACCAACAAGCCCACACACACTCAAATACCAAGACTTACATTACAATAAATCATCGATACACCAAAAACCCACCACTCGGTGAGCCAGCCTAGCGCTCTTTCTTGCATCCCACATCCCACATCCTGCATCCCACATTCTAAATCTTACGTCCTACATAGCACAATTTTCATACATACATATCACGAGCGAAGAAACATTTCAACATTTCATGCATTCCCTCCCTTCCTCTTCCCTAACCAGGCTCCTTCCCACGCATAAGGAAAGTAAACAAAATTACACAATACAATACAATAATTACAATAATTACAACCAGCAAGCAAGCAAGCAAGCCAAGCAACACAAACCAAAGCAAACTCGACAGGGTCCTTCGGCATGTTCCTAATTTCTGTGTTTCTATTTCTATTCCTTTGTAAGTGATGGAGTGATCGGACGGGAGCGGGGTGCTTGCAGTGGGAGATATCGGGTGCGTGCAGGTTTTGGTTTTAGTTTTAGTTTTGGTTGAGGCTGAGGGGTTGGAGGGAGTGGTACTTCTTTTGAGGTACTGAACTGAGGTACTAGGTACTTTAGTGGGAGGAAGGTTAGGGGTTTGTTTGTTTGTTTGCGTGGGAATGCTTGGGAAGTGAAGTGAAGTGAAGTTGTGAAAAAGGGTGAATATTTTCAATTTTGGGATATGGTGTATGGTGTGTTGTAATTGAGGTACTCGTAATGCTGAGATTATCGCGTAGGAATTTGGTGAGATGGGTATTTTTCCTTTTTTTTAAAAAAAAAAAAAATCAAAAAAAAATCGGGAAGTTTTTCTCCCATCACTGGAATGTTTTTTGAGTATTCTACATATCAACCTATGCCTCGCAAAGTATGCAGAAGTTACGATCGCTCATCCAATATAAGTGAGTGCATGAAGTATGTGGCGCAATCTCATCAGATTATCCCTATTTGACGGCGAAAGGTCCGATACGAACAAACGTTCACTGCTATGTGGCGTTCCAATACTCGTATAGATTCCGAAGATCATCTACCATCTGTACCTCTTAACTCGTCTTACCACGTGAAAAACATTTTCCACGTTATTACACATCTGGTGTTATACAAAAGGTTGTACATATATCCATATCGGGGCAGATTTTCCGAACAAGAGACGATTGTGGCCCGAAAGATGTACATTCACTTGAAAGTTCCTTGATCCATGGTCGTCACGAATTGAATGTAAAGCGAGCAATCAAATACAGAAGAGATATAACCTAAAATAAACTAGTTTACATGTCTCGGAATGGCGAGATCCAGAGACTGAGACATCGGAAAAGATGGAATTTTTGAGACAACCCCTCCCACGAAAAAAAAAACGCACAATCGGGTGGAACGGTGAAACTTGAGCTCACGAGTATGCGAGGAACAAATGATCGTCACCGGAGGTAAAAAAAAAACGGAAGGAGAATATGTGTGTCTTACTTTGACAAGACGAAAGGGGGGTGGAACAACGTGCTAGACTACCGTCACGTGTAGTATATGCGATCAGAAATCATCACTGACGTCTGACAAGATTCGATCGTCGGGATTGTGACTTTGGGCTCTTTTTGAGCCCTGTATTCTAAGGGAAGGGAGGGCATTGAACAGGGCTAGATGGGTCTTTTCTCGTCAGTATCAGCTCATCTATATATGGACCTTTTATATAAGGCGGGTATTCTCGAAACCGAGACTAGAAAGCTCCATCCATCTACAGCTTCAAGTGGATATAGATTGAGGCAGATCGACAAAGATCCGAGCTAGTGGTTTCAGTTAGATATTTTTTCAAAAGCACTGTAGATCTGCCCAGGCTATCATCCAGCTAGCAGTTCATCTCGGTCGCGAAGTGATCCGATAGAGTATGTCAAATATGCGAGCATGGCGGTTGCAGTGAATTTTGCGACTGCACTGCGCTTTTGCGCTTTGCTTGCTTGCAGAAGACATGAGGTTGAGTTGTACGTCCCAGTAGGACTACAACGGGTGGCTCGCTCACTGGCTATTTGTGCTACGCTGGAGCCATGATCTAATTTTCCGGGTTATTCACTATACATACGTGGATATAGAGTATATAGTGACAGGCTATAACGGTAGGTAGTATCACATGCGACAGCGAACGTCATATCTTCATCATCATCATCTTCTTCTTCTTGGGACAAGAAAATCTTGACTAAGATGGAGTATTTCCAGATGATAGACGGGATGTTCCACAGACGGAAAATTAAGACGTCTCAATAGCCTGTATTGATAGTTCCGAAAGTGACATGAAATTAGGATATGGAGATCCTCTTACGGGTGATCTACCGGAAGATTTCATTTTTTTTAAAAAAAAGAAAAACTATGGAGCACTGACAGAGTGCTAATCGTGGGGTTTTCCCGTGAAGTTCTTCGGCACTAATAAGGTTGTCGTGAAGATCAGAACGATCCGTTCGTCGCTCCATGTCGCTCGGATATTAGGGCTTAACTTGCTGCTAGTCCCAAATGTCAATCTATTGTTTGTCTCATTCATACGAGTCGAGAGATTTATTTTTGAATTCTTTTAGATGATGCGATATATATTCCATGCCCGTGTTTTGGCAGGACATGGTATATAGAATGAAAAAAAGTCGGTGCGCTTACTTAGGTTAGGTTATTACTTCATCGGGAACTCATCTGATGTTATTAGAAATGATAAAGTGGCATGATTGATATCTCTCTCTCTCTCTTGGTATTGAAAGTTCTGCGACACTATCAACGTCCGTCCACCCTGTTCATATCATACTCTCGTTAACAACTAATCAGTCATCAGCCTATCGATTTTGACGTAGTGTATTAGCCACCGCTATGATATAACTACTAGGTAGTTCAAAAGAATGCACAGCATCGGTCCCTTGCCCATTAAAGCGGGGAATCCATGGGGGTCAACCCGAAAGCCGTTCGAAATATCTGTACTATTCGTCCAAAGGTAGACATAGTGTGGCTCAGCAATGACCACATCTTTACTTTTTAGCACTCGGATGTTGTCAAGTGCGTGGAATTGATTAGCATTCACTAGATGCCAATAGGTAACAATAAGATACCCATGATAAACCGCACTTCCATGACCGCACTTCCATAAATGGATCTTTTTCCTTTGCGTTTATCATGTATTATGTATAAGACGGTCGGCTCATTCATAAGCCATTCCATTCCTATATGCCATTCTTATGAACTATTATGTATAGTGATGAAGTTATAAGTCGTGTGACGAGGAACATATATACAGAAAGGGTAACTAATAGACCTCCAGCATGCTCGTGGCCAAATCTAGAGATAAAGTTGCAAAGGATATTTCGAGAGATGTGTGGTTAACATGCAGCTGATATCCATAACAGTCAGCCTCAACCCCCACACGTTCACAGCGGTTCATGTGCTCCAAGCATTATGCAAGCCTTATGATCAGGCTGAAGATGAAATCCTCCACACAGAATTCAACCAGCTTCGGTAGCCTTTTAACCCACCATACCCGTAACATGTTCTCTACGACTTTGACCGATCGTATAGCTCCAATGGTCGTCGGCAATTCCGGTTCGTTTTCTGATTTTTTCAACCCGAAAAGGACGATGTGACTGGATGATGGCGCACAATAGTCCAGCCTTCAGATGTATTGACTTCTCTTTCCTATAATGATCGGTGAAGCATTCCTTGGTATTTTATTCTTGTGTAAAACGTTGAAGATATCCATAAATCCTTGAATGAAGTTTAGCTAGATACCTAGGTGCAAACATTGACATTGAAACGCACAGATGGCACTAGAGGGAAGTAGGTCTGCCAAGCGGTCTAGTTTATAGTATTATCTTCCCGTCATGTCTAGACTCTAGAACCGTAGTAAAAAGTGAGTAATGGAATAACAAAATAGGTATAGTTAATAGCATTGATCCATAGTTATCCGTCCCTCATCCTTTTTCATCGATAAAAATTGACGTTGTTGGTTTGTCTAGTCCAATGCGGATATAAAACCCGCATTGATCTCCTCGTCAATCAGCCCTCGGAATTGAAGTACTTGTGTACCGGCAACATCCACCATGATGCTTTTCCCTGATCGTTAACTGCTACATAAGAGTCTCGCTATGTACCACCATTGACTATAGGTTATTCCGTTATTCCCTACCATGCAGATCTTGACCAATTTAAAAGTTATCGATGCCTGAACCAGAGCGTCGGATTTGATGGTAAGCTTAGTTGGGTGCTGCTGAAAGGTCCTTTCCTGACGGAATATTGACGCCGCAATGGATAGGTCTCATGTACCTATTATTTTCTTATGGCTTTGGTTCAATCAATCAATTGGGTAAGACGAGAATACTCATCAAAGTGCCAATGATGCGTGCCGCATTTTGGTACACTTGGAAACCTCTAGTAGTGAAAGAAGTAATATGATTGGAGGTGACCAGGGAGAGGCTCGAGTGTGAAGAGAATTAATTCTCCGCTGAACCGCTTGTGATGAGATCTATATTATGTCCTGTCTTTCTGGTGCCGCACTTTGATGGATGCGTTATGCTCGTTTCGCACCTCGCATTGCTTAAGAGAAACCCGATGCTCCCCGCATTTACAGGCACTTCAGCCAATGATTTCTTGGGCCATTGAATCAGTTCTCTTTTGCTGGGGTAACAATGCAAGTAGACCATGTTTAAAGATCTTTTTCATTTTCAATATCATTCTACCCGTTTTGAACTTCGTATCACAAACTACTAAGGGGCTGGGTGAGCTTACTGTCCACGTCAGGCAATGGTGTTTGATGACGTTGGCAATAATTCTTTGCAAACAACCAACCTGTCTCTCAGTTCGATACGATGAATACAGTAATCCACCATCACAGCAATAAGTAAGCTCCATATAGAATAGATATAAGGCGGCTAAGATCTAAGAAAACTCCGAAGCCATCATCATCCGAAAGAAAGAAGCGGAGATGCTACTGCAGGAAGCTCGATAGCAATACCAAAATTGGAAGGGTTGGGATCGGAGGAAAGAGCAAGAAAGGAATAGCATCTCCATATCAATGTCGCGCCTATTAAACGGATGTAGCACATATCATTTCTGTGCTTTGACTGTACTGTATGTATGTGTAACCCTCGGACCGTTGTTATTTTCATGAAATGCGGTTCAATCGTGTAGGGAATTAAAAAATAAAAAAGATCCTATTCTTTCCTTCCTTGGTCTTTGGAGTGGGGTGGGGGAAAAGGAATTCAGGAGGATGGGGGTTTCTTGCTAGAATTCGAGAGTAGTCCATGTCTAGAAATTGGATGAGATCTAGCGAATACCATAGGTAGGTAGCAGTACAAACCATCTCATCCTCATTAGGTAGGTAGGTATATATTCGCATTGGCACGATACCTATCGTACCTATGTAATGAATCAATCACTGTACAGTAAGTAGTGTATCTCGTGGGTCTGTCGGTCGATCTGATGCAGTAAATTTAATCCTTTTCCCATATTTCCAGGTTCCGAAGGGATGAGATAAGAGGGGCAGCGGTTATATTACGATGCTCATATAGGCCCAGGGTGGCCGATTTCGGTTATGATTAATTATGCGAGGAATAGAATGAATAGAATACTTACTTCACGGAATATTTTGCTCGGAAATACTCTGTAGCTAGGTATCGATAAATGCTTATTTTGATAATATAGTTAGTAACTTGTACCAGCGGTCATAATATAACATACGAAGTAGTATCAACCAGCGTCATAATCAAGAATGAATGAAGTAACCTACCTACCTGCTACCAAAACTTCCCCTAGATGTAGTATTGGACATGCATCAAACAATAACAAACATGTACCTACCTAGATATATCAAGGTATCTACCTACCTATTGAACCTTACCTAGTAAAATAAAAAGACGTCTACATTCATCCACCATCCATCATCCATTACCCATCCTATCAGGTGTGTATGTGTAACACACCTTTCAGAACAGTACACACACCTTCCTACATCCATCCAAACATACACACACACACAACCAAACATTTCGACAGGAAAATACACTAAAAAAAAGCTAATAAGAATAATAAGTCGGGAAATTATGTATCAGAGAGGGTAGGGACGTGCTCAAGCTTTATCTATCTACCTAGGTAGCTATAGCCAGTAGCCATCCTTGAACGTTGAAAATACTATACTGTCTGTACCTAGGTATATACAATGAATATACAATATACACACCACAAAGTCCAAAGTCCAAAATCCAAACGACAAACTAATCTTTTACCGAAACCTAAATGATTATTATATATCTATGCTCCGTAGCTAGAACCTAGGACCTAGGAACTAGGTACGGAGTATTGGTTATTAGCATACCCCGTATGTTAGCGATAAATACCATACCATACCATACCATACCAAGGAGAAAGTTACCGAGGTATTTTATGCCCGCCCGTCCACAGAGCAGAGATTGTGTACTACTACTCGTACTGTACTACTATACTGTATTTGTATAATTATACCGGTTTTTGGCAGTTTATTTCGCTTGTATGTATGTATGTATGTATGTATGTATGTGTTTGATTGATTGATTTGATTGTCCTTATTAAGGTTAAGTTTAGGTATATTTTATTTCATTTTCATTTATTTTATTTTCACCAAAGAATACCCAAATAAAATTGAATACTTTCCTCTTTCCTCTCCAATCGCAAATCGCCGTCCACTCCATGAAAGCGTTCGTTCTTCGAACCCTGATTCGTGATTCGTGAACTGTGATCCGTGATTTATGATGGCAGAGCTACTGCCGCTATGCTATCTTACCTCTACCTTGAGGGATTTCAAACGTAGGAACATAAGAATATCGGAATATGAATATGAATATGAATATGTGATTTGTTAATTTCGCTGGGACCACAATCGTCTGATATTTTGCGAGTGGTGTATTATATTATTGTTGTATTCATACCTGGACATCTAGACTTAGGTATTAATAAGGGTTATTTTTATCTTTTGTGAAGGTATGGTTTACAGTTTATAGAGTAGGTTATTCATACTATCAAAATCAAAACTTAGAATTACTGGAGAATTTCGGATCAACTATATTTTTATAAGATAACAAAGTTTCTCATCTACTTACTTTGTATTACATCTTATCTAATAATTATAAAACAATAGGTATCAAATAAATATTTGAATATTTCGACAATGCGAATTACTACACCTGGAAATCAGGTAAATCACACTCCCTCGAGGCTCAAGTATCCTTCCAGAGTCCGAAATGGGAAAAAATTTGAGATTGTCCAAGCTTCAACAAATCCCCTGCCCCCACGGAAGACGCCCCTTCGTCGTGGTCGTCTACAAGGGAAGGGGGAATGATTGCATGCATGATGATGCCAAAGTGGCTCGTACCTGGCTTATTATTGCTGTAATAAACAGGTCAATAATGCTTGAATAAACGTGGTGTCTTGGGTACTCTTGAGGCTTAGCGCTTCCCCAAATCTACGGTCCCCTTGTTCAGCGAGTATCAAAAAAAAAACAGTCATCTATTATCATGAAATTTGGCAAAGCTATCGTGCATTTCTGTGTAAGCAGAGGTGACCATCTCTTTTCCTAATACTGTAAGAGCACATGGTGATGCTCGTGAGTAAATGTTGACTGATTGTACCTACAAGAGGATCTGGACTATTGACAAGGCTACTGCATGAAGCCGTTTTTTGTGCTTTTTTATTTATTTTCGAGAGACGATCATGCTCCCTGTCCGCCCGAGAGCTGTCACAATTTCCCGTAAGTGTACTGTAATAGACGAACTATTTACCAAATGGCGGACCTCGAGATAACTTCACATTGAATCCACAATCCAGTGATCTTATCTAGTTCAAGCTCCGACTCACCTAGAGGGGAATAGAAGAATGGATGAGTGTTCGGCGAATCAAAGGTAGGAAACTGTCATTACTAGGGTAGATGTGAGCTAGAGAAATGGCCCGAGGCGAAATCGATGGCGGGTATTAAAATGTGGCGAGCAACAAGCAAGCAAGGTAGAGAAATTGGAGAGAAAAGCTTGAGCGGGGCACAATAACATTTGTACCCTTTTGTAGTGTCGACATGCCAAATTTGTCTAAGAATTATCTGCATGAGTGGTGGATGTTCTCTCTTGGCTTTAGTACGCAATTTTGAGATTCCCAAACCAAAATAGGCAATGTTCACGAGACATCTGAGACCGGGGACAGATTAAATTAATCAACGCTATATCTTTTCTTAGTTGCCGTTCGTACCAGACTTAATAAAGTTGTACGCTGGGTACCTGGACCTACGTCCAAGGAAGCAGGTACTTCGTCCTTTAATATATCTTTTGCTGGGGAAATGGGATGCTGGGAGATTGAACTGGCCTTCGGTCAACGCCTAGGTGCGGATGAAGCTAATCATCATCGTACGGTTATCGGAGAGATATAGATGGAATTAATTAATTCTTAATTAACTCACATTCCCAAAGTTGACCGTGCTAAAGCTGCTAACCATGAAGGTCGTGCTAGTCTGTTGCCCTGTCAGTAGGACTCAGTAATAAGATTTAGGGATGTCTAATTACGACATGGAGCCCTGTCAAGCTGCAGACATGGGCTGGTCCTCTCGAACAGCGTGAACCCAACCAACTTCAAGCTGTGCTTCTGCGGCTAACTGCTTATTGAGCTTTTCGAGTAAGAAACCTTAGGAGACTAGAAGTCTAGGCAGGTTCGGAGCTGATTTCGGACAATAGAGTGAGTCGTTGCTCCTTAAAGGTTTAAATTCTCCACTGATAATCGATCTCATCATATCTAGGTACATCATGGTAGAGGGTCTGTCTGCTCAGTGGTTAGCGATTTAATTTTTCACATGAAAAGGATCCAAAGGATCTCTGATGATTAAGGATGGTGGATAGGGTTTCGAGATCAGACGAATCACACAGGTAGTCCGTCACTGGCTGCTGAAGTAAGTGAACGCACCAGCCAGAAACTACCGGCAATCAAGCTCAATGTTAACTAGTCGATTTTGCTGTAGCCAAGTACTCTGTAGTCACAAGTCACAAGTCGACGATGGAATTTGGAAAGTCTTATTAAATAGGGGACGCCATGCCATGCGTAGATTGTGTTGTGTACCAAAAACACCGAATAGAGGACACGACATTAGCATCAGGCGGGAAGGTAGTCGGGTGGTGGAATAGATGGTACGTACGGTACATTCAATGTGACATAATAATAGATAAATACCTAGTAGATATCAAAGAGGTTAGGCTAAAATGACGGGACTGGTGGACGGGCTACCATTAAATGTTACTTCTGGTTGATTTAAAAAAAGCTTTTCCTTTTCTTCGTGTGGGCCAATCGTTGTGGTGCCGAGGAGCACTAGCTACCGAATGATGGGGATTTGCTAGAATTTCACTAGAAGAACGCATTTCCAACCGCCGAGATCATATCAGGAGGAAGGCTTGGCGCGTACCGTCCACCCTCTAATACTTGCCTGAATTGAGAATTGAGATATCGGTATCAAATCTCGTAGACTAGCAAAGAATTATGTGAATATTCCATGTTACATGGTTCTGTGTGACTGGTGGATGATTTCGATTTTTCAAGTAAAGCATCATGGGCCAAGTGTAATGTCTACCTACCCAGCCATTACCTACTTTCTTCTGTATGGAGGAAAGGAGTTCACATAGCAATGCATCTCTCCTGCAAGTAGCCGCCACAGGGCAGATGAGGATCGTCGTGAAAGGGGTCTTGCGATATGTATGTAATTTACGCATGGCACTAATGATGATTCAAGAGTTGAGAGGTGAGGTTCGTACATCATATCATATATGTGTATATGTGACAGAGTTGAATTATCAACTGGTCAAGAATTAACTTTACAAATCGCAGAAGCCACCCTACGTATATTCGATCTAGTCCCAACTTCGCACATTGGAAGCATAATGTTCGTTGGGAAAACCTTCATATATTAGCATTGATAAGATCGTAGATGCTAGATAGACATCTCTCGGGCTAGAGCTAGGTCCAGGTGTGCTTGCGAAGAGAAGAACGGATGCCAGTAATAAGTTAACCTTAAGCTTATAAGAGTCTAAGCGCTGTTTTGAGATTAGAATGAGGGGTTAGATTTGAAGATATGATTGATACCGACGATCCTAATGATACTAAATATGGTACAGAGATAGACACCGATGATAGTTTATAGTGGTGTTATTTTCTGATGATGACTAAATCCTAAAAAAAATAACCTTATAACATCTTACTATCACATCCAGTGGCTAATTGACTCATCAGGGTAAGATTCAAGGAAAATAGGGAACAGGAAAATATATTGTATGATTTTAAAAGTCCTTTCCGATGATCTAATACCTACTAATAATGTAAGTCTTATATCTCCGTAGCTTCATTCCATTCTCTCCATGGCTCACCGGCCCAGAAAAAGGATCATGTTCCGCTCGGGGGACAAAATTTCCGATCAGATTTGCAACATGTGATCTTGCATTAAATAGCCTTCGCTCTTCCTCTCTTCTTCTAAAGGAAAGTATAATTCTGGTACTTATTATTGTCATATGTACCTTGAGCGAAGTGTAAACTTCGATGAACCAAGTTGCTATAAAATTCTAAATACCGCACTGATAATGACGGAGAAAAGCGACACAAATCGATAATACCAGGGCTCCAAACCGTTCTCCTCTTCACATACTAATAAGCTCTCTGCAACATTCTCAACATCCTGTTACCTCTAAAGTCATGGATTCCTCCAAGCTCCTGTTCGGCATGTCATGCCTAATAAGACAAATTCCACCATGTGGAGCATCCACGTTCATTAAAAGGTAGATCTAGGTACGAGTATGAGCAGGGATTTTGAAGAATAACTTGTAAAGATTAGAAATGTCAGGATAAGTCAAACCAAATTACCAGACAGCAGCCGAAACATGTCGAGTTGCTTTCTGTTTGGTGATATATGATATAGCACCAAAGACGAGGTGAATAATGTAAATGACCCAACGATAACGGTGAACCGGTGGGATGGATTTGAAATATTTTAGACGTCTATGTTGCCCCTGGTACCCCTCAGAGAATTACCTTCAACGAACACATTATTCTTTTTGCCCCATCTACCTCTAAGAATACGGCACAAACGAAGATTGAGGAAGCATGCGTGATGTCTTCACCATCAGCAGCATCAGGTCATGTTCTTATATTCTCCTTGTCCTTACTCATCAAAATACGGATAAGACCCGTCCCCTTACTTCAAGGCTCGACCAAGCAGAATATGAATACGACCAGAACTAAGACCAAGACCGAGACCGAGACCTTCAACGGGAGACTCAAATCAGAATCATAGAAATGATTCGGTGCGGAGTTTTAATCTATTTTCTTCTTACTGTTGGAATCTTGGATCCTCCCGTATTATTATTGTCCGCAATGGCACATTTGCGCATTGGTACTCGTAAGTCTTACCATCTTCCATTCCCCCTCCTCCATAATCCATCCATCTTATCCCTTCATCTCATCCCTTCACCCTCCTTCGCTACAATCCATATAGATGCTGGCATACCGCTACGCGCGCATAGTTTGATTGATTTGTATCCATTTCCCAGAATTCTGAAATGTCCATCATTTCGTCTGTTCTACCGGTTTTCTTTCCTATAACTAACTTACTTCGGCCCCACCATTATTTCAACTAACCTCTTCCCATCACCCAGATGGGACATGTCTCTGTCCATTTTTAATATATCTTCCTCGTTCGTGACCCCAGTCTTCATCTACTTCTACTTATTTTCATACATCGCCACATGGCAGCACACATTTGTCCTCGCGAGATATACTAAAGTTCTTTCTTGCTTTGCTGCATTTATCAGTCAACCCTGAAAAAAAGATATGGGTAAAGGGTCAAGTATCTGTCACCTACGTCCAGATGTGTCATTTCCAACAACTCCAGATTGGCCGGTCTACGGTAATGTTGACGGGTAATACTCAAATCGTATGGGTGTTTAATACTAGGTAGCTGGTCAATGTCACGCTCACTCAAATCACCACTCACAGTACGCACTACCAATTGAGTAGAGTATCAGTGTCAGTTACCAGTTAGTATCTCATGAAGAGTACACCCATGTTTTATTTTTCTTTTTATTTTTATAAAACTGAATCTAGCCTCCGTGTGTTCACGCTAAACTAATAAAGGACTAAAACTAACCTTTTTAATTTTTTCTTTCCTATTTACAAGGATCCTTCCTAAGGCAGGACCAGAATAAGATCACCTTCGCCAACCTAGGTATTTATTTTCCCTAGTCTAGTTACAAAAATCGACACGATCCAGGCGAACACTCTCCATTACACGTCTCTTTTGTTTTTTCCCTTTCCCTTGCCCTTCCCTTTCATTCCATGATCCCTACTCCCTGTTCCCTGCTCCCTGTCTGCGTTGCGTCGTAGCCGATCACATTCCACGGAGCAAAAAAAAAAAGAAGGAACAGGCGCGCTATAATCTCCAGGAAAGTTCTAAAAAGAATATCCATACATATTCACACCATACCCATATCCTACGCAGAATAAAGTATAGGTACTTGTGTACTTGGATATATGTTATATGTCAATATATCGATATTCTAAGATTTTAATATATACATATACACATACAGCCGAACCAGTCTTACGTCTCACGTCCTACGTCTAACTACCTACAGAACCACAGTCATTACACCACACACCACACCACACCACACTCTCCTCGCCCATACACGTAACGACTAGGTAGGTAGGTACCTGGTACACCCAAATCAGTCAGTCTCCTTCTACATGACTACGTACCTTTGACTATCTTTTTGTACCTTTACCAGTCACTACTTGTACCTTTACCACTTGCGACCTCTCCCTTTACCACTTACCACTTACCACTTACTACTTACTACTTACTACTTACTACTTACTACCTCTATTTCTACTTCTACTCTTACTGGACTTTCTCTCTCCTTCAACACCTCCTTGATTTTATCTACCCTCTGTTATCGTTGGGGCATTTTTATATCCCTCCACTCCACTCTATTAGCCTTTTACACTTTGGCAAAAAGATTTAAACCATCACGCTCCTTCCGCCCCCCCTTCCTTGATTGATCCGATTGCCCAAATACTTTCAATACCCGCAATATCCTGACATGCATCACACTTACTGAAGTCAAATTAAACAATTCGATCCACTTCACACAATCATTCAAGGTACACCGGACGAACTTCCTTGACCTTTTTTTACCCGACTCCTCCGAACCCATAACGTGGATTAACCTGGAAAATATCTAATCTTCCCAAGAGACGCCAACACTTCATCCTGATATATATCTCCGCTGTCAATTTCACCAACCCTCACGAATCGGGTTCTTTCGCCCTCAGGTCCTCAGGGTTCCACCCCACCCCGATTTATCACCCACCCACCAACCCACCTTGACACTTTTTTTCCCAATACATCCATCCCCAGCTTCGAGAATTTCACACCTTGTACCTCCTCTCGGAAAGCTCATCAAGCCTTTTCAACATTTCCCACGGGAGTTGCACACCAACACAGATTGTTCGGTGCATGCTGCAGCTCACCGTCCACGTCAGTTAGTCACGAACATTTTGCTCCTGCAGTATTACCTCAGTATATGTCTCGTCCTTCTTGTCTCAGTCTACGTCGGAAGTAGCGCAAACCCATCTTACCCATTCTCAAGAATAGCGGCCTTCATTATTGTTCCGACAACGCTCTTCGTGCATAATTCGGGACGAGGAATCTATAGAGTCCCATTTAAACTCCTTGGAATCAGGTCTTTTTCAAAGATCTGGATTTTTTAATTTTGTTTTTGAGCAGGTTGGTTCCAGCCAATGTTCACTACCAGGGAAAGAATATACTAAAGAAAGCTATAGCATCATCAAAAGAATATCAATCGAACCCCAAAACCTTCCTAATTCTTTAAAAGAGATTCCACTGGGGAGATAACGCGGCGCATTTTATATATACCTTAAAGAAGGAGCTTGCTGTTATCAAAGCGGCCTTGACCTTCTTAAGGATTTGCAACCTCACTAAGCCACTGTCATTTCCATGCAATCTTCAACGAACCAAGTCGATCATTCAGATATCTCGCTCGGTGAACGGCGAGGAAAATCAGACCTGGCTCGCTTTTCTCTTGATCTGAGTTGGGCCAGAGCGGTACCCGACGGAGCTCAGTCTTGGGCATACCCCTCTCCGCCCATGTCAGGGTCTCCTCCACTTCCCGGTAGACACAACCTGGATTCCAGCGATCGTAGTCATGGAAGCTATGCGTCAACGGGAAATGTCTTCCGAGATGGGCGCCTCCCTCAACAAGCGCATTTCGATCAAATGAGAGGCGTTCCTCTGAGGAATTATCAACCAGAACCCCAACTTTCATACCCTCAATACCAGATGGAAGATATGTCGGCGCAATATCAATATCAGCAACCTCGGGCACAAATGACGCATCATCAACACACTCACCCTCTTTACGCCGCCCAACAGGTTGCAACATATCCGGCACCAGAACGACAATCAATTGGAGAAGCCCCTGGCTACACTTCCCCAAAATCACAGAGAAAAACAAAAGGACATGTGGCATCCGCTTGTGTCCCTTGCAAAAGAGCCCATCTTAGGCAAGTCTCCTTAGCATTTGCGCCTTTCTGTACCTTACGCTAACTTCTCCTAGATGTGACGGTACGTTTATTCATTTATTCAGGGATTGCGGTGCTAGCTTCGTTCCCAAGCCGAGAAAGCTACTCATTTATACTGGAACCATATTTATCTTTGGTTTCCTCACCAAAGCTGCTTAAAAAAGTCCAATAGCAAGAGTATTACGCTCATTGCTTTTGACAGACGCATAATCTTCAAATTCTCAAGCGAGAAAAGTGACGATTCTGAGAACATAATTTGATACGTGATTGATATTCAGCATGAGCTTAGCGTACTAAAATCTCCATTAAGGCTATGGACTTGTTTAGTAACATGCCCGTGGCTTACTACTAGTGGCAGCACCAGTGGCTCTATCGGAGTATTCAGTTGCCGTGTCCGGCACTAGACACGAGGACCGAACAAGTAGACAATCGAAAGTCTGTTCTAGTGACGACTAAATATTCAATTTCTTTCCAAATCTGTATAGTGTAATTTCGGATTGCGTGGTGGTGCGGAGTACGAAGACTTCCCAAGTATACCACGGAATATTCCGGTATCAACCTATCCATGTATGTTGCAGCATGTACTATGGTGTCGTACAACACGAGGTGCACTTGTACTAGGCTTGGCTAAACACTTAACCAAATCTCTGGGATACTGGTGACTCGTGGATATGAAACTTGCAAATACATCTCAAGCGGTCATATCCCGCATGATATTCTTTTGATCTCCAAAACACAACCTTGCTCATTTCACACCCCCTCAGTATTCAATCCGAAAGCTCCGAGTACTAATCTTATTTTATTTCTAGCTCAACGGCCATGTTCGAGATGTCTAAGCAACGGGAAGGAGGATACGTGTGTGGATGTTCAACACAAAAAAAGGGGGCGCCCAAGGTTAAGGGATGAGCGCGAGCCTCGGTACGAAGGCAGTGGATCAAATTACCCAGCCCCAGCAGATACGATGAGAAGACCAATATCGATGTTTGCCGCTGGAGATGTTTCGATTTCTACTCCATATTCCGAAGCCCAACGAAATAGTGGGTATAGAGTGTTGAAGTCGCAAGGTGGAAACCCAATGAGCCAATCAATGGTTCCGACCCCAATCAATACTAATGTTTATGGGGAGGCAATGTCGACAAATCAGCGCATGACTCCTTGTGAACCAGCCTGCGCATTTCTCACCATGGAAATGCAAATCGCCAAAACGACCCAAGCTTTCTCTGGAGTAATTGGTACACATTCAGTCGTGGGAAGAAAGTTGCATGATATTGTGAGTGTAAGCGATCGTGATAAGATCTTCCGATTACAGAGTGGATTCGAAGATGAGCGTCGCAGTAGAGATCCGAGTTACCTACCTCCAATATTTTCGAAAGAAGAGGAAGATAGGGTTATTCAGTCCTTGACATTTGCACCTAACGATATAGGGCAATTACGAACAGATCGACCGGAAGTCTTTACCTTTCAAACACCGGATGGTCAGCAGCGGGGCTTCCATGTTCAATTAGGCCTTGCGAAAAAAGATTCGATCTATTTTGTCCTTCTGGTGGTTCATATCCCAACGACTCCACAACTATTCCAACAATCGCCTTCGCCATATTCAAGAGACTCCGTGTCTCGTGACTCTACATATGGTTACCAAACACCTAGCCAGCTGTCTTATGCATCTCAAACTCCGGGGACCTCACCATTCATGTCAAATCCTCCCTTCGGTGGTGATATGTCGGCCTACCGAAACCCGGGACATTTAGGTCAAAACATTGTCATGCCAAATAATGCCCCTTCATATGCACAGCTTCAAGGAAGACCTGAATATTCTCGAGCTCAAATAAACTATCAGGGGCCAATGGGTGAAATGACACCAGGCCAACCTCAACTTCAACCACAGGCTCAAACACAGGCTCAACCTCAACCACAATCCCAACCTCAGACTCAAAGGTCTTCAGATCTTCAATTACCTCCAATACGCGGACAAGCACCTTTGACTGACGCTAGGGGACAAGTCGATCGCAGTAGTCGGGTCGATATTGGTGGTCTTTTGCAAAATCCTGATCCTTCCCGAAGAAGAAAATAATCAAGCGAGCAAAATTTAAATATTAAAATAATGAGCGATCTCTCTTCCCATGATCTTTTAATAGTTGAAGGAAAATCAACATTTGTGGCGGTCGGGGAGTGGGACGGAAGTAATCACTTCACCGCTAGATTCAATACCGAGCAGCCTGGCGCTTAAACACGGAAATACAAATTTTCTTCATCTTCATTCCTCATATTCTTGTATTATATATTGCAGCACTGCTAAAAATTTTCACTATCTTCTCAAAATATCGCACTAATCCTTTGCTTGTACATTATCTTGAGCGAAACTATCGATTGTGCGATTTTTTATATCATGTAATGCGGGATATCATTTATTTATTTATATGGCGCATTTTGTCAGGATCTCTTGTGGCGATTATCACCAACAAGGCGTTTTTGGTTTTTCGTTTTAGTGGTTGATTTTTTGATAATGAAAATTCGAGGCTTGTGTTGTGTATTCATGAAGTCTTGAGTGTTATTTTCTTTTCCTTTCTTGCTTTGATGTGTGAGGAGGTTGGTAGGTAGGTAGGGAGGTAGGTAGGGAGGTAGGTAGGTAGGTGGGTGGGTAGGCGTGTATGATAGATTTATTTGATGGTTGGTTTTCGGTTTGGGTTGGGTATTGGTATTGGTGTTGGTATTTGGGAGTTGGGAGGATGGGATGGGATGGGATGGATGAATCGTTTGCTGGGCGGGTTGGGAGAAGGGTAATGGCGAGAGTGAGATTTTATGTTATGATAATGCGGGGTAGGGGTGGAGGTAAAGGTGGAGGTGGAATGGAGATGGGGGATATTAGGAAGGGGAGATGAGAATGCTGGAGAGATGAATATAGTTGATTATGATTATAGGTAGATAATTGGGAGGGGAAAGGGGGGAGGGAAAGAGGATGATGATGATGAAGGTTAGGAAGGGCTAATTAAGATTAAGATTAACATTAACATTTAAATAAGATAATGAGAAAGTAAAGTAATTTGAAATATGAAATATGAACGGAGGATTTTCTACAGTAACCGCAGGTGGTGAAATTTAGGGTACTTTGGTCTTTGGTATTTTGGAGATGAGTATGGGGATGGATGGGGGATGGATGGGGGGATGGATGGATGGATGAATGATGGGTAGGAGAGTTAAAAGTTCAAAGTTAAGATTGTGTAGGTAGGTAGGTATCTATATATGATGTATGTGAGTTTTTATTGTATAGTTGAATGGGAGAGAGAGAGGGAGAGAGAGAGGGAGAGAGAGAGGGAGAGAGAGAGAGTGTGTGTGTGTGTATTAATTTTAATGTTAGTGTTTATTGAAATATTAATCAGATATATATATATATATATATTTTAAAAAAATACTCGAAAAATAAATTCATTTGTTTATTTAATATTTTCATATTTTCATATTTTGATCTTGAAGGGTAAGTTGAATGTGCCCAGGGGGATGGGGGAATGTAAGTCTTACATGATCGGTATGATTGATGTCTTGTGAAGTTATAATCAGCTAGGTTACTTGAGCTAAAGTTCTGATAGATCCTCTGGAATTTAAATCTTATGGATTCTTCATCTTTCCCTATTAAAGCACTAACGTGGATAATTATATTATTCGATAGAAGTTTGAATATTGATATATAGAGGATAGGTAAGTAGAGTAAGGTTAGTAGTACAAGAACTGCATATTTGTTGAGATTTGTGATGGAAAGACCGATGACGACAGGACTAGCTAGTACTTGAGTAATGTTCCACGATATTCCTTTCCGAACGATAACATTGATATATGTAAGTAGGTATAAGCAAACAATCATCTATCTCTAGATTTCTGATTTACTCCTAAGTACCAATTTGTATTGCCTCACTGTCTTTTTTCAACACCGCATTACATCCAATTGATCCAACCATGCCTCTAAACGCTCACTCACCAATGATCCTCCACTACCTCCAAAACATCCTCCTAATAACACTATGCGTACTATTCACTCCCCTCCTCACACTCATAGCCATCCTCTCCACACTCATATCCCCCTTCACAGCAATCACCCAAAAAATCCACCAGCAGCGCACACAACCCTCCCCATTTCGTCCCCGTACAATCCTCGTAACGGGCGTAGGAATGTCCAAGGGATTATGTATCGCGCGATCCTTCTATCGCGCGGGCCATAATGTCATCGCTGCAGATTTCGAACCCTATTACATCCCATCATGTGGACATTTCTCCATCGCGATTAGGAAATTCTATCGCTTGAGGAAACCGTGTGGGGGGGAGTGCGATTCGCGGGTCTATGTAAGGGAGATTGTGGATATAGTCCAGAAGGAAAAAATTGACTTGTGGGTATCGTGTTCTGGGGTTGCGTCAGCGATGGAGGATGCGCAGGCGGCGGAAGTAGTAGAGAGGGAGACGTCGTGTTTGGTTGTTCAGTTTGGGGTTTTGGTGACGGGGAAACTGCATGAGAAATATTCTTTTGTGAGACATATGATGGATTTGGGGTTGAATGTTCCGCTTACATATAGGGTTCATTCGTTGGAAGAGGCTTTGAGGATTTTATATCCCGAGACAGGAGCGAAGGACAAGAATCAGTTTATTATGAAGCCGGAAATGGTCGATGATAGTGTGAGGGCTGATATGACGATACTTCCCCAACCAACACCCTCACAAACGCAATCTCATATCCGGAAAATGAACCCTTCAATCAAAAGACCATTTGTTCTGCAGCAATACATCGCAGGAAAAGAATACTGTACGCATAGTATAATCTTGCGAGGAAAAATCCACGCATTCATCTGCTGTGCATCATCAGACATGTTGATGCACTATCGAGCCGTTGAACCTTCATCTGCACTCGCTCAAGCAATGCTTTACTACACTACAAACTACCTTTACAAAAGTTCATCCTCATCATCTCCCATAACGGGACATTTCTCCCTCGATTTCCTAATCCATGAACAAATTGCGCAAAAAGCCTCGCGAAATCTCGCGCCTTCAGATGCGGAAATTCAAATTCTTCAAAGAGAGCTCTTTCCTATCGAATGCAATCCTCGTGTTCACACAGCCGTTATTCTTTTCAGCGATAAGCTCGAGGAAATGGCAAATACATATATAAACCTACTAAGCACCTCCAACTCTAACTCTAGCCTAAACACAAACACAAACAAAAACACATCATCAACCCAACATCCCCCAACCACCCAGGAAATAATCCTCCCCAGTCTCCACGCTATCCACAAAGGTTATTACTGGATCGGACACGATATCCTCACCAAATTCCTCCTCCCAATATGTGAATGTATTACTTTTCAACGGGGTATACATAGTTTAAAGAGAGAAATGATGGAATTTTTCAACCATATTTCGTCGTGGAGAGAGGGGACGTATGAGATTTGGGATCCGTGGCCGGCGTGGTGTTTGTATGTGGTTTTTTTGCCGGGGTGTTTGGCTGTGTGTATTTGGGAGCGCAGGTGGTGGAGTAGGTGTAATGTTAGTACGGGGAAGTTTTTTGGGGTTTGAGTTTGGGGGTGGGAGAGAGAAGGGAAGGGGGGTGGAAGGGATAGGGTGATGAGATGGTGGAGTAAGAGAGAGGATCGATCTGTTTGGATGAATGAATGAATGGAACTTTAGGGTTACATAGGTAGCATTAGGGAATAATTATGAGTACTTAGTACCTATGAAGAGTGGGATATTCATTACATTTGTATTTGCATTTGCATTTTTATGGTTCTAGATCATAGTGTTTGTTCATTCATCAATTGCGAAATGAATGGGAGGGAGTATCTCTATCTCTATCTCTACCTCTATCTTTATTCCTACCTAGTCTCTCGACCTGTAGCGAAAATAATAGCTAATTTTATTTCAATGCTCACTCACTCACTCGCACACTCACATATACAAAACACATAACACACCCAAAGACTTTACCTTCAATCCTTCAAAACCTTCAGAACCACAAAACCAAAAAAAATCAATCAAACTACGCATTCTCATCACTTCCCACTAACCAAGAAATAAACTAGCCGACCTCAAGAAGCCAACCTCAAGAAGCTGACCGAGTTCATACTATGTATTATGCTCTTACATACAAGCGACACAGATGCCTCCGACCATTCATACCATCCATCCATCCATCCATCCATCCATCATCCATCACACTTAAGTTCCCGACAAACTCCACAATAAGAACCCTCCCCACCTCATCCGTCCAACCATCCATCCATCCTTCCATCCATCCAGATAACCATATAATCTGCCACCCTCCAAAGAGATTGAAAATTTCCTTTTCCCATCTTTTCCTTCCCATCCCCACGTGTTACTAAGATAAAATGTCGAAATTCCAGGATGAAAAAAGAAAAAGAAAAAGAAACCCCCTTCCTATTTACCGCTCGCTTTTTTCATGTAATCCGGAAAAAAATATAATAGAAGGAAATCATCTTTGTTTCATTAATGCATCGAAATGGATCATCCATAAATGTCGTCAAATAAGTGTAATCTCATCTCTTCACGCAAAAATGTAATCATCTTACATTACACTCTCATCGGGGCTTGATGGTTTCTGCGGCTGAAGGTATGCGGTGGGTACTTTGGGTACTCGTGGTGATCGAGGAGGTTGAGAAATGCCTCTCCTTTCCGCTCGTAAACTATCTCGAAAACGTTCGTTATCCCTTGATCGGCCACCAGTGAGTCGTCGCATACCTAACCTAGTGCCAGCTGCAAGAGGTTTGATCATATTCTCAAGAAAGAATGATCCTTCCCCTGAAGTGGTTGTACGGTCATCTTCACCATCCGAGAAAACATCTTCGCTAAAGTCATCGTCTGACATGTAAGCTATGTTAGGTTGACCTGAAGATGCCGAAGGTGATGTCAGAGCACGAGCGTGTAAACTCGGTCTAGAGGTAGGGACGAGGTTAAAAGCGGCTGGTGTCATGGCATTACTTGATTCCCGTGTTGGCCTTAAATCAGCGAAGCCATTTTGAAAAGTAGAGTTGGTCGCTGAATGGGTGAGTGATTGATGAAGAATGGGTAAAGTTTGCTCGTCATATAATTGAGCGGCAGCAGAATCGAAACTCTCACCCGAGAATCCAACTTCTGTAATTGTTCTAGAAGACCGTCCATCGCTTGTGGGACTCTGCAAACTGTCTTCAAAGAAGTCGTCTAGGCTGCCCAACTTCATCATGAGATCACCAATATTTCCGTCGCCTCGAGCTTCATCTGACATCATAGTTTCAGTTCTCTCGGGGGGCGGGAAGTAGCCGTATTGGAAGTCGTCAACATGAAACTCGACATCCGGTGTTGCAGCCACTTCATTATCCGTGTTCTTAGTACTCTGACACATGTAAAACACAGCATGCACATTAGCTCTTGTGATGCTGGCCTGTTTTGCCGGCATAGGAATAGACCAGCCAGACTCTTCTGGGATACCAAAGAGACTTTGAGTGTTATCATATTCCTTCCTTATTGCTCTGGAGGATGACCTCGTCATACTCATACGTAAGTGGTGTCTGTCCATCGGGGTTCCTGTCATTGTCATAATTTGATCTAGTACCTCTAAAGCTTCCATGCAAAATTCTGTTTGTAGTAGTCTTAGGAGAGGTGAGATAAGGTCAGGCCCATGAGAAGCAATTTCCGGCTTTTTCATGTCGATGTCAGGGATAATAGCGCATAATATGCGCATCGTCTTTAACTTGTACCATGGTATACTGTTTGTAAGCGAACCCATGACGAATGTCAGACTACGAAATTCCCATTTTGGGAAGAACGATTCGCGAATCGCAGAAACTAACTGCGCTAGAAAGTCTTTACTTGAACGATAACGCGATCCAGCAAACCCGCTAAGAGCCCTTGAAATGGTACTGCAGCCTTGTGCTTCTGCAACCGCCGCAAGGAGTTCGGCCGTTCGTATGCTCTTCTGGTCGATATTCTTTTGATCCATAGCATTGAGAAAGCCAGGGAAATTAGCCAACACGGCAAATAGTAATCGACTGTTGTCGCCAATAAGATCGTCACCTGGTAACGTAACGAGCTTATTGAGAATGGTGAGGGTCGTTTCAAGACATGCCGATGAACGAACGCCCTTGTAAATCAATGCTTGGATTCCACCAAAAGAACCTTCCCAGCTTGTAGGTCGTCCTTGGGCGAGTAAGTCTCTCACGGAGGAATCATCCAAGTTGAGTTTTGCCAGAAGCTCCTCCAGCATATGACTAGCTTCTAAGAATTCTTGTTCATTTATCGTGTCTAGACAAGCGCACGTGGTCCAGAACAATTGTGGGAAAGTAAGTAGATCAGCAGGTTCGAGCTTACGGATTAGCGTCCGTAATGTCGTAAGTATCTCGATGGAAAATAATTGGGTAGAATTTTCCAGGTCGGCAATTGTATTTGAAAGTCTTATCAACATATCGGCAAGCATAGGCTGGTCTAGTGAAGTAAGAGTGCATCGGAAGACCTGGAATGATCGACAGGCAAGATGTCGGACAGGACAAGATGTTGCCCAAGTAAGTGATAATTTAGCCCACTGCTCTTGTATCCCAGGGTATTTTACTTCGAAATCTCTGACTACCTCTCTGGTAAGAAGTTCCATACCCGCGGGGACTTTGTTCTCTTGATCATATACCTTGCCACTATTGTCGTCGTAGTGCCAGATAACTTTGGGGTCGTGACGACGAATTGACTCGATGAAATCTTCAATGGAATTCTTACTTGGATCAGTACTCTCGTCATCAATCTGAGAAATGACCAGCTCATGGATAAGATGGATCAACATTTCTCGGGCTTGTTCTTGTACCAGTGGTATATAATGATCCCAGAGGACAGTTACTACCTGCAAAAGAAGCGGAACGTTTTCTGCCACAAGTTGAACAGGTGATACCATCAAATCGACGAGCAATATCAAAGACAATTGCCCTAACGAAAGTCCTGTTTGTTTATTCCCAATTGGCAAAGCTTCCGATAGTTCTGCCATATATGGCAGCTTTCCAACATCAGGCGGAGGTGGCAAAAATTCTCGTTTCTCATTGGGCACCATAGCTTTTGGCGTGATCTGCATCAATAAGAATTCAACGACTTTACCGCCGGCAGGAGTGCTGGATAAGAACACCACGATTTGCTTGGCATACTCCACAAAATTCTGTTCCCGCCTGTCGAGGCACAATGACATAATAAAATCTAGTACTAATTGAACGTTACCAGCATGAGGGCCTGTGGCAAGCGCTTGCCACAAAGCCTGCACTTCATTGTGGAGACTGCTGCTGCATCTGATTGTTATCTCAAACAAGTTTGCTAATAGGACATATGATTGCGCAGTTGGTCCACCGTTCGGATCAAGCTGTAGTTCAATGATTTGAATCCATGGTAGAATGGCAGCAACAACATTCCTTTGTGGACCAGCTTGTAGTTCCTTGAAGTACATAGTAAACTCAGAGAAGATGAGAAATGCCAATTCGGAGTGATTAGCTGAAAGTCGCTTGGAGATTTCGAATTGAGCAAGCTTGTATACTGCTTTCGTTTTATCTGAAATGCTAATGTCAAAATCTTGAATTTTGGAACTCCTTTGCTGTCTCTCCTCTAAAGCACGTAGTATACGAGCAGATTTGATTCGGATGTCGCTCAATTCACTTCCGAGTGTGTAAAGCCCTATCCCCAACAATCTCCAGAAAGGCATTGGATAGTCTGGGTACTCGATTAGTACCTCAGTTACAACTCCAAAATAGCTTTGTAATACTTTTGCCGCCTCCGCAAGATAACACCTGGTGATAGAATGCTCTAGTAAGTAAGGAAATTCCTTATTGTGTACGATTAGGTTTTTCAACGCTCGTCGCCCGATGACATGCATTCGATCACTACCAGTGTTGAAAATAGTATCGACCCATGAAAGCATACGTCGTATGTCAAATTGCAGGTTGGCTCCACTTTCGGTTGTTATACTGATACGACCTCCACATAATGCAGCCATTGCACTAAGAGCTGCGGTTCGAAGATTCCTTTTCTCAATCTCCATGGCTGCTGTCACAACGCCTCGTTCGCCGAGTGATTGTTGATTGATCATAGATTGCCTCATATTATCCTCTCGCTGCCGTATTTGATTTTGGTTCGGCGAATAGCCACACCAGTCCTCCATAAGAGCGAAGGACGACTTTCTAGACTCGAATGTCATCCATCGAGAAGGATCCTTGGTGAGATTGATACCCTCAAAAAGCTCTTCCATTAATCCACAGTAGTGACGACGGAGCTTCTGAAACTCCCAATCCAACTGAACTTCCCCGTCCATCAGGAAAATCTTAAGGTCTTTCGTGTAGACTACAAGGTTATTTAAAATCCAGTCGTCTTCATAGATTTCCTTCTCTTTTAAAAATGATGATGTTAACTTGTATACATGAGTGACTTCAGTCCTTAGCAGATCGGTTCTCCTATTTCGTCTGGGGCTACTAGCACTTCGTTGGTGAATTCGAGCCCTCGCATCATCGTTGCATCGGCTTACCACGCTTTGTAGCTCCTCTAATAATGTTTTATAAATATTAATATTAATAGACCCAAGCGCCACAACCACTGCATCCCTGATTGAAGCCGGGCCCACGGAAAGCAGCGGAATGAGATACTTGAAAAGAATCCTCGCGGACGTGATCTTCTCCAATGCCTGATTTGGCTTTGATCCCTTTCGGTAGTGCTGCGCTATTGGTGGTGATGATTGCTGCTGGCCACCCTTGTCCGAGAGTGTCGTACATGCAACGATAAGATAAAGCTTCCATTGTTCAATCAGAACTTCCGGTGGAGTGGTTGAGGCTCTTGACAATAAGCGACCGCTGCCAGTGTCATAGCCATATTGTGGGCCGCGGTTTGCTTCCGACAATACGACGATGCCTTTGTACATCTGAAGAATTCGGTTGCAGATTAATTCCCGCCCAAGTGTTACCGCAAATGGGCAACGATCATAACTGATTCGTATTAGATTCGGAAAGATTTTGAACCATAGAGTTGTGTCATATGAGACATCGCTACTGCAAAGCTCAATCAAGTCGCTCTCATGCCTCTCGTTTAGATCTGTCTTCTGTAAGCCTCGTTGTAGTCTACTGCGCTCTGCAACAGATAAAGTTTCGTCATTGAAATCCATGACTCCTTTGGCATCTCCTTCAAGAATGTGTATCAACCGGCTATTGTCCTTGCCCAAAGCGGTATCAAATTCCGTAATAAGACGCAAGACTGTAACAGCAAAAGCACGCACTCGCCTTGACTGTGAACACAAAAAGAATAGGCCATGTGATTCAACTTCATCAACATGTGCCCAAATTCCGGGATAGATCTAGTTGCACTCCTCGCTTATCAGCAGATCCATCTTCGGACATATCTAATGCGGCGTCCTTCATCTTGTTTTTGATCTCCTCAATCCATATTTGGAGCAATTCGACATAGAGCTTTAGTGTATTCTCAATGTGCCCTGGACCAAGCATACCACCATCAGACATGGTAGAGTATCTATCATCAAAGTTGAATATGAAACGAGCAAAGCCAATGGTGACGGGCTGAGCGTGAGACTGTCTAGCAATTGACTTTAGAGATTGTGCCGAGGACTCTGCAATGTTAGACTGCACGTGAGCAGTGCCGGTACAGAGGAGGTTGACAAGGATGTTGAAAGGTATGTCGGCCGATAGACAGCGAGGTAGGGCCTGTACTGCGACATGCAACAGCTCGTAAAATCCCTGCTTTTGCTCTGACGGAGCTAGGTGGTCGTCTCGTCGGAAGTTGAAGCTTTCGGCAAGTGGTGTTTTGGGGATTGGTCCATTGAACTTTTCGTCCAAAACAGCTTGGCCCCCGAAAGTATTGTCGCAGATGATAGTAATTTTTCCTAGAATCTCACAAAACTTTGCATAATACTCCTTGGCAACGTCGCCCAGCGTGTTAGTAATCACAGGCCGCGAGAGCCTTTCTTCGCGGGTAGAAACTACCACAGAGGGTGTGATGGGACTTCGAGGCGCTGTCATTATGGGGGAAGTCGGCATCCTTTCAAATACCGGCAATGGTGAGTAGTACTGTGGAAACGGTGGACAACCTTGTTCGCCCTTCTCTAGATCTGACATGATAGCAAGAAAAGCTCGAATTCCCACAACCATTTTTTCAGGTTCTAACTGCTCAACTTTGAGTTCCCTCCCAGAAGCGAATAAATCCGCATTGATCAAGGGAAATACTATAGTACGGAAACAGAAATCTTGATATTTGAAGCCAATGATGCGTATAATCTGGATCAGCGGTTCGATAATCGATGATTCCGTAGATATGTAGGACTTCTTACCATGAGGTAGTAGAAGTTTCATAACCTCTTCCAGCTTCTTAATTGTGGCGTTCGTGGTATCGCTTGTGCGATGCAAATAAGTCCAAAGAAGCCTCGAAATTACTTGTAGACAGATTGGTCTAGTTCTTGGCTCCTTCATTTTTGCTTGGAGGGGTAGGATTAGCTGAAGCCACTGTGTCGAAAAGGTATCCGTGGAAGATACACAGAGCAACGTCGCTGTCAATGGAAATGCAACAGCCCAGTGACGAGGCTTAATGAACATTGAAGCCAGTCTAGGACCTATAGTTGCCAACACGTCATTCCACTTTGGCATGTTGAGTTCCGTGTTTGCTGTGGCAGCAATTGGCAGAAGAAGTATTTCGAGTGCCATGCAATAAGCATATTTAAGATGTTGACCATGTGATTTTGAAAAGAATCTCCCAAGAGAGATCATGAAATCGCAAGACTGGTCCCATGCATCCTCGGGATAGGCCTTGAGACGAATGTGCTTCATGCCGCCGAGGACTAAAACCATACGCCCTTCAATATCCCTATTCATTGGATATTTGACCAGATCTTTCTGCGATTTCTCGAGATCTGCTATGAAGCGATCAGTGACACTCTCAAAATTGATTTCAGCCATGACACCAAGTAATTGGCTGAATAAGAACCAATTGGCCATCTTAAGAGGCGAGGTGCTCAGCTGGTCTGCGTCAGCAATTTTCAGTTGTCCAAAAATGATTCCTTCCAACTTTTCTTCCATCTCAGGTGTGATACGAGCCAAGGTACTTTGGCCGATGACTTCCATCAAGACTCGGCATAGTATAAAGATTGAAGCTGTTGATCGACGTTCTGCCTGAGCGACAAACTCCTGGCGTGCAGCTATAGTTGGCAGACCAGCCATTAGATCATCTTGCTGATTATGAGGTGGCTCCGTATTTCTTCGTGGGATCTGGCCTGGAAAAACAGTACCTCGAGACTACGGAGTTTCGTCAGCAACGGACATAAACACTTGCGAATCCCAAGCATACCTGTTGAAGCTGAATCCTAGCCTCGTTGGCAGCATCACTCTTGTTCTTTCGCCATAACATCATAGAATCAATGAGAGGTTTAGGTTTTTGGCTGGCAATATGACCCAAAGCAGAGATCAATTGGTCAAATGCTGGGTCCACTCCCATTCCGCATATATGTTCTATCTGAGGTTCTGGGTCCAGTGGTAGAGTAACACACTGTGAGATCTTTTCCTCTGCTTGCGCAATGAACTGGAGCATGACATTAGAAGGTATGCCAAGAAAGAATCAAGGAGCACTGACTGAAGTGAACAAGAAATGCAGCGCATATTCGCCGACAGTTTTCAACTCGTCCTTATGATGCCTTGAATGGGAGTGATGATGCGAATGGTTTCTCCGACTCCTCCCACTAGTACTATTACCACGCTCCATGTTTCTGTGCGTGCTCGCTGATGGCGCATTTTCGATCGCTGAAGGGCTGCGGGACGGTACAAATGTTGTATTCGAGCTGAAAGAAGTGCCGCTGGTCATACTGGATGCGCCGGAAGAGAAATTCGAATCGCCCATGACCGATGCATCTGTAAAATCTCCACCTGCAGCAGCAATTATCTGCGGGCTCAGTGGGCTAGTAGACGAACTGCCAAAGCTCCCATTCCTAGACCGCTGTATGCCATGAACGATGCTAGTGTTTCTGTGATGACTTTTCGCATCTGCATCTATTGAACCTCCTCTCGAACTGCCAGTGTAGAGTCGCGGCGATAGATTGGCAGATTGGGAAGGCGACTCTGAGAAAGCGGCCTTGAGCCCTGCGAAGAAAGATTGACTGGAGCTTGGCTCCCGGGAATGGGTAACGGATTTCGAGTTGGTGGTATGTGAGCGTTTCAAGGTCGCAGCCCACGTTGTCACGTCAATGTCGATGGGCGAGAAGTTTTCTGTTATTCCCTCAGCACGATGCCCTGGAAATGATGCTTGAGACAAGAAATCAGCAAGGATATGCCGTAAATGAAAATAAGGGCCGCTGGGGGAGAAGGTAATGCTTTGCTTTGCTTTGCTTTGCTTTGCGTTAAGTTTTGAGGGACGGGAAGTTTGAACTAAAACACCCTCGATGATTAATGGTACTCACTCATTCTGTCACGGGAATATTGCCCATATAAATCTCCCTACATTCTTTACTCTCTTGTTTATGTCATTTTTATAGAGCTTAGCTATAGAGTCAGAGTTGCTGGTATTGTCGCAGCTTCAATTGATACTTCTTTGGCCGTTCGGATGTTCTAGTTCTAGCATCTACAATTTGCAGAGAGGGTCAAAATCGCGGAGGTCCATAGCAGCCAATGATCATCCAACCCCTGGAACAAACCCCTGAAGGCGCTGAGCCAGCCCATGGAACATCCATACAACCACCACTGCACTCATCAATCTGGAAGGACGTAAGATCTTACAAATCACATCATAACTCACGAATTGAACTTTCACATGGCCAGCTATGTAAACCTTACCTAGGTACGCACATAGCTATCTACTCTGTAAAGATTCTTCAATTATTTACATATATTTTCTCTACTTCCTCTCTTTTCTCTACTCGGCAGATACTAGTCAAAAAGAATCATTACTAGATCCTTGTAGGATTTGGAATCACCACAACAAGAATCCAAGTATGAGATGTCTCTTGCTTCTTTCTACCTCCTATCATTATTCATGTTATAGATGAGTTGGCTGGCACGGCTGATAGTCTTTTTTTACTCGCTCACCAACAGATCCTTCCCACGATTCGCCTAGAATGTCTGCTATGACTGCTGTGACTGCATCGGAACAATAAACCCCTGTCTGTGGTTGATAAAGCATCTCGACGTCTCTGAAGCTCTGAGAGGGTAAAGCTGTCTTTCATGCGCTAAGTTTATTGACTATTCCTCGAAGATCCGGTATGAATCCACGCTGGATCGGCAATTCATGATATCCCCAAAGGCCTTTATCTGGCCAGTATTTTCCAGCACCGGAGAGATCTCCTGCTTTTCTACTCCTTTTTGTTGCGAGTTTTGGCTGAACAGCTGAGATGGAGCATGGAACCTTTTATCTTTATCTCCACGTTACACTACATGTAGCGGACCTTATTGGATGCCCAGCTAGAAAAATGAATCTTCTTTTCCATCATGCTGTACAATACTCAGGCAGTCAGTCACAACCACCAAATAACTGATATTGTCAGCGGCATTGGTAAGATGACACAGTATTTTTGGTTGAAAACCCACCAGCCCTTCTTCCTCGGATCCAACATGGAAAGCCTATTCAATGGATAACCGGATCCGATATCTTGATGAATTAGATGATGTACGTATATACCGTAGAGCCTCCTATAAATATCAGATATCTTTATATCGGAATCCTGGATGTACCGGATTTATTTCAAAATTTACCATTTTTGTGTTCATATACTAGAAATTCCTACATAAAAGTTGTAGAAAAAAGAGATATATATACTTCCATTATGAATCTATTACATGATTGATTACGAAAACTTGAAGAGTTGGGGTTAAAGTTCTGAAATAAGTTATGGTGATGCTTTAATAATACCTTTTCTAGACCTTTTAACGGGAAATCCTTTTCATTCCGAATCCGATAGGGCTAAGCTTTGTGTCCGGTATAGCGATGTTTTACTCACAGTGACGATGTTGTTTCAGAGGACCAAAGGCTGTAAAAGACTGAAGTGAAAGTCCCGCCTGTCCCACTGTAATGCTACAGTGGACTTCGGATGCTCAGCTGCTCAGCTGCTCCGATGCACTTTGTCCTGCATTCGCTTTCTCGAACGGACCGACCTTAGCTAGGTAATCTAATATGTAATACACATCAAATTGAAGGGTTCACTTCATACGGATGTATCATCAAAGTCTATCTGGCTGCATAGCACATACCAGTACTGGGCACAACCGTCACTTTGAGTTTAGGAGATGATGCGGTCTAGCGGAAAAGAGGCGCCCATGGAAATAAAATAAATCCGTAGCTTTGTTACGTCCGTAATCAAGTCGTACGAGTAACTTTGAGGAATCCGGAGTTGGTTGTTGTTGTCCAGTCCAGCATACAACTTACTCGCGGATAAGTAATCTGTAGAAATTGCCCATGTAATCTGTATACATAAAAGAACTTGGGATCAAATCTAAAATCTTATTTGTGCTGACGATTCTAACTTCTTTTATTAATATATATGCCTTTCGCTGACTCAAGATTTCCAAAGTTTGAGTGTCTGTATTAGTACTCTGTATATATCAATCTTTTATCTTTCCTGATCTCTTTGTTTCTTCTACCTACACTCTTCCAGGACTTTCCCATTCCACTGCCATCACCGACTATCATCTCAAACTCAAATCGTATTCGTCTTGTCACTCTTTCGCGGTCTTTCCGGACTTTGTGCTTTGTTCCGACAGCTTCCGACCACGAAGCATTCACCAACTTTGCCTTCACTTTGATTGACCAACCAACCGTGCGTGCGGCGTGTCCTTTTCTTAGAAAGCAAGAGAACAATTCTAAAAGACTCGGCTCGGTTTCTGATTGATCGTCCTCAAGGATCTAAATAGTTTACCGTAGTCTCCATCATCCATTTTGTACATGTGTACATAATAATTTATATCTGTCGATAAACAATTTATTTTCTCAACAGTCAGCACAGTTGCAGATTAATTCCCAACTGACTAAGTGTCAACTTTTTTTTTCGCTCTTGCCTGAGCATAAGTTCACGGCATAACCCCATCACCGTTTCTGCGGTCGATTCATCTATCAGTTTCCCTCAACAATCGGTAGATTCCCAATTTCAGGATGGGTGGACAACTCGACATCTTGGACATCGTCGTCCTTGGAGTCTTAGCTTTAGGGACGATAGCATATTTTACAAAGGGAACATACTGGGGTATTGTAAAGGATCCCTATGCTCCTAATTATCCCCCCGCCAATGGAAACAAACCGGCAAAGACAAGGAATATTGTCGAGAAGATGGACGAGTCAAACAAGAACTGCGTCGTCTTCTATGGTTCGCAGACTGGTACAGCAGAAGATTATGCTTCTAGATTGGCAAAAGAAGGCAAGAGTCGTTTTGGCTTAGAGACTATGGTAGCAGATTTGGAAGACTACGATTTTGATAACCTTGATACTCTTGGAGACGACAAAGTCGCCATCTTCGTACTGGCTACATATGGTGAAGGTGAACCAACCGACAACGCAGTGGATTTCTATGAATTCTTCATGAACGAGGATCTTGAATTCTCCAGTGGTGAGAAATCGCTCGAAAACCTCAAGTTTGTCGCATTTGGTCTCGGAAACAACACCTATGAACACTACAACTCAATGGTCAGAAACGTCACAAAGGCATTTGAGAAGCTCGGAGCCACAAAAATCGGCGAAGCTGGTGAAGGAGACGATGGTGCTGGTACTATGGAAGAAGACTTTTTGGCCTGGAAGGAGCCAATGTGGACCGCATTGGCTGAAAAGATGGGACTACAGGAACGTGAAGCTGTTTATGAACCGACTTTTGCTATTACGGACAGGGACGAATTGACAAAGGATTCTCCACAAGTATATCTCGGCGAGCCAAACAAAATGCATCTCGAGGGCACATCAAAGGGTCCTTACAACGCTCACAACCCATACATTGCACCTATCGCTGAGTCCAAGGAACTTTTCACCGTCCAAGACCGAAACTGCTTGCACTTAGAAGTCGACATCAGTGGATCTAACCTCAGCTATCAAACTGGAGATCACATTGCAATTTGGCCAACAAATGCCGGAAGGGAAGTGGACCGATTCCTCGATGTTACTGGACTTTCTTCCAAGAAGGATTCTGTCATTGCCGTCAAACCATTGGAATCAACTGCAAAAGTTCCGTTCCCCTCGCCTACTACATACGATGCTATAGTCAGATATCACATGGAGATTTGCGCACCTGTATCACGTCAATTTCTTGCCACTTTGTCCGCCTTTGCCCCAAATGACGCCATCAAGGCCGAAATGGAGAAGCTTGGTGGTGATAAGGATTACTTTCATCAAAAGATCACTAAAAACTATTTGAACATCGCACAGGTTTTACAAGAAGTTGGTGGCCAAGAAAAATGGACCAAAATTCCATTTTCCGCGTTCATTGAAGGTTTGGGCAAAATTCAGCCTCGTTACTACTCTATCTCATCTTCGTCGCTTGTTCAACAGAAGAAGATTTCTATCACAGCGGTTGTTGAGTCAATTGATATTCCTGGAAGAACCGATGCTTTGAAGGGTGTTACCACAAATTATCTCCTTGCATTGAAGCAGAAGCAACATGGCGAAGAAAACCCCGACCCTCACGGCCTCACATATGAAATCACTGGACCACGCAATAAGTATGATGGCATCCACGTTCCCGTACACGTACGACATTCCAATTTCAAGCTTCCATCGGATCCATCCAAGCCTATCATCATGATCGGTCCCGGTACTGGTGTTGCACCTTTCCGAGCATTCGTTCAGGAAAGAGCTGCACAGGCAAAGGCTGGCGAGAACGTTGGACGAACTATCTTATTCTTTGGATGTAGAAAATCTACAGAAGACTTTATGTACAAGGAAGAATGGAAGGTAAGCAATATTTTACGTCGAGGAAGAGATCCTAGAACAATTTAGCTCACACGTAACCAGGAATACGAAGAGGCCCTTGGCGACAAATTCTCACTCATCACTGCATTCTCTCGTGAAGGAAAGGAGAAGGTCTATGTTCAACACCGTCTCAAGGAACATGCTAAAGAAGTCAACGATCTCCTCATGCAAAAAGCGTACTTCTACGTTTGTGGTGATGCCGCGAACATGGCTAGAGAGGTCAACACTGTTCTTGGTAAAATTATAGCAGAGCAGCGTGACATCCCAGAATCAAAGGCCGAAGATATTGTAAAAAGTATGAGATCTGCCAATCAATACCAGGTATGTTATTTCTTGATAGATTTCATCGTCTCGCATTCGTTTTCGTATTGTTTGTTTCTCTGAGTCATCAGCCCGCCCACATGTTTGTTCGGCTAGTGGGGCAACAAACATGATTCCTAGAGTGGGGTAAATCCAGGAGGGGCCAGCCTTGAAAGGGCCCCTCATCAATTCCATCATCATTTTTGCACTTCCACTCTTTCTTATACAAACAAAAACTAACACATAATTCTAGGAGGATGTATGGTCATAGATGCATTATATCCCGTTCTTACATACACCAACCACTATCTTAAAATTCCATCTCATCTTCCATATATTAGACGGCCATCAACCGGCCAACCTTCCCTCCACTCTTCTTCGGTAATCACCATACCTAGTACCCGTATTCGATGTAAGAATCTTTTCGAGGTCACTTGTTTGTTTGCTTGTTTGTTACCTCGTGCATAAAAAGCGATTCAAGGATACAAGCATTACTCGAGACTCGAGCCTATACCAAACATTATATTTCTTTTTTTCTCTGCAGCATCATCAAAGCATAGCATTTGCAATGGGTGGATCTAGACGAAATTTGGATGGAGGTTAAGTACTTTTTTTTAAAAGAGACAATTAAATTGTTTTTCTGCAACTCAAACGTTTTCTTCGTTTGTCCGGTGCAATGATTTTGATTGGGTTCTTATTGTTGTTGTCTTGTTTGTTGTGCTTCCCTGACTCATTGTCTGTTTATTCTATTTGTAAATGTGACTTGGCTTTTATAAATGTTCATGTGTGAAAATGATATAAGATGATAGTAAAGAAATGGAGTGATGATGAAAGACTGATGGGGTTGGATGGGTAGTGATGTAAAGGGGGAGAGATAATTGATTTGTTATTTATATATTTTGTATTAATCGTAATATATATTAAAAGATTGGGTGGAAGAGGCCTCTATATTGACTATATTACTACGTCTGTAGGCATATTAATCTCCTCTTGGTATCCTCGGAGGGGACCAATATGCCTGCTTATGGTTCGTCTAATCTAGCCTGTTTAGGTAACCGTATTACTAATCACGACACGTGATTAGTACCGGTAACTTCTATTCCTTTTAACAATATATATATATTAAAATAAGAATTTGACAAGTAAAATATTATAAATTTAAAAAAGAAAGTTTTATATAAAATTAAATAATGTTTTTCAAAATTAAATAAAATTTTAAAATATAAATATTGTTAAAGTGAATGGTTCCTGCGTAGCACGTGCACAGGGCACTAGTCCTATTAGGACTAGATTGAGAAGCTCTCTGTAGGAGAGCTTCGCACTTCTATAGAACTTAAAAGAGTGATTAATATACTAGATCAATATTACCTTAGTTCTACCCTATCAGCTTCCCACTATTCCCTGTGTAAGGCCATTCCTTTTAACAAATATAAAAATTAATTATAAAAAAAAATTAAAGAATTAAAAACTTTTGTGACGGAAATCCCTGCTTCCCTCCCACCCTTATTATACAAGAAACCTCAGGTACATTAACCATGTCCACACATGATACGATTACTCGGGATTAGTATACGATTTAGATGGTCTGAGGATCAGATCCGGACAAGTGCTAGGTACCAATGGTTATCGGTAAAGTAAGATCATTGGAGGGATAAATATGACTTCTTTTTGCCTAGCCATTGCGGCTAGGCCATTCATTTGTGTATATATAGAGTAGCTATCCCCATCTACAGGTGCTCTTCACATGTAGATTCTAAGTTAAATACAATTGCTGGTCAACAATTCTCGAGTTCAAATTCAAATACCGTACATTTCGTGGGTTATTTGATTCTCTGCTTCACTGGCCACGGCTCTAACGAGATTATCAGAATTCCTTGGCCATCTAGACATCGTCCCGTATCCGCCACCACTTTACTATAAACCCTGGAAGTCCCTGTCACCTATGGAGCGTCAGTGGGCCTTGGAAGAACTACAGAGTCTCAGCAAACTCCAAGCTCAATCAGCCATGAACAGTTACCCCATCCAGTGCCCAGCAACCTAGAGAGTGGCGCTCTTGGGAAAGATATGTAGCCCATCGGAGAGAAAGAAATGCGTTTTGGAAACTGCAGTTTAGGGTTCTTTTTCATGACCTTATAAACATCCGCCTCTAATAATTTGAACATTTAGAAAGGAACATAAGGCTTTTGAAAGAGGAGAGGCCAAAGCAGCAGCTTTTCTGACCATACCTGCCTAACAGAATCATTTGTCCTCCGATGACGATGGCATAGTACAGGAGCCTCGGTAAGGATCAGAATCACTGCCTTTTGGTCAAACCGCGAGACACGGAATACTACAAGGAGCCATTAAGGCAGGAAAGTAATT